CTCCAGGCAGCTCAAACGCGCCAGTGCACCTGGTATGATAGGGGCGCCAGGGACCGCAGCTTCCAGGTTGGGCAGAAAGTTCTAGTTTTGAAACCTGTCCAACATGACAAGCTACAGGCCTCCTGGCAAGGCCCATATAAAGTGATGGAGCAGAGATGCGACACCACGTATATCATTGGCGCTTGTACAGGGACTGGGGGGGGCGACGCATGATCCATGTGAACATGCTGAAGCCCTACCAGGAACGTTCAGAGGAGGTAACTGCGATTTGCGCCCCGTCCAATGAGGAGTTCGACAGCCTGCCTCTCCCAGATCTTCTGGGGGACGGCAGACTGCCCGGGGATTTGGGGGAAGTTACTCTGGGGGATCGGCTGAGCCCACAGGAGCATACCGAGGTACAACAGTTATTAAGCGAGAAACAAGAAACCTTCTCCAATATACCTGGGTACACTCCTTTGGCCACTCACCGGGTAGAAACCCCAGGGCAGATTCCCATGCACCAAACCCCGTATCGCATCCCTGAAGCGGTAAAAGAGAGCATGTGTAAGGAGATTGAGGAGATGCTCCACTTAGGGGTGATTGAACCGTCAGATAGCCCCTGGGCATCCCCTGTAGTACTCGTACCTAAGCGAGATGGCACAACTCGCTTCTGCGTGGATTACAGGAGGTTAAATAAAAAGACGGTATCCGATGCATACCCTATGCCTCGGATAGAGGAATTATTGGACAGAATGGCTAGAGGTGACTACCTCACGACCATTGATCTATGTAAGGGGTATTGGCAAATCCCCCTGGCACCTGAGGCCATTCCTAAATCCGCTTTTGTCACCCCATTCAGTTTATACCAGTTTAAGGTAATGAAAAACGCACCCGCCACCTTCCAGAGAATGGTGGACCGTCTCCTAGATGGATTTCAGGATTATACTTGTGCGTATTTAGATGACATAGCCATCTTTAGCAATACGTGGGAGGAACATTTGGCCCATATAGGGGCCGTGTTAGATAGCATCCGAGAGGCCGGATTAACCCTTAAACCAGTGAAATGCAGTATAGGGATGGCAGAGGTACAGTACCTTGGACACAGAGTGGGGTGTGGGAAGCAGAAACCTGAACCTGCTAAGGTAGAGGCAGTAGCCCAATGGCCCACCCCCAGGACAAAAACCCAGGTCCTTGCTTTTCTAGGGACGGCCGGATACTACTGCAAGTTTGTTCCCAATTATAGTGCCCTGGCCAAACCCCTCACTGATCTTACCCGTAAAAATTTACCCCGCCAAGTAACCTGGACCCCGGAGTGTGAGAAGGCATTCAACCTGTTGAAGGAGGCACTTGTTAATGCCGCTCCCGATCTTGGCCGCTCCCGATCCAACTAAATGTTTTCTTGTTCACACAGACGCTTCTATGTTTGGATTGGGAGCAGTTCTAAGCCAAGTCGGGGCCGATGGCGGAGAACACCCCGTAGCCTACATCAGTCGGAAACTATTACCTAGAGAAGTGAGCTACGCCGCCATCGAAAAGGAGTGCCTGGCTGTGGTGTGGGCCTTGAAGAAATTGCAGCCATATTTGTATGGACAGCCCTTTTCCTTGCTCACGGATCACAACCTGTTGGTCTGGCTAAACCGGGTGGCTGGGGACAATGCCAGGCTGCTGCGCTGGAGTTTGGCGCTGCAGCCTTTTGACATAAACATCCAGTACCGCCCGGGCAAACAGAATGGGAACGCTGACAGGTTGTCAAGAAAAACTAACCTAGAGAAATGATCCGTGAGCCTCCCCGGACATCCCCAAGCCGATCCGTGTTGGATCAGACTGTGTATGCCGGCTTGTGGGCAAGTGGGAGTAGTGTAGCGGATGGCCCTGGGCTGTCCTGAGAATTTCATGTATTTTAATGTGTTCGCGTAAAAACAGCAAGTTCTATGTAATGTAATGTATTGTATTCGTCTGAATGTTAGGTAGTTTCATTCCCTTAGTTTGTTCGAATGAAACTACCGAACAGTCAGACCTCCCCTGTGTGAAGTGTGTTCTCAATTACACGTTGCAACATTGTTGCGAACGGGTAATTGACAAGTTAAGTAGCCGTCCTTTGTTCTCGGGGGTAGCCGCCATTCGAAAAACGAACACGTGGCGGCGGCCATTTTAAAACTCCCAAACAGCGGTGTTTTGCCGTCGAGTGTCTGGAACTCAAATCGGACACTCGACTAGGCGAATACGGCTGAAACCTCCACAAGCCCGGTCCGTTCGGTTCCTAACTACCGAACGGCCCCTCGTTCGGTAGATAGAAAGAACCGAACGAGGGGATTCAGGCGAACCCTCACTAGCCTCTGTAGCTAGAGGTTTTCGTGCCATTTATTCCCTGACTCCAGGACCGACCGCAGGGCCCATTCACATGGAACCGCATTCGGCTGCTTCACCCAGTGCGGTCGGTCATTTTATTCCCTCCATAAATTTCCCGAACCCCTAGTCTGATCTGGGTGATTTTTGGATATGTTGTTCACCCAGATCAGGGCTACCAGGGGATGTATGATTTAAAGTGGTACCCCTAGGTTTAGGGGTACATCCAGAAACAGGGGGAATTGGTGTCCTGGATAAGGGGATTATGATGCAGGCTGAGGGGAAGAGAGGTGTGGGAGGTTACCAGAGCAGGATTGGCTACTGTACTAATGAATGAAAACCCCTCCCTTGCATGGGAGCAGGCTTTCAAAGGCCACTGTCTGAATTAAAGGGTTAGTTATGCTCCTGAAACTGTGTGTCGTCCAGTTATTGGGAATTGCTGTTGGGATATCGCTGTTATTTTGCCTGCTGGATACTTTACCCTATGGATTTATAATTGCTTGTTCCTGAGTCTCCCTGGGATCTAAAGTGGAGATAGGCTGTGGAATACCAGCTCTCCGCTACAGTATGCATTTACTGCTCATTGGCATTTATGTATGTACTTATTGCATCATTGGCATGATATATCAAATGTATGCTTCATTGGCATGATATATCAAGTATATGCATTTGCTGCTCATTGGCATGATATACAAGGTTTATGCAATTATTGCATTAATAGAATTTCCCTGCTGCCAATGTGTTTTTGCCAACCAGGGCATATATGTGTGACTGAGTCGATGTGCATGTGTGCGCATGTATGACTTGGGGGGTGGAGGAGAGGATGGAGTCTCGGTCCCAGGCAGCACAATGTCTTGGGCCGACTGTGAGTTCTAAACATGTGAAGACTGATTGCTAACATTTTTTAATACCACTACTGGAGGGGGCCCTCAGGTTTCGAAAGATGGTGGGACCCTGAAAATTACCACGGCTCATTAAAATCACTCCCTTAATAACTATGAGTCCAGCTGATCGAAGGGACCCTCAGGTATACAATAATACCTGGGGCTCACTGGTAACCAGGGCCGTCTATAATATGAATAGGTCCCTGGGCAATGCATTTTCTTGGGCCCTGCCCTCCCCCCCAATTACGCCCAACCCGCAATCACACTGACAGACATACTGACACATACACACACAGACAGACATATTAAAAGATTTGCAGATACATACTGACACACACATACACTGACACACAAATATACACTGGCAGACATATTGACACACATTCAGACATACTGACACACACACACACAGGCGTACTGACATACACACAGACAGACATACTGACACACACACAGGCATACTGACAAACACACAGACAGACATACTGACACACACAGATATACTGACACACACACACACACACACACATTTAGCCACCCTCCAGGTTCTTACCTTTTTCTGCAGGGGGTGGTTTCCCTGGGGTCCAGTGGCAGGCTGAGGCGGTTGGGAGTTATGCTCTGGAACTCCCCTCCTCCCTGCCTTCCTCCTCCCATGCGGCTCTGATCTCTGGTGGGAGGAAGTGACGCACGGTAGTCACTTCCTCCCAGCCGGCTGCCGAACAGGAAGGGGCCGGTCGCACTGTTTAAGTGTCACAGCGCCCGACCGGGCCCCTGCTGACACATGTCCACCGGCTGGCCCTTAGTGCACGTGCCACCTTGGGGGCTTCCTTAGTGTACGGTGCAGCCGCACCACCCAGTCCACAGGGACTGCGCAAATTGCCGAGCCCATGGGGAAGCTGCTCTGGGGCCTCCCCAGGAGAAACTGGGCCCAGGGCAGCTGCCCTGTTTGCCCCGCGTTAAAAACTGCCCTGCTGGTACTTTTAATGCATGACAGTCTGACGTCAATAAACATTAAAGCCATGAACTGCATGACAGCATAAACCGTCATGCGGTCCTTAAGGGGGATAAATGAATTTGCACTGTGTAAAACATAATAACATTTTCCCATCAGAGAGCATGTCCATATTGGCATGGCACTATCATACTCATTTTGGGGTTTGCATGCCATTGGTGTTGACATAACACCCCCCTCCTATTGGGCTACTTTTCCTTTAATTGTCTGGACCAAATGTTTGCATCACTCAGGTCCTTGTTCCAGCTGTGCTATGCCAAAAAAAAAGAAACATTTTCAGTTTAGTGAGGAAAAGTTATAGTTATGAGGTCAAATGGATCTCTGTATAGCAAAAATCCTTGCCACTGGTTCTGTTTCCAGAATAGTCAGTTCCGCCTTAAATCTTGCATTTTAAATCTACATAATAATTTATTTAGCAATAAAGATATCAACTATACTCCATGTGTCTCTTGCTTCTCTGGGTTAGCTCTCAACACGAACTAGGCAATGGAAAATTAAATCAGTGCTATTACATCTATAGCATGACTGTGTTCTAGAGTTGAGGCATTATTTCTATGAGTTTAGAATAGGGAAGTCATAGAGGCCCCAGAGTCTCAGTTACGTCATTAAAACAAATTATGCAATGAAAAGATTTCACTTTTGTACTGTTGTATCAACTGATTTAAATGTTCTAAGCCAAATAGGATATTACCCGCCGTTTTTATTTTTTTTTCATTGTTGAACAATGTATTTCATTTTTTTTTTTAGCATAGACACAAACACATTTCAGAGATGAACAAAGCATACCAGGGATTCCCCTTCCACAGCTAATAGAGGTGTGTAAGCGTGTGGCATGATTTTTGGAAGGTGTTCCCCAGGGCACTTACAGGCTAGTGCTATTTTATCTGAGGGAGAGGTTTGAGCGTGGGTGTGAAGGACTGCGCGTTACCATAGTGAATCAATTAGAGGTGTATTCAAGCCTGGGAGCTGAAATAGGCAAATCGCTGTGGGCATTTCTTTCTATTTTCCCCTCTAGTTGTCATATCTGGCATAGTTCTCTGTTCAATGCATCGTATCGCATCGCATCAGCCGCAAGCTCCATTCTAGACATTGGTTCGTTTATGACTGACGATGCCAGTTTGCTTAACCACAATCTTTAGCTTAGGTGAGTTTTTTCTTTCTTTCTTTCCTTCTTTCCCTTTGGTTATTGAAAGCACGTGTGGGATTTTCCTATCCATGATCACAATATATATTTTGCATTGAAATGTAACGTCGTATGCGGTACTGGAAGAGGAAAAAGGGAGGCGATAGAAAAAAAGGGAGACATCAGCAAGCCACGGAGATTTCCCTGGTTTGTAGGACCGGACGATTTACATTGAGTAAGGGGGTGTAAGTGAAACAAATATGCTTCTCGTCAAGACGATCAGATAGAACAACTAAAAATATCGGGGTACAGTTTTATACGGAATGCTTATTATCCTTCTTAAGATGACCATAATGACAGTGGTATTCCCAGAACGTTCGGAATGGAATATGGGGATTGGAGGGGTGGGGTATTCCATCTTCAGCATCTTCTATGTTAATACTCGGTCTACTGAAACTGCTTTTTAATTTCATAATCAAACCACAGGACAATGGCAACGTATTTAAATTTAAGGATTCCCTATGTGCTTTTATTTGATTGTGCAAGATTTTTCTACCCTAGTTGAGCAAACCTGGTTTAATATCTAGGTCAATGTGCATTGTGCAGTTGGCAGCACAATAAGTGTTTACCTGATTTTCTCATTTATTTGCAGTTCCTTTTTCCTGGACTATGTATCAGTGTTGATAGCAGTACTACAAAACATAGGATTGCATGAAAAGGATTGCTTTCAGTGAACGTTTTTACAACTAAGCTTTCAGTATCAAAATTATTCCTCGATTAAGAGTGGTAAGTTATATTAGCTTGTATTATTCATAACATTGATGGTGTGATTGTGGATTAAGAACATGCTTCTTACAAGAAGCTGCTTAATAAATATGTCTGATGTAATGTAATATGTCTAATGGGTTAGGCCTCTCTCCTAAAAATAACTGTAGCTAAAATTTAATGGTAAATGTCACGTCTTACTTCATATTAACCCCTTGAGGACAAAGCAGCAATTTTTTTTTTACAATTGGGCATTTTTGTTATATGTGTGTTAAACCGTAATTTCCAACTTTCTCATTTTTGGCACCAACAATTATTAAATATCATTTATTGAACGGCAAAAAAGCTTTTAATATATATTACATTTATTTAAAAAAAAAAAAAAACACATTTGGCAATAATAATGTGTGCATAATTAGTGCAGCTTAAGAAAAGTAATTCATACTAAATCAATTTATTTGTCCTGATTTGCAGAGTGCATCAAATGTCTAGCATGCAGTTTCTTTTTGATAGTTACAGGTCACAAAATACAAGGAGTAAAATACAATTTTAACATGGAACAATTGGAATTTCTAAGTCTGATAGCCATTTAAGAAAACATAATTGCCACACTAAAGTATATATTTGTAATAAGTGTACATTATAGGCTATTTTCCTAAGCATGATTTGACACTTTTTACGTGACTATTTAACTGCCAATCTCTGATTTATTGTAAAATTGTGTTGTATTCCTGATTTTTAACGTACACACATATAAAAAGGTTCATTTTATGTGTAGTTTGTTAACCTGACATGTGGTAATCCTATAAGAAACCCCATATTGTGTTCAGCGAAATCTATTAAAAACATTATACCCACTATATGCCTTTTCCACTATCCTGCGAAGCTATAGTGTAGTGCATTGTTCAAATCACCTCACAAAAACCTCCTTTGTGAAATAGGGCACAACATAAAACGTGCTGTGATTTATTTGATCAGTTTATGTCAAATTTCGTGGTAATTTAATTTTTTTTTTTTTAAATGAACATTATCTTTCTTCAAATCTGATATATGCCACTATAATCACCCTCCCCACAAATTATGCTTAGCAAGCTCTTCTGAACAAAAAAAATACACACAATGCCACTTTCTTGTGAATTTACAAGCGATATAGGAGACCTGACTGTTTGAGTTTTTATAGTTAGAATTTTAATAGCTAGATATGGAAGGCTATGTTTCATTTTGGGGCATTGTAGCAGTTTGACAGTTCAAATTACCCTATAAATGCATATAACTAGGCATCACCACATATGCCATATGGTATATTTTGAGCCTGAACAAATATCTTTCAGAGTGTATGGTATTTTATTTTCATGAGTTTTTACATGCATGTTCCAATTTACCAGTTTACTTTGTAAACTGATGTGTGCTACTGTAATAAAATATCACTAAATTCTGCCGAGCTATGACCCCTTTCCCATCCGCTGTCAAGTGTTTGTGACAGTACAGCCACATTCCCTGGCTCTAACTGACGCAGCATGCATAAAGCAAAATGGTTTCACTTTCATTCAGATGTAACTTACCTTATGTTTTTATTGAACTTTAATTACATACAAGAGACTCCTGCAGGGTCTAGCAGACTATTAACAGAGCAGGAGATAATACAATCTAAATTAAACATAATTTGCAATAAATGAAGTGTAAACATTAAATTACTATGTACATGAAGTGTTTAGGATAGCTGTGCAAGTCATATGCAGGGAGGTGTGAGCAGAGCAACTGGGTCAGAGCATCTCCAAAACCACACGTTTTGTTATACAGTGATTATTATGTACCAAAAGTGGTGCAAGAAACGACAACAAGCAAACCGGCATCAGGGTCATAGGCAGGGCCAAAACCAGAAATTTTGGGGCCCCTAACTCAGCTCAGGGTCTGGGTCCCCTGGGGCCTGCCTCCAATCCCGCCCACAGGGTCCGCCTCCAGATCCCACAAACAGGAATACACACACAGACACAAACACACAGATACATACTAACAGACACAAATACTGAAACAGAAACATACACACATATAGGCATACATACTGACACACACATACTGAGACATACACACATATACAGACACACAGGCATACATAGTGACACATACTAACATACAGACACACATGCATGAGGACATACATACATACACACACACACTGACATACAGACACTGACATACATTCATAATGACATACATACATTCATACATGCATAGAGACACTGACATCCAAACACACACATACATCCATACATACATACACAGACGTACATTCATAATGGCATACATTCATAAATGCATACACTCATACTGACATACAGACAGGCATACACTCATACTGACATACATAATGGCATACAGACATACTGACATGCATGCATACACACATACATACAGACATACATATATACAGACATCTATACATACATACTGACAGACAGACAGACATGCATACAGACATATACACACACACACACAGAGCATATTCTTCAGCCACCCTCCTTTTTCTTACCTTTTCGTTGCAGGAGGGTGGCTGGGGCTGATGGGAGTCGGCTCGGCTCTCTCTCTTCCTCCCTGCATCACTTGCATTGCGGCTGCGTTTTTTTTTTTTCTAAAGGGGCCCGGTCTCGCTATTAAACGGCACAGCGCTGACCGGGCCCCTAAAGATATAGGGCCCATCGGGTGGCCCTAAGTGCGTGGGCCACCCAATAGGCCCCCATCAGCGTGCAGGCCCTGGTGCAACTGCACCGGCGGCAGTTCTACCGCTACACGTGGGGTTCGGGCGGCCGGGTCACCCCCTGATGGTGGCCCTGGTCATAGGCGCTAAAGGGTCATTGATGCACGTGGGGAAGCCATGGCAAGCTCAAATTGTTTAAAAAGTTAATGCTGGCCATGATAGAAAGGTGTCTGATTCGGAACACACAGTGCTTTGCCGTTTGCTGTGTACTTGGCTGTTTAGCTAAGTGATCACAGGGCCCATGATGACCTCTGTCCACCGCCAAAAGCACCTTCAATGGGGACATGAATGTCAGAACTGGACCATGGAGCAATTTAACCCTTGCACCGCCGGGGTTTATTTAACTATTTGCCCAATGGCTGCTGGCACTGCCAGCGGACAAAAAGTTCAGATTTTTTAAAAACTCTCTGTGGATTTCAAGCATTCAGACCGCATTTCAGGTGTTTAGTGGAAGGTCATGATTAGCAAAGTCCAGACATTTTTTAATATTGTGAACAATGGCCACATTTTGCATTCCAGTGCAGCAGTAAATGGTTTTGCCCCGTTGGACTTTTCTGAATAACCTTTCACTGCTGAAAATAAATGATTGTTTGCTTGCCTTTTTTGAATGTAATATAAAAAAGGAAAACTTCAAAGTTTATTTTTAGTTGTCTTTTAAATAAAACTACACAACAGTAACTAGATGCTACACTCACTTTTTTGTGAGGTTCACAGACGTGAGGAAGTCCCTGTAATGGCTGTCAGCCATTAGAGTTGTGTTTTTGGAAAAAATTAAATATTGCCCTTTGCCTGAAACACTTTTTTTTATTTTTTTTTTTAAATTCTCTAATCACAGAAGATGGTAATAATTGCCACAATAATTAAATACAGAAGCAAAATACATACTGTATATACTCGAGTATAAGTCGTGGCCCCTAATTTAACCCCAGAAAACTTGAAAAATGTATTGACTCGATTATAAGACTAGGGTGGGAAATGCAGCAGCTACCAGTAAATTTCTAAATAAAATTAGATCTCAAAAAATTATATTAATTGAATATTTATTTACAGTGTGTGTGTATATAATGAATGCAGTGTGTGTGTGTGTGTATATATGCAGTGTGTTTGTGTATGTGATGCAGAGTGTGTTTGTGTATGTGATGCAGAGTGTGTAAGCTTGGTGGGGGGTGGGCATTTTTATTATTTTAATACATTTTATTTTTAATTTTTTTAATATTATTAAATGTTTTTTATTATAATATTATTATTATTTTTTTGTCCCCCCTCCCTGCTTGTTGCCTAGCCAGGGAGGGGGGCTATATTATTCCCTGGTGGTCCAGTGGATAGGCTGTGCAGGAAGGGGGCTGGGAGCAAGCTGTTACTTACCTTTACAGCAGCTCTTGTCCGCTCCCTTCTCCTCTGTGCCGTTCAGCTCCACTGTAAATCTCGCTGTCTGCGTGCCATGCGGAGCGTTGCCACGGTGATCAGTGGCAACGCTCTGACGGCTGCAGCTCTCGTGAGACTTACAGTGGAGCTGAACAGCACGGAGGAGAAGGGAGCTGACAGGAGCTGCTGTAAAGGTAAGTAACAGCTTGCTCCCAGCCCCCAACAGGGGCAATGTAAGTTGCCATAATACAGACATTGACTCGAGTATAAGACGAGTGGGGGGTTTTCAGCACAAAAAATGTGCCGAAAAACTTGTCTTATACTCGAGTATATACGGTATTTCATCTTCGTCATCCAGGGTTGAACTAGGAAGAAATTAGGCCCGACTGAGAAGAGAGCGGGCTAGAGAGGGGGATGTTTTGTTATCACCAGTAACAAGCACGCCCCTCTCAAAATGAGCATGTTGGGTCATGCTCTTCAAGGACAACCCACGTGCAAATAGCCCTGCTGAAGAGCTCTCGCATGAGAAAAAGGCCCTGTATTTTATTAACATGCTTGCGCTGTGTTTGCGTGTAACTTGTCTCTGGTGTCTCAATAAGTGGGACAAAATGGCAAGGAAAGCGTATTGTGCATGTGTATGGAGCCTGCTTTTGTAGAGTGAGTTTATTGTGGTGTGGTGTTTTGTGTAAATGTCGGTTTCAGTTGTGTTTATGGTTTAATGTATTAGGGATCAACCGATATTGATTTTTTACAGCCAATACCAATAATCTGTGTACTTTCAGGCTGATAGCCGATAACTTACCGATATTCTGTACATTTACCATTTTGAAAAAAAAAACTATTTCTAAAGGCAAATGCACAAAATATACATGCCACATGTAGTGGAAGCAGTGTGTATTTGTGTAGTGTGTGTATATAATGAATGCAGTGTGTTTGTATAGTGTGTATAGTGAATACAGTGAGTGTTTGTGTAGTGTGTATATATAGTGAATGCAGAGTGTTTGTGTAGTGTGTGTATAGCGAATGCAGTGAGTGTTTGTGTAGTGTGTGTGTATATATATATATAGTGAATGCAGAGTGTGTGTGTATAGTGAATGCAGTGTATTTGTGTAGTGTGTGTGTATATAATGCAAAGTGTGTGTATGCAATTTGTGTAAAATGGGGGAGGGGGAAGGCATTTTTAATGTTATTTTGAAAAAAAATTAAGTGTAAATCTTGCGGCCAGTGTGACGCGCGGAGTGTTGCCATTGTAACCCGTGGCAACGCTCTGACGGCCACGGGACTCCCAAGATTTAGACAGGGGTGGCTGAAGGGAGCTGCTGGGAAGGTAAGTAAGCGCTTGCTGGGCCCCCTGTGGACCACCGGGCTTGTCATCATGACGGTCCTGGTATGTATTATCGGCAATATCGGTATCTTTATTAGCCGATACTAATATTGCCGAAAATACTGAATATTGGCTGATAATATCGGCAAGACCGATAATTGGTCAATCCCTATAATGTATGTGTGGCTATAGGCTGTAAAGAGTGTGTGTGTGTGTATATATAGGAGATGTAGCAAGTGTATGCATAGGGGCTGTAGTATATGTGTGTGTGTGTCTATAAGAGATATAATGTGTGTGTGTGTGTTCAGGAAAAGTAGTGAGGGGTGCAGTGTGTGTGTATGTGAAGGGTTGCAGTGTGTGCGGGGGGGATCAGTGTGTGTCTGATGTGCAGTGTGTGTGGGGGGGGGGGCGTGGGTATATGCATTTTTTTTAAATTGAAAAATATATATAAGAGTGGAGCAATTTGTTGAAAAGTGACAATTTAGTCAATCTCCCCCTGAATCTCTACAGGTGTAGAAAGGTTTAAGTAAAACAAAAAGCAATACTTAATCTCCAGGGAAGAGTCTTCCATACATAGATCTCTCAAAGCATGTAGGAAAAAAAACATTAAAAAGAGCAAATAATAGTGCAGATTGTGGTAAATGTATTTCAAGATATTATACCCCAAACATAGAGGGCTAAGGAAATACCATAAGACAGTGATTTTAACAAGCTGATAGGAAAAGAGCAAATAGTAATACAGATTGTACTTAAATGTATTCTGTGGCAAACCTAGCCACTTTTGCATGTGTGGATATTAGAAGGTTTGCTGGCTGTGAGAACCAAGTGTAATGTGGTATGGAGCGTTCATGCAAACAAGAGCGTTCGTATGCTTGTAATACGTGAAACCCAGCATTGCCTATGCAGTTTCACGAACAGTGAGTTTAAACAATGAACCTACCGAACGGTCGACCACACACAGGAGGTCGTGTGGCGCCCATTAACCGATTGCAACATTGTTGCAATTGGTAGTTATGCAATCGGTAGTTAGACTTCCCTAGGTGGCCGTCGTTCGGCTACCGACCACGCGGCGGTCGACCATCTTGATTCCTTTGTTAGCCCAGTGGGGTTTTGCCGTCGTGCGCCTGGAACTAAAAACGGCTACTCGACGGCGCGAACCCCGCTGGACTTCCAGGCCGTTCGGGAGTCCCGGCCGTTCGGTAGTTTGTTCCCCTAATATCAATCGCTATTTTAACCGTATGTTGGAAATAATGTGTATTTCGTACGGCGTTCGGTTAGTTAGACAGGGAGCTGAGCGCTATTTCTACGAACTATGCGCTCAGCCTCCAGCTATCTACCGAATGTCCATTCGTGTAAATCAAGTGAATATTGTTAAAGTTATGGATTTTTATGTAAAATGTAAATTCTGCTGCACGGAGGGATAATCCCATTAACTGTATATTCCAGTGGGAGTATCCCTCTCATCCAGCAGTGCATGTTGGGAGAAATGTATGTGTTTGGCAGTTCCCCATGTAGTCCCCTACTGTACAACCCCTGTAATGTCAGTAGGGAAACCCCTTGCATGGGGAATCCCATAAATACAGTGTCCTGTGAATAAAACCTCAGTTGACTCCCAGCCTATGTGTCGTCTAGTTCTTGGGAAGGAAGGATTACTACAACGCTACCGGGATTATTGTATGCTGTATTTATTCACCTGGATTATTTTATGCTGTTCCTGTTACCCAGCGGAGATATTGTGGATTATACTGCCTCTCCGCTACATATTTCCAGATATTGTACCCCAAACAAAGAGGGCTAAGGAAATACCATAAAGCAGTGTCTTAATTCTAAGACACTTTAGGTAAAGGATTTATTATCACAGATAATTAAAACCTGCAATAAAAATACATAGAAGCAAGTTTACAAAAACACATAGCTAGAACTACTAACAAACTGACTCCTACACAAAAGAGATGTAAGTTAGGCACGGCTTCCGCCGTTACTCACTGCCAGGCTCGTAATCAATAAAGTGCTGGGGTGGCTGTCCTCAAAGGATGTGGCTGGAGCCGAAGCGCAGGTTTCCCAGAGCTGGAATCAAGCGTGTTTGCCCCCTGGTGCCAACGTGTAAGTGTTTCTCCGGTTACCCGGCTTCCTCAGGACGTGATGTGCTGCCGTGGCCATCTTTATTGAGGGTTTTTACAGCCCCCAATTACCAGTTCAAATTTTTCAATTAGTCATTTGCATATAAAATAACAATCATTTCAGTGGCTGCTCTACTTTTTCAGCATACAGCATCAAAGTCAGAGTTAATTAACATAAAATACACTTAAAGCAACATACAGCATATATAAAACAGTCTAAAATACAGCTACATTTAATAATTTATTATTGCATTGAACATATAAAAAGATAAAAAAAAACATCAAATTAAGCAAAGAGAAAATGCTAAATTAAGTTTAAAATGAGAGAGTTTCTGGAATTAAAAGAAAAAACATCATTATTATACAGATACACTTTAAATTCGTAGTATGAAATATAGAGTGACTGTGTGTATATCACAAAACCATTCCAGGGACATTCATAGAGGCATACATAAAAGATAATAATAGGAGTGGACAGCCAAGAAGTGAGTAAATTCTTAAAGTGGCAGTGCTCATATATTAAAGAATGTATTAAAGTGGCAGTGCTCATGCACAATACATTGTATTCTTTACTCACAATGACTTGCATTGAAAATCTTAAGAGTAGATGGATTTTGCGAGGATTACAGATAAAGGGACAGATGACACTTGTTCCTGGGCATTTGCCTGGTTTGCCGATAGCCAGTTCAGGCCTGTTGTCATCTCTATTAAATTGTATGGGTGCACTGTCCCTGACATTTTTTTTCCTGCAATGTTAAACATTGCCATTTGTGTAGAAACTGCAAAGTTTTCATTGCAGGGTTGAACACATCTCGAATAGCTAGCTTCCTGACAGCTACTAGAAGTGATTTAGCTGAATAACCAGGTTAGGCTCGGTTATTTAATCAAATGCTGCTCATAGACAGCATTTTATTGGCAGAGTATGGTGATTTGCTGTGCATTCCCATTAGCCCCCCTCAATGCTTCCCTAATTTGAAGCATTTGATTGATGACCTCAGCCACAGAAGCAGGGCTTCCAAGGCGAGACAAATTCAGAAAGGAAGTAAATATAAGTACCTTTTAAACATTGGGGGGCAGGGGGGATTGTAGGGGATTGGTTATCTATTTCCAAAAACATAAGATAAAATTGGGACTACTATATTTTTCCTACGCCTGACACTTGTTCACACTAGGCGTAGCTACCGTCATCAAGAAGGGTCAATCCCCCAACCGTCAGGGAATTGACTCTATCTATGGAGGATCCTGCAGGATTTCAATGCTGCATGCCCGAGACCAGGGGCGTACCTAGAGCATTTGGCACCTGGGGCGGATCCTGTGCTTGGCACCCCCTTGCCCCCAAAAAAATGTAAGAAAATGTAAATGTTTCCTTGTTTTTTTTACATTTGTAAACTTTGCAAAACCGCTGTCAGCCCCTCCTACAAAACCCCTGTCCTGCCCCTCCTACAAAACCCCTGTCCTGCCCCTTCTACAAATCCTGTACTGCCCCGTCTACAAAACCCCTGCAACCTCCTTCCACAAATCCCCTGCTTATCCCCCCTTATAAAGACTCCTGTCCCCTGCCCCCTTTTACAAAATCCCTGCAGCCCCACAGACACATTTACATGCATACAGTCACACGAAAACATTCACGGGGTGTCAGTCGGTAACAAGGATTATAAACTCATCTTATTCGCTGATGATATCCTTCTCACAATTACTCAACCATTTATAACGCTTCCATCATTACATAAAGAACTGCAGTCCTACAGTCATATTATAAGCTAAATATAACGAAAACTCAAGCAATGTGTCTCAACACATCTAAATTCACAGATGAAAGACTGAAGGGAAGTTACCTCTATGACTGGAGAGAAGATTTAGTATTTCTAGGTATCAGAATAACTAAAAAAGAAAAAGATCTTTTTTCAGCTAACTATACGAAGTTACTGAAGGAAATTGATCACCAACTAAAACCATGGAAGAACCTGTTTTTATCCTGGGTAGGGAAAATAGCAGCACTTAAAATGTCAATCCTACCTAAGATTTTATATCTCTTTAGATCCCACAAAAATATATAACGTGTATTCAAGCAACTATGGTACGTTTTAGTTGGGGCAGTAAACACCCGCGAGTCCCTAAAGCATTATTCATGAGAAGTGTGAAGAATGGAGGTATGGGGATACCAAACATAAAAGCATATTATCATTCTGCAATACTTATTAACGTCATCAGCGCCCATTCAACCATCTATACCCCTCAATGGGTGGCAATAGAAAATACGTACTGTGGAACACAAGATCTCTCGACACTGTTATGGAAACCTCAACAATTGAGACAAGTAAGCTAAAATATGCTACCCTCCACTAAACACCTTTTCAAAATCTGGGATACCTACAGAGACAAATTATGTACGGCTTACCCATGGGCTCTACTCCAATCAAAATTTTATACTCCTGTAATAGGACGTTCCCATATCAGAAATGGGAAAAAGCAGGAATTACACATGTATTTCACCAATGCACTATAGAGGGTCTTAAATCTTTTCCGAATCTACAAAAGGAGTTTACATTACCTGCGAGCTATACATTCGCATATCTTCAAATTAAAGCAATTCTAGACATTGATAAGGTCTGCATAAGAGCAGATACAATGCAATCTTCCATAACGAAGCTTGAAGAGCAATGTTTGTCGTTGTGCTCTCCGAAAAGGTCATTATCCATATGTTATCAAAGCCTAGCTAATCCTGTTGCAAATGCAAATTGGAAATTGATGCAAGACTGGCAAGAAGATCTTCAAGTGAATATTCCTTTGAGGGAATGGGAACATATCTTTAATGCTCATACGGGACTAACTACATGCACTGCGCATTTTGAAGCAGCAAGGAAAATAATGTACAGGTGGTACATGGTTCCTGGACGTCTACATACTATGTTCCCTGTAACATTGGCCATGTGTTGGCGCTGTCACACAGATAAAGGCACCATGTTACATGTCTGGTGGACATGCGAAGCGGTGAATGTATTATGGAAGGATATTGAAAGAATAATAAAACAAGTTACTAACCAGCAGTTATCTCATGATCCAAAAACAATACTCCTTTGATCACTTCCAACCAATATCCCTAAAGTGACCAAGAAAATTATACTCCTTTTACTGAGCACAGTGTCTATACTAATTGCTAGACACTGGAAGACTAATGATTTACCTTCGTTACAGGAAAATGAAGATGTGATGTCTTCTACAGCAGAATATAAACTTTTAATGTGGAACCAAAGAAAAATAGGAAAACAGAGCCCCCAAACAACCCAAATGTGGCGAACATACCTTCAATCTACTAACGAGAATTAGCCAAGTACACTTAGATAACATATGAGCAATTTAATGTTTTTATATAAAAACATCTAAAATTTAAGTTATGTTAATACGACACCATAGAATACTTTAATTTGGTATATGTCTGAGCAAGAAATATAAACTAATAGATCATTAATCTGGTATTATATCAGCTATATTGCATTAAAATGAGGCGTTTACACGTGCAAATTATTAATTGAGAATCTTTTTTGACTATATACACCGAGATAAAAAAATGGAGTTCATATTTCAAATAAGCTATTGAGTTCATATTAAACTAATCATGATTCCAACCCAGAACATGGAAACCTTGATCATATGTAGATAAAGAATATATATTAGACAATTAGCAATTGGTTTACATGTTAGCTGTATCAGGAAACCTTTGTCCCCCCCTCCCTTCAATGGGGGTTTCTTCCTTTTTTTCCCCTGCCCCTGCCCCCCTTTGTTTTGTTTTTTTTCTCTTTCTTTTCTTTTTCTCTTTCGTAACAAAGAGGCTCAGATTAAATAAGTTCTTGTTAAAATAATAAATAACTTCTTACTAGCTGTTCCCTGGTTAGTAAGGAGAAACGTCAAAGAGAATCACTTTTCTGAATATTCTAGATTAAAAGGAATGTTGTAATATATAATTTTAACAGTAAAATATGTTAAAAATAGATATGTATCAACTGAGTAATACAATTTTCATTATAAGTAGAATACAAGATCTTATTTCAAGATATGTAATGCGATAACCGTGCCTTCTTTTGTACCCTTCCCTTTTTTTCTTTCTGTATCCCCTACTTTATATTATGAAATACAATAAAAAGTAAATTACAAAAAAAGAATTGTTAGTCCAATAAAAAAGGTATCATAGCATACTGCAATACTGGTATTTTGGCATTCTGTATATATATCACTCTATATTTGTGTAGTCTATCAGAACTAAGATCCTGTGGGACTTTCAGATACAGACAGGCAAGCAGGTATTGGCCATCCAACCTGACATTGTGATGGTAGGCAAGGAACGGTACACTTCAGTTGTGGTGGATGTTTTAATACCCAGTGACCATAACATCAGGAAGAAGGAACATGAGCAGGAGCTAGAAATGTTGCAGAAAGTGAAGGCAGTAGTAGTCCCAGTTGTGATAGGAGCACTTGAGGCTGTGACCCTCTTGTTGGGAAAGTGGCTTCTGCAGATTCCAGGTGGGAAATCTGAGATCACCTGCAATCTGCTGTCTAGAAGAGTGCAGTTCTAGGAACAGGTAAATTACAGTGCAGGACCCTCAGTTTCCAGGGCCTCTGGAAGAGGACCCGCGAATTGAGTAAGCACAAAAATCAAACGTAGGAAGCTGACTGGACTAAAGAGGACAATGGCCAAAGCTTGTGACATCTCTCTCCATCAGCCCACTTGAGCTCCACAATGTATAATTATAAGTATATGCACACTAAGGTTCTCCCAGGTGTCTGAGGTATGTCCAGATGTGCTAGTCACACCTGTGGGCCTCTTCTTATTTCTTCACCACAGTTCCTTCAGACAGGGTGAGTCAGGGGTCATCAGAGGAATGTTTCTTTATTAGTTACACAGCGCTAAAGGTGTCAGAGGTAGGGGAAACTGACATGTAAGTTAAGGTTCGACCAACATGAGGTTTTGGTTTACACAAGGATGATAGAAGACAGGAGAATAACTTAAAAGTAAGAAAGATCAACATAACAAATACTGTAATAAGCAAAAAGTATAATATTTTCTTGATTAGCAGGTTTAGCCATGTACCCAATCCAAAGGTCCAATTCCATTCCTCAAAGAACCCAGTATCTTGCTTAATGTCATTTACTAGGTTATGCAGGTCTTGTATGTGTTCATGGATCGTGGTCCCATGATCTGAGAGTTTAAAACAACACATACCCTTGACGGCCTCACATCCTAAATCATTCTTCAGTAATAGTAGTCAATGGCTGCCCTGTTTTCAAGGATTGCTTTCTTATTAGCTTGGGCATCCATTAGAAGCCCTTGTAAGGTCTGGGAGTTTGCATTTAAACCTTTTGCAAGGGAGCAGGCAAGGGCATTTATTACTTTAGCATTGTACACTGCCAGTCCGGGGACTCCTACCAAGGAAACTGCTAGAGCAATAAAAAAAAATTAGTTGGTCCATTGACCATCATAGGGTATAGATCAGTGATGGCGAACCTATGGCACGCGTGCCACAGGTGGCACGCCGGGCCCTCTCTGTGGGCACGCGGCCATAGGTTCACCATCAATGCAGAGTAGGCACATGCCTGCCCAAAATGGCAGGCGCCTACTCTGCTTTCTTGTCGGCAGGACCGGAAGCAGGGGGAGGGATCGAGGAAGCAGCTCTCCTGTCCTCCCTCGAGCTGTGTGGAGCGTTGCCGCACGTTACCATGGCAACGCTCCACACAGCATTGCACTGGAGGACAGGAGAGCTGCAGACTCCTGTCCTACATACTTACCACCACCAGACCACCAGGGATGGCTGTGTTCCCCACCTCCCTTTTACTAAAGGTAAGAAGAAGGGAGGGGGGAATACTGAATCAATATGCTTTAAAAAAAAAAAGTTTTTAATGTATCTTCAAACCCCCCCAACACAGCACCCCTACCCCTCCCCCCAACACAGCACCACCCCAACACAGCACCCCTCCTCCCAACACAGCACGCCCACCCCTCCCCCCAACACAACACCCCTCCCCCCAACACAACACCCCTACCACCCCAACACTGCACCCTTGCCCCCCACACAGCACCCCTGCCCCCCACACACCTACACCTACACATAGCACCCCTGCCCCCACACACAGCACCCCTACCCCCACACAGTACCGTGTCCCCACACCCTGCCCCCACACACAGCACCCCTGCCCCCCCCCACACAACACAGCACCTTACACACAAACACATACACTGCACCCCTCAATGCAGTATATGTGTGTGTATTCAGCAGTCTTTATGTATTCAGCAGTGTGTGTGTGTATTCAGCAGACTGTGTGTGTATGTATTCAGCAGTGTGTGTATTCAACGGACTGTATGTGTGTATGTTTGTGTGTGTGTGTGTATTTAGCGGACTGTATGTGTATTTAGAAGTCTGTCGGTGTGTGTATGTATTAAGCAGTCGGTGTGTGAATGTGTTCAGCTGTCTGTGTGTATGCATTGCATTTCTTGGAGATACTAATAAATATAAGCTTAATTTTATCTATTTATATCATTATTTAAAATTTGTATCATTGAACTCTCTGTTGTGTTCTTCTTTTAAAACAAAAGATGTTAACTAGTTCTGACAACTGTACAAGTTGTTTTTTCTAAACTTAAACCTCAGTATTCATGTTTAATTGCCTTGTTGGCACTTTAAGGAAAAACAAGTTGGCATGTATTGCGGTTTGGGCACTCGGGCTCAGAAAGGTTCGCCATCACTGGTATAGATGGTAACAGGATTGTCTAGGACAGGGGTAGGCAACCTTTCAGCAACACTGTGCCGAAATAGAATTGTGATGTCCCATAGAGTGCCGGCCTTATTTTTTTTAAATTGAGGTGTGCATGTTGCCATATTCTGCTTGTTATTTATACTGCAGTTGCTTTGTATCATTGTATTTGTGTGTATATGAGCTATTATATTGTATATGTTCATGAGTAGTGGGGTTGTGTGCATGTATGTGGATTGTTGGTGGTGTTGAGTTTGTGGGGTTTGTGTGTGTGTTTGTGTGTGGGCTGTTCGTATTATTTGTATGAGGGCAGGGCCGGACTGGTGATACAAAGCAGCCCTGGAAAAAAAATCTATGCCAGCCACTTAAGTCATTGCGCCATATATTGTCGCATGTAATATGTAAGGCTATGTCTTGCCACCCCAGATGAGTAACTATATATATATATATATATATATATATATAAAAAATATATCAAATATATATTGCTTTTTCTAATATAAAATATTGGTCCTTTCAGAGTAAAATGTTGAATTATACAGTTAACATACTCACATGCAGACACAGACAGACAATCTCACTGACACACACAAGCTCATTGATACACAGCCTCATCGACAAACAAACAATCTCACTGACATACATAAGCTCATTGACATAAAAACACAAGCTCACTCACTAGCAGGCGCACACACACATGCAAGCAAGCTCACTCACTAGCAGGCGCGCACACACACACATAGCTTAATGTAGTGGTTCTGGTGTCTATAGCCTGTCAATGCAGGCTTTTCAATGTAAACACTGACTTTTCTGAGAAAAGGCAGTGTTTACATTGCTTCCTGGTGACATCTCTAATGACACACACAGACGGTCACTAGATGTGCTTCCTGTGTCAGTGCTGCACAGTGTGCAGCACCTACATTCAGGGCCTTCACACTCTGGAGGCCTTGAACGTTTCACATAGAGATACATTGATTCAATGCATCTCTATGAGGAGATGCTGATTGGTGTAATGTGTTGCAGCCAATCCTATGGCAAAGCATTGGATCGGCTGAGATCATCAAGCTTGATGATCTCAGCCATAGAAGCAGGACCAGTCAAGGGGAGACCAGCACGGCGTAAAAAAAAACCAAACAAAAAAAGTGAGTAAAACACTATTTTTAAAACACACACACAGACAAACACCATGACAGACACACACAAACATACCATGACAGACACACCCACACCTTGACAGACAGACACACACACACACACACTCACTCACACTGACAGACTGACTAACATAATGACTACCTGTGGGCGACCGGCCAGGGAATCGTGCAGGGCAGACAGCTGTCTGTGCTGGCGGCCGCAGGGGGAGCTGTGCTTGCGGCCGCAGGGGGAGCTGTGCTGTCTCTGCTCTGCTCCCCAGCGTGCAGCTTAATGAGACCGGGGCCGGAATAGGACATCATATTCCAGCCCCCGGTCTCATTAAGTAGTGCGCGAGGGCTGGGGAGCAGAGCAGAGACCGCGCAGCTTCCCGTGCAGCCACCATCACAGCTCCCCCTGCGGCTGCCATCACAGATCCCCCTGCGGCTGCCAGCACAAACAGCTGTCTGCCCGGCCCCAGGTGCCGACGGCCCAATGGGAAATTTCCAGTCTGGCCCTGTATGAGGGGAGGGTTATTCTGCATCTCTGTGTATATCTAGCAGCGTGGGTGGCTTCCCTAGGTTCCCGTGGATCAGGCTGGCCAGGTACAGTTCAAGGACAGGAGCTGCAACAGAAGCTGTGGGCTCCTCTACTACAGTGTGGATTCCTATTCACAAGTGCTGGGAGGAAGTGATCTGAGGTCACTTCCTCTACATGCTGCAATGCATAATTTGAGGATTGTCCTTCACCATATTTTCGTATTAGCAGATAAGTTTCACTGGGACTCCTGATAGGTCAGAGCCTGTTTGGCTCTAGCAGCTTTGAGTGCCGTGCAAAGACACCTTGAGTGCTGTGCATGGCACACGTGCCATAGGTTCCCTGGTCTATGACAATGTCTGTAGCATTGTCCAAAAGAGCTACTGCTCTTACAGAAGAAGGGGCACTTCTGGCACCTGGGTCTACCCTGGTAGAGTAGTAGGCATTAGGCCTTTGTTTACCACCATGGTAAAGGACAGCTGTTGCATAACCAGCCTGCTCGGTGCAAAACAGGGTGAAGGGTTTCCTGTAATCTGGAAGACCCAGTGCCTGGAGCTGAGATGACAAGGAACTTAAAAGGTTTAAAATGCTTCTTCTGCTTCAGGAGTTAAATGAAAGGGTTCACAGGTGAGGCAGTCATACAAGGGCTGCGTGTAGATTGCCAAAGAGTGAAGCCATGGACGACAATAGGAGACTAGGCCAAGGAATGTACGTAGTTGGGCTAGGCTGCGTGGAGGGTTAATCTTTTGAACTGCATGTTTCCTGTCTTCTGTGAAATGCTTTGTACCATGGGAAATATAATGTCCTAAAAAGATAACAGTGGGAACACATGCCTGCAGTTTGGCCTTGGTAGCTTTGCATCCTGCTTGTGTCAAGAATTTTAGTAACGACAGGGTGTACTCTGTACAGGATTCCTGATCCGGGCAACATCAAAGCATATCATCAACATATTGTAACAACACAACATCATCTGCCCTTGGCCAGGCTTCTAGAATGTTGGCCATTGCCATGCTATACATGGTAGATGATTTTTGAGCACCTTGGGGCAAAACCGTCCATATCTATTGTTTGTGTTTATGTGTAAATGCAAAAGGAAATTGACTGTCTGAGTGCAAGGGAACAGATAAGAATGCATTTGCCAGGTCAATGACAATGGTAAACACGTTTGACGAAGGTGAAATCTGTGACAACAGTGTATGAAGGTTGGGGGGAATTAGTTGGGTCATGGCATTAATTACCCTTAAATCATGTACCATACGATAAACCACAGGTTTTCCTTTCTCCTGTTTCTTCTTAACAGGGTACAGGGGGTATTACAAGTGGAGGTGGTGGCAACAATTACACCTGCCTGTAATAATTCATGTATAGATGTGAAATGGCATCATCTTGTGCTGGACTAAGGGGATATTGTTTTTGAAAGGGAGGGGTAGCTCCTGGTAGGAGATTCATCAGCATATCTGGAACCATCTGGCACAGAGAGTCTGCCTCTGTCTGTCTTCCCTGTGGCCGATAAGGAGTCAGGGACTGAGGTCAGGTCAACAGTAGGTTTAGTCATGGGGCTGGGCAGAGTAAGATTAGCTAGGAAGATTAGCAAGGGGGATTAGCAAGGGGTAGCAAGCAATTGTCCTCTAGGGGCAGGAACAATGATACCTCTCCAGACGGACTGAACGGAATGTTGGCATTAATAGCAAACAGAATATCACTGCCTAGCAAATTGACAGGGGCTTTAGGGCTGACAAGCAATCTGGTAACGAGAGAGTTCGAGTCATGGAGCTTAAGCTTCATCTGGTGGTTGAGTGAGATATCTGCTGGGTGTCCATCTACACATGACAGGACATCACTTGATTTTTCATAGGGAAAATGTATTTTTCCTGTACAACAGAACGGACTGCCCCAGTGTCTAGAAGAAATGGGACTATTCTATCACCTGTTAATGTAACATTAACAGTAGGAGAGGGTCCAGCTACATCAGGAATAGTTAAAGCGTGCAGGGACACTGGGTTGTCAATTTCCTATTGGGGCAGGGGTGGTGGGAGTGTCACATCAGTCATCGGAACTGTTCGGCTGGTTCCTACTTTTAGGAGGACATTTACAGTTGCGCTTAATATGTCCCTTTCTCCCACAATTCCAACACTCAACCTGTCTCCTTTCTGCACATGATCTGGGTGCAGTTAATGCCGTAAGGGGTGTACTCCTTTTCCTTTTAAATTAGGTTGACTTTTACACCCATTGCTACTTTGCCTAGGGAGCCATAGTCGAGGTTTCTCCACTCTGGGCTAGCATTTTCGAGACCTGTCCTTATGTAGGCGTGGAGACCATCCATACATTTTTTCATCAAAAGGTGGGTGGAAGTCACTTCAGTTTCTGTATAGCCTAATGATTCCCATGCTATTTGTAACCTGACAAAAAAACTTTTCTACAGATTCATCCTTTCCCTCTATGATTTCTCCCAGTTTATGAGCTAACTCCTCAGTTTTTACTTTTGCCCAATCTTTAAGGGCAGTAACATAAGATTTCCCTGAAGCCAACTTAGATCTAAACCAGTATTCAGTTTTAGGGGATTGGTTTCGCCCATTTCCACTTTTTAAATCCTCTTCATGGACATCCGTATACTGTGCAATTATTCTTGTCAGATATTTGCTTTAAGTCCGCTCAAGTGCACTGGTAAGGATCTTGGATTGTGGACAGGGTTTGGACTAAAGCTAATGGGGCTTTTTCCACATCTGGCAACTGTTTAATTATAGTCAGTTGTTCACTTGGGGTCCATGGTTTTTACTCTTCTGTGATCCTTGTTTGCAGGTAGCACGGTCCTCTAGGGCAAAAACATGCACAGTCCTTGTAATTGCATATACTCAGGCACTTTATTTTGTAAATCCACACAGGATACAGCAGTAAATGAAAACAAATGTAACAGAAAACCCTATAAACAAAAAACTAGCTCGTCTGAGCACTAACTGACATTAGGTTCCCTATCTCTCAGGGTTAAACTAAACAAAACAATATTGCACCAACCTTATTAGAGAGCAACACTCTGCTAGCTAGCCTGTTGCTTTCGTTTCTGCACTCTCAGTGCTCCAAGCCAGCCTTGCCCTGACTGCTTTCCTTTCTGCACTCCCAGTGCTCCAAGCCAGCCTTGCCCTGACTGCTTTGCTTTCTGCACTCCCAGTGCTCCAAGCCAGCCTTGCCCTGACTGCTTTCCTTTCTGCACTCTCAGTGCTCCAAGCCAGTCTTGACTGCTTCCTCCTGCACTCCCAGTGCTCCAAGCCAGCCCTGACTGCTTCCTTTCTGCACTCCCAGTGCCTAGTCTTCTTGACTATCTGGAGAGAACAGCCTCTCTCTCTCCTACCTGCTTCCTGGGAGGAAGCCAGCAATCCCTCTCCATTACCTGCCTAGCAGGGAGGAGTTTATTCCCACTGCAACAGCTCATTAACTGCAGCTGAGCAGTGGGTTGGAGACGATCCAAAAAACCCTGGCCTGGATCCATGTCTCCCCAGAAACCCACTAAACCGTGGAGTGGAGCATTGGCCCACCCTTCTCTCCAAATGCTCCACCCCAGGGGCCCATAACTAAACAAAGCTTTGGGTTGTGCAACACAAAAAACTACACCTACTTCCCCTGGGGTTAAAAGGCCTATCTGCCTTCACTTTATCACACTTCCCACCGCTACACCCAGGATTCACCCTGACTAGGACTCTTGCCCTGTCCCTGTTTAACTTTAGTCTGTTTAGGGGTGCCTCCATTTGCTCCCTCTTGTTCTGGTTCAATGTCACCAGGGTAATTATAAGTTTTTCCACTACGTAGTACAACTGGAAAAAAGAGTCTATGGGAGTCTATGGGACTTGATCACTTGATTCACCTCAGGGTGAATTAAAGTATATAAAGGGGGCCAATGAAACCAAAATCCCCTCCATTTTTCCTCCCACCAGGGATTTGTCCATTCTCACCTAGGGCAAGTCTATTATGGCTTTTGGGTGACCGGGTTTACGGTAGATATGGAGGTCTGTGCTTTAGGGACCGACTTATGGACGGTTCCTTCCTTCAGGCTCCCTTTTGGGGTTTTCCTGATTAGATGACCCTAAGGGTCAAACATTGATAATAAGGAATTCCTTTCTTAGTGGTTTCTCTACAACCACATTTAGTTAATCCAAATGCAGTGTCATGCCATTTTTGGGCTACCTCTACCAAATTATTATCTTCTAACCATCCTCTATAATTGGCCATGATCTGGGGGTCCAAGGTGCCCTCTGAGGGCATACCAGCTTTCTTTGATAATTTATTCATTTTCTTAGTAGCTCCTTTTTCTTGATGATTGGGTACTTTGTAAGTTACCCATCTTATATCCTATAAGGAGTAATTACTTCCTTAACCAAGACAAGACTGTTTAAACACTTAGGACCACTGCAGTGGAATTTTCACAGTATTTGTCTTCTTTTTAAAAATTCTTTATTTTTGAGTGCACAAAGAAAAAGCAGTTACATATGTGTTTGCCATGCCCCAACAGCATGTACACACAATATAAAAATGAACATCGATTTAGTAAGGCATGGCATGGGAACACAATGCACTTTTTTAATATAATGACATGAAGACTAGTTTGAAACATAACTAGTTGTGAAGTGAGAACTAAGAATGCAAGAAACAACATAATATGGTAGTTGGTCAGCATTATTCACAAACTACACATTTTAGAATTTATGTAGAGTAGGAGACCTGTTAGTCAAAGCTGTCTAAGCATTAAGAAACAATAGGCTACTATATTCAAGAATAAAGTAATAGATTAAACTGTGTTCCTACAACTTTTACATAGTAGATGCTGTTAGTAAGATAACGGCACAAGGGTACAGAGGACCTCGTCAACAAGTTGCCTAGCACTGCATTTCACTATCTATTCTTTTTTTTTTTGCATATTAATACAAACAGGCCTGAGTTACCCCAACGGCAATCCTCAGGCTTCGTGAAACATTGGATAAGGCATGCACTTTTTGTTTGTTTGCTATAAACAGGAGATAAACAGGGTGGTACAATTCCTAGGTAGGTCTATCCAGCTGAAAATCATGGTGCAGGCGTACAGTGGCGAGTTTGGCTAGGAGTCTTGCTAGGTTAGGCCTAGGTCAGGCTCCGCCCACGTTTCTCCCCTGCCGTCACCAGTGGGGTAGACCTAATGCGCATGCACAGCAATGGCTGCACTTGCATTAGGATTTCCCCATAGGAAGATCTGACACTGGAGGTCATCATACAGCGCACGAGGACGTCCTGCGTCAGATAACGGACCAAAGGTCCGTTTGGATTCCGGAAGCCCTCTTGTGGCTGTCTGGTAGACAGCCACCGAGGGCAGAATTAGAACGTGGTTTCCATTCCTGGTTCACGAGAGTGCATTTTCTTGTCCTGTTTTTGATATTCCCGGTATTTTGATCTTGGCTATTCCTGACTATTCTGGTTTCCCTGACTTGGCTTGTTAAATGATATTGTGATATTGTGTAATCTGGCTTCCTTGACCTCGGCTGTCCCTTGACCATTCTCTGTCTTTAACGTATTAGTCCGGCCATTTTAAGGACCGGTTTACATTCTATCCTTTTCTGTTCTGTCTATGTAGATGTTGCATAGTTCTGCGTGCTGGACCACACTAGCAGTCGTGACACAGACTCCTTCCAAACTGCTGTGAAGGACTGGAATAAAAAATCTTATACATACAGTGCCTTGCAAAAGTATTCACCCCCTTAACTTTTTACCTGTTTTGTTACATTACAGCCTTAAGTTCAATGTTTTATTAATCTGAATTTTATGTGATGGATCAGAACACAATAGTCTAAGTTGGTGAAGTGAAATGAGAAAAATAAATACATAAAACTATTTTTTAGGAATATAAAACAGGAAATTGGCATGTGCGTATGATATTTATAGAGCGCTGTCAAATTCCGCAGCGTTTTACAATGGGTGGACGAACAGACATGTAGTTGTAACCAGACAAGTTAGACACACAGGAACAGAGGGGTTGAGGGCCCTGCTCAATGAGCTTACATGCTAGAGGGAGTGGGGTAAAATGACACAAAAAGGTAAGGATAGTATTAGACTAGTGACAGTTGCAGAAGAGGAATCAGTCAGGAGCTATTAACAGTTTAATTGATACACTTTTATGAAGAAGTGGGTTTTTAACGATTTTTTGAAGGAGTGGAGACTGGGTGAGCATCTAACGGAGGAGGGAAGCGAGTTCCACAGGAACGGTGCAGCCCTCGAGAAATCTTGAAGGCGAGCATCAGAGGTGGGAGTACGGACAGAAGATAGACGTAAGTCTTCAGCAGATCGTAAGGGCCTAGACGGGACATACTTGTGTATAAGGGAGGATAGATAGGTGGGAGCAGCATTATGTAGAGATTTGAAAGCAAGAACCAGAATTTTAAATTGAGCTCTATATTTTATAGGAAGCCAATGTAGGGACTGACAGAAGGGTGAGGCATGGGAGGTGCGGGCGGACAGGAAGATGAGCCTCGCCGCCGCATTCATTATGGACTGTAATGGCACAAGTTGGGAGCACGTAACACCACTGAGAAGCGGATTACAGTAGTCAAGGCGAGAAAGGACAGTGGAATGGACCAACACCTTAGTCACATCTGGCGTTAAGTAGGGGCGGATGCGCGCAATGTTTTTGAGATGGAAATGACAGGATTTGGCGATAGATTGAACATGAGGCTTGAAGGAGAGGTCGGAGTCAAAGAGAACACCTAGGCAGCGAGCCTGCGTGGTGGAGCTGATGGTAGCACCGTTGACTTGGAGGCAGACAGACACAGGAGTAACAACACTTGAGGGAGGAAAGACCAGAATTTCAGTTTTGGTCAAGTTTAGTTTAAGGAAGTGGGCAGCCATCCAGTTAGAAACGGCAGAGAGGCAGTCAGAGACACTAGTCAAGAGGGACTGGGAGAGATCAGGAGAGGACAGGTAGATTTGCGTGTCATTTGCACAGAAATGATATTGGAAGCCAAAGGAGCTAATGAGTTTACCAAGGGAGGCAGTATAGATGGAGAACATTGGAAAAAGAGAAAGAAAACTGCGCTAAATTGCCACAATAAAATTATAAGAAAGGCAGCAATCCTCAAAGGGGAGTCCCCAATAATCCCCTAATGATAACAAATAGCAAGAACAAACATAGATATAAGGATGCGCCTAAAACTTGATAAAATAAAAGACTAAATTAGTCAGATAAAATACAGAATAAAATAAGTAATAAAACAATAGTCCAATAAAATAGGCTTATCACAGTCCGTGAGGGTAGGTCCCACTTGTAAAGGAATATTCTTTAGGGTGTAGGTGGGATCATATCTTCAAATGTTGAGAATTCAGCATATGTGGAGAGAAAAATAAAAACAGGACTCCAATGGCACAGTAGATCGGTGTATAAAATAAATATAAAGGTATTGGACTATTGTTTTATTACTTATTTTATTCTGTATTTTATCTGACTAATTTAGTCTTTTATTTTATCAAGTTTTAGGCGCATCCTTATATCTATGTTTATAGATGGAGAACAGTAGGGGACCAAGGACTGAACCTTGGGGGGGACCAACAGAGAGGAATTGGGGAGAAGAAGCAGAGCCAGAGAAAGAAACACTGAAAGTGCGCTGGGAGAGGTAGGAGGAGCACCAGGAGAGAGCAATATCTTGTAGACCGATATTGCGGAGGATGAGAAGAAGCTGTTGATGATCAACAGTGTCAAAAGCCGCAGACAGGTCAAGGAGAATTAGGATAGAGTAGTGACCACGAGATTTTGCAGCGAGTAGATCATTGAATACTTTGGTCAGTGCCGTTTCCACAGAGTGCTTAGCGCGGAAACCAGACTGAAGCGGGTCTAGCAGAGAGTTGGACTCGAGAAAGTCTGTCAATCTGGCATACACAATTTTTTTCAAGGATCTTGGATGCAAAAGGCAGTAGCGAGATAGGACGATAGTTGGATGGGGAGTTAGGGTCAAGATTGGGCTTCTTTAGAATTGGGGTTATAGTTGCATGTTTGAAGGGCAATGGAAATATACCAGAGGAGAGAGAGAGATTGAGAATTTTAGTGAGAGGTGGAGAAAGAGAAGAAGACAGAGTATGGATGAGATGTGAGGGAATTGGATCTAGGGAGCAGGTGGTGGGGCGGGAGGACTGGAGCAGAGCAGAAACCTCTTCCAATGTAGTGGGTGCGAATGAACATAGAACAGCAGAGGGAGTGAAGTAAGGGGAAGAAGAAAGGTGAGAGATCTCTTCTCTGATTGTAGAGATCTTGTCAGTGAAGTGAGTTGCAAAGTCTGAGGCGGTCAAGTTAGTAGGTGGAGGAGGAACAGCAGGGCGAAGAAGAGAGTTAAATGTGTGAAATAGTCGTTTGGGTTCGCGGGAGAGTGTGGTTATGAGGGTATTGAAGTAATTAACTTTTGCAGAGGAAAGAGCCAAGCTGTATGAGCTCAGCATAAATGATGCAAGTCCTCAAACATTTCATGTTAATTCCAGGTTGTGAGGCAACAAAACACAAAAAATGCCAAGGGGGGTGAATACTTTTGCAAGGCACTGTGTATATATGTGTGTGTATGTGTATATGTATATATATATATGTATAATATAGACAAAGAGTCCTTGCACTCATACTGACCCTATTAAATTGCAATGCCGGGTGCTTAAATAGCCACAGCCCAAAAAATATAAATATAGAAAAGGGGGAATTCTTTATTGGGAGTTATTCCATAAAATCTAAGTTTCAGCCCACGTCCAGGGCTTTCCTCAGGATCAACAAACAATATAGCACTAACATAAGTGCTGTAATATATAGCCAATAAGTTGAAAGTTAAACTCACAGCATGTGATCCCTGTTAATCGCTCAGCGTCTTCCTGTTGCATGTGCGCATGCGTGTACACACCTTACCCAGTAAAAAGTAAAAGTAAAAAGAGCATGACCCCGTTGTCCTAGCAACAATCTAATGCCCCGGGCGCCTTAGTAACAACTATAAACAAAAGAGATATAGTGCTGGAAATAGGATATATAAGAAACGAATCATACTAGTGAAGTGTGTCTGACTGGTAAGGATGATTGCCGTGTGTACTATAACCCATAATTAAGGATGTGTGAATAGTGCTTTTCAAAGAGTTTATGCTAGGACATAATTCTAGGACATCAATGACAGTCCCATAAAATAATTATAAACGTGTAAAGACTGAAAAAAGTCAGAAGTGCCATGATATTGATTAAAGTGCCATAAGATACAGTACATAAGATATACCGTATTTTTCGCTCCATAAGACGCACTTTTTTTCCCCTCAAAAGTGAGGGGAAATGTCTGTGCGTCTTATGGAGCGAATTTGTAGCTTTACTTACCAGTCTTGTAGCGTGGGCCGGCAGGACAGCGCGCTCCGCGGTACAGGAAGTTCAGGTTCCGGATTCCGGCGGGACTGAAAGGAAGTGTGCACTTCCTTTCAGTCCCGCCGGAAACCGGAACCTGAACTTGAAGTTCCTGTACCGCGGAGCGTGCTGTGAAGCCGGCCCACGCTACAAGACAGGTAAGTAATTATGTGACAAGGGGAGGGGGACACTATGGAACAAGGGGAGGGAGGGACACTATGGAACAAGGGGAGGGAGGGACACTATGGAACAAGGGGAGGGACACTGTGAGACAAGGAAGGGGGACCCTGTGAGACAGGGGAGGGACACTGTGGGACAAGGGAGGGACACTGTGATCAAGGGGAGGGACACTGTGGACAAGGAGAGGGTGGGACACTATGTGACAAGGGGAGGGGGACACTATGGGACAAGGAGAGGGTGGGACACTATGGGACAAGGAGAGGGTGGGACAAGGAGAGGGTGGGACACTATGGGACAAGGGGAGGGGGACACTATGGGACAAGGGGAGGGGGACACTATGGGACAAGGAGAGGGTGGGACAAGGAGAGGGTGGGACACTATGGGACAAGGGGAGGGGGACACTATGGGACAAGGAGAGGGTGGGACACTATGGGACAAGGGGAGGGTGGGACACTATGGGACAAGGGGAGGGGTGGACACTATGGGAGGGAAAGTGTACTATGGGACAAGGGGGGGAACACTATGGGATGAGAACACTATTGGACAAGGGGAGGAGGGGTTAACAATCACTATGGGACAAAGGAAAGGGGGGTTAAAATAACTATGGGACAGGGGAGGGGGGTTAAAGATCATTATGGGACAGGAGAGGGGAGTGGGTGGTAAGGAACAAAAAATTCCTTAAAAAAAAAATATTCTGAACAAACTGTCCCATAGTAAGAAACACTATGGAACAGTTCAGAATATTTTTTTTTCTGGGTTTCCTCCTCTAAAAGTAGGTGCGTCTTATGGTGAGGTGCGTCTTATGGAGCGAAAAATACGGTACATTGCAAGAAAAGCCTTTATCTAAAATTGTGCCGTGAAAAGTGAAACAGTGCAAAAAGGCAACAAAATTACCACAATGTAAACAAGTATAGACCATTACCAGTGGGCTGAATGTATAGCAAGCATTAAAAATTCACAACTCAATCATAAAATTCCATAAAAATACAAATAAAAAAAGTACAAATGCAGATAAAAGCTTATACTAAAGTAAAGAACTATGATGGAGAACCGAACTAGCTTTATTATAAAAGGTTAAAGAAATTAAAGTTAACATAAAACCCCTGAATGGTTAAAGTGTTAAGATTTTAAACCCATTTCATTTCCTTTCTGCCTAGTAATTGGGGAGGTCCCCACCTCGCCAAGGGGGGAAACTATTTCTATGGCATGAAATTTTAAACAACTGGGATCTTTGTTGTGGGTTAAAAAGTGTTTAGACACTGAATGGTTAATGAAGCCCTTTTTGATGTTTCTACAGTGTTCTGTGGTACATATTTTTAGGCTACTAGTAGTCACACCAACATACTGTAATTTAAATGGACATTCTAATAAATAAATTCCATGTTTTGAATTACAAGTAATAAACTAATTTTTATTGTGCTCCTGAGGAGAATATCTAGATTTAAATGTTACAATTTTTATATTCTCTTTGTTAGTACCTCTGCATGCTATGCATTTTTCATTTATAAAACCCTTTCTGTGCATTAAAAAAAGTGTTTTTCTCGCTGGTTTTTTTTAGTATAGTTTTTAGTGAGACACATTTTTAGGTTGCCTACCTCCTCCTCCTGGTACTCCTGCTGCCGCTGGGGAGCGAGACCGGTTGCCTCCTCTCCCTGGGGTTCCAACTGCAGTTGGGGATCTGTGCCGGTTGCCCAGCATCCTTGTAGGGCCGGTGGAGAGACCTTGATCCCATCTCCACCTGCCATCTGTGCATCTTCCCAGGACCAGTCTATGAGGTCCCTCAACATTTGAGAAGAAGGACCACCTGCCTCCGCACCCGGTAACTCTGGCCGCTGCTGGGGATCTGGGACGGCTGCCCAGCATCCCGGTGGGAATGGTGGAGAGACCTCGGTCCCATCTCCACCTGCCTGTTGGGGTTCCTCACAGGACCAGTCTATGAGGACCCCTACTTCGGGTACCTCTTGTGGCTGCTGGGGAAGGAGACCGGTTGTCTCTTCCCTCTGCACGGTGCACTGCCGCTGGGGAGGGAGGTCGCTGCTCTCCTCTCCATGTGACTCTGTCTGCTGCTGGGGACAGAGACCGGCTGTCCCGAGCCCCAGTCTCCACAATCTGAACTCACATTCCCGTGCTGCTTGGTTCTCCTCATCCAACTCTTCCATGATACGGATGATCACCTCTTCCAAAGGGTCTGGGCTATACTCGACTAGCCGCCTCTTTACCTCCGTGATGTAAGCTTCGCCCTCAAATAGGTCATGTTTGCTTGGCCCCACTCTGGGCCACTAGATTCTGCTGTAGACAGGGGTGCTGCACGAGTGCTAGCGTCGCCCTCACTTGTAGCTCCGTAACGCTACTGGTGTCTCTGGGCTGCTTCTCCTCACACTAGGACGCCATCCCCCACTTGTCACTAAATGTGACGGACCCTCTGGCACTCCGACCGAGTACCTCCGTCAATCGATGCTCCTAGTGCTTGCCGAGGACTCCAAGCACTCCAACCGACACCATCAGCACTGCAGACTTATCCCATCCCCCAAGCATGAGCCAAGGCGTCAAGAAAGGGGCAGAGAGTGTTTGAAAATATGACAGTTATTAAGGGTTTAAACTGGTGTTTTAAGGGGGGGGGGAGGGGGTGTCAAACAAAGTCCATAAAACAGGGGTTTTCTTCACACTCTGCATCCGAAGTGCGTTGCAAAACTGCAGATCCTTTGTCAGAGCATTTAAAGGGCCAGAACCAGTCTAATAAAATCCACTATGCCCAAATAACGTATTTAAAGGGCAAAATCTGCCAGGGACCATAGTCATAAGGCAATAGGCTGGTAATTAGTCCTCTCTAGGCACAAGTGGCGAAGGGCACTTCGTCACAGGGACGCTTTTGAGCCATGGGGGATAATGGCAAATACTAAAATCTATAAATGTGTTTATATGTACTTTAAAAAAAAAAAAAAAAAAAAGGTTTTAGTGAGCAGCTGGTTGTTGTCTATATAGATTTCTTAATCTAAAAATAGTACCTTACTGGTGCTAATATCTCCGGTATAAGATAATATTTGACCTCCATTGTGAGTTGGAACCAGATAAAACTCTCGTCCCAGTCGACCATGAAAAGGTTAGCGTAACTTGGCGCTACCCTCGTCCCCATGGCGATCCCTTTTTGTTGTAAGAAAAAAGAATCGTAAAACCAAAAATAGTTGTTTCTTAGAATGATGTTCAGGTCCTCCAAAAAAAAACTAATAAGAGCCTGGGGTGTGTTTCCATATTTTTCTAAAATCCTTTTAATGGCAGCACATCCAAGGTCATAGGGTATAATAGTGTAGAGGGACTGGACATCACTGGTAACTAAAATGTAGCTTGGTTTTCATTCAAATTTATTTAAAATTTGTAGGAGACTCATACTGTCTTTTAGGAAGGATCTGATCTTGGAGACATGGGGTTGAAGACGAGTGTCTAGGTATTCAGAAAGGTTTGATAGAACTGAATTTATACCCGATACTATAGGGCGGCCTGGAGTTTTTTTTTCTCAATTTTTGTGAATCTTGGGTAAGAAGTATATCACTGGTATAGTACGGTATGTTACAGTTACAAGAAAAAGTATGTGAACCCTTTGGAATGATATGGATTTCTGCACAAATTGGTCATAAAATGTGATCTGATCATCATCTAAGTCACAACAATAGACAATCACAGTCTGCTTAAACTAATAACACACAAAGAATGAAATGTTGCCATGTTTTTATTGAACACACCATGTAAACATTCACAGTGCAGGTGGAAAAAGTATGTGAACCCCTAGACTAATGACATCTCCAAGAGCTAATTGGAGTGAGATGTCAGCCAACTGGAGTCCAATCAATGAGATGAGATTGGAGGTGTTGGTTACAGCTGCCCTGCCCTATAAAAAACACACACCAGTTCTGGGTTTGCTTTTCACAAGAAGCATTGCCTGATGTGAATGATGCCTCGCACAAAAGAGCTCTCAGAAGACCTACCATTAAGAATTGTTGACTTGCATAAAGCTGGAAAGGGTTATAAAAGTATCTCCAAAAGCCTTGCTGTTCATCAGTCCACGGTAAGACAAATTGTCTATAAATGGAGAAAGTTCAGCACTGCTGCTACTGTCCCTAGGAGTGGCCGTCCTGTAAAGATGACTGCAAGAGCACAGCGCAGACTGTTCAATGAGGTGAAGAAGAATCCTAGAGTGTCAGCTAAAGACTTACAAAAGTCACTGGCAAATGCTAATATCCCTGTTAGTGAATCTACAATACGTAAAACACTAAACAAGAATGGATTTAATGGAGGATACCACAGAGGAAGCCACTGCTGTCCAAACAAAACATTGCTGCACGTTTACAGTTTGCACAAGAGCACCTGGATGTTCTACAGCAGTACTGGCAAAATAGTCTGTGGACAGATGAAACCAAAGTTGAGTTGTTTGGAAGAAACACACAACACTATGTGTGGTGAAAAAAAGGCACAGCACACCAACATCAAAACCTCATCCCAACTGTGAAGTATGGTGGTGGGGGCATCATGGTTTGGGGCTGCTTTGCTGCGTCAGGGCCTGGACGGATTGCTATCATCGAAGGAAAAATGAATTCCCAAGTTTTTCAAGACATTTTGCAGGAGAACTTAAGGCCATCTGTCTACCAGCTGAAGCTCAACAGAAGATGGGTGTTGCAACAGAACAATGACCCAAAGCATAGAAGTAAATCAACAACAGAATGGCTTAAACAGAAGAAAATACGCCCTCTGAAGTGGCCCAGTCAGAGTCCTGACCTCAACCCGATTGAGATGCTGTGGTATGACCTCAAGAAAGCGATTCACACCAGATATCCCAAGAATATTGCTGAACTGAAACAGTTCTGTAAAGAGGAAAGGTCAAGAATTACTCCTGACCGTTGTGCACGTCTGATCTGCAACTACAGGAAACGTTTGGTTGAACTTATTGCTGCCAAAGGAGGTTCAACCAGTTATTAAATCCAAGGGTTCACATACATTTTCCACCTGCACTGTGAATGTTTACATGGTGTGTTCAAAAAAAAACATGGACACATTTTATTCTTTGTGTGTTATTAGTTTAAGCAGACTGTGATTGTCTATTTTTGTGACTTACATGATGATCAGATCACATTTTATGACCAATTTGTGCAGAAATCCATATCATTCCAAAGGGTTCACATACTTTTTCTTGCAACTGTATGTTCATGTACATGTACTCGTTTCTGTTAATATTTTGTTGTTCTAATCCCTTCTTTAAAAATGTGTCTAAAATATATGTAATATCGGACGTGGGATTTAATTAGTTTTTGATATACAGAGGTATCATTCAGCTTAGAAAAGGCTTTGTTCATGTACATGTCCATGATGAGAAGGACTAGACCACCCCCCTTATCAGCAGGTTTTATTCTCTAAAGCCATCTTTTCTTTTTTTGTCAAATTAAACGTATCAAATTTGTTATTGGTGATTTTCCTTAGATCTCTGGTTACTAGCTTTTCGAGCATGTCCAAGCTACTGGATGTAAAATTAGGATAAAAGGTAGAAGTGGGTTTAAGTTTGGTGTACTGTCCTGAAGATTTTCATTGTTAGAAAATGATGATAGTAGAACCCGTGGGTTATTTCTGCCCTTGGAACTTGTCTGATAACTCCTTATTTTTGTAGGGAGGATACAAATTCCTTAAAGGACCACTATAGGCACCCAGACCACTTCAACTTAATGAAGTGGCCTGGGTGCCAGGTCCATCACGGGTTAACCCTGCCTGCTGTAAACATAGCAGTTTCAGAGAAACTTCTATGTTTATATATGGGTTAATCCAGACTCTAGTGGCTGTCTCATTGACAGTCGCTAGAGGCGCTTCTGCGCTTCTCACTGTGATTTTCACAGTGAGAAGACGCCAGCGTCCATAGGAAAGCATTGAAAATGCTTTCCTATGGACTGACTGAATGCGCGCGGGTCTTGCCGCGCATGTGCATTCAGCCGATGAAGGAAGAGGAGAGTCCCCAGCATCGAGGGAGCCCGGCGCTGGAGAAAGATAAGTGATTAACCCCTACCTACTCCTAGAGCCTGGCGGGAGGGGGGCCATGATGGTGGGGAGGGGACCTATTAATACTAGAGTGCCAGGAAATCGAGTTTGTTTTCCTGGCACTATAGTGGTCCTTTAAGTGCAATACTTTTTTCCTTGTCTGCTGGTCATTTGAAAGGATCTTTAAGTATAAGTCCTGAATAATTCTAGAAGATATCCTTGTTTGGTTATCTAGAGGACCCATCTGTCGTTTGTGTCTATTGGAATAGGAGCAGACGTGCCCCTGCTCCTCCTGACTTGGCGTGTATGGAATTCTTAGAGGAGGTAATACATCTGGATTTGTCTCCTCTGATGCCAGACTGTCCACATCTTCTGTATTATCCCGGAAAGACTAGTATTCTGATGCACTTTTGGGACAAAAGGACCATTTTGGTCTCCGATCTTGGGGTAGAAAGGCCATTCTGCCTTCTCCTGCTCTCTTTATGCAGCCATCCAAGTTCTTGCCAAACAACATATCGCCATGAAAGGGTAAGGCACAGAAGCAGTTCTTGGAGGAGGCTTCTGCTGAACAGGATCTAAGCCATAATGCTCTCCTTGCTGATACAGAAAAGGCCATGTTTTTGGCTAAACTTCTGACCAAATCCACTAATGCTTCTGAAGAGAAATCAATAGCATCTTTAAATGATCCTGCATTATCTACAGGGAGAGTGGTGTGCTCTGCTAATCTGACAACAGCGTCATCCACTTTAGGAGCAGAATCCCATGTCTCACAATCCTTACTCTCAAATGGATAGAGAAGGGAAAATCTGCTTTTAGGAGAGGACTTCTTGTCTGACCATTCATCTTTAATAATGTCACTTATAGTCTCATGAACAGGAAAAGTAGCCCTTTTTCTCCTTAGGTCTGAGAAGTAGCGGCTAGAAGTGGAAGACTCCTCTTTGGTGGAGTCCTTTAGGTTTAGTGATTTACACACTCTGGAAATCAGATGATCTATCACTGCAAGTTCAAGGAAATCTGGTTCTCGCACAAATGAACGCTGGTGCTTACACGTTCGCACAAATAAACACCGGCACTTGCACATTTGGACAAATGCCGGCGTATGCGGGTTCTCATGAACGAATATAAAAATGAAAAGGCCAGCGTCTGCTTGATCATACAAACGAAAACTGGCGCTTGTGCATTTGTATGGCGAAAGACCTGAAACAAATAGACTTACCTTATTTCAGTGAAAACCTCTCCCGAACAATTCAAAGAGCCCTGAAAGGATTAAGAAGGTAAAAATTTAGATGGATAATCCTGCTATGCTTACTTTATTCTCCAGTAAGCCTGAATAAAATTCTTCAAAGATGCTAACTTTCTGCTATCCCTCGGGTCACCACAGTTATGTGGTCATGTCATAATCTTGCTACCCCTAGGGTTTCAGCAAAAAAACCACTAAAAAGGTTTCTAGAGGGGGTCACCTTTGCGCAGGGCCGTGTACTGGAGACTTCCCGAGGAGAGAGGCTGAACTCCCAAGGGGCCAGAGGAAGAGACTATCCTCAGGTAAGCCATAAAAGAAAAATCTTTTAGTCCTGAAATAAATAAGTTGGTCCTATAGGGTTTGAATTGAAAACTTCCCTGCCTCACATCAGAACAGCGCTCAGTCCACCTTCAGCGGATCCAGTTGCAATAAGCAAGGTAGCCTTCTGGACAACATTTAATGCTGCACATTTGCCGCACTCCCCTCCCCACCCCACCCCACCCCATGCTCATCATTGAATTTATAGATATACTCTCGCCTACAAATCTAGATAATCAGAAATAACAGCTGCAAATCAAATAATCAGCACACTCCTATACTCTCTTAACCCCTAACACTCACTCTCAATCTTCCTCACCTCTGCATGAAACTGTGAAACTCTTGTGAGGATATTTATGGGGTGATATTAAAAATAATATTTTCATTAAAATGATCAAAAATGTATTTAATAATTTTTATTATATCAAAAATTTAAATTGTGGCACTGTTCCCCGATTAATTATTTAAAGCTGAGAATTACCCAATATTTTAATATCTCACACAGTAATCACAAATTAATTATAAAAATATAATTTATTGTGACAATAATATTAATATATGTAACACGCGTGACAATCAGTGAATATTTAGGTATAACATAAGTATACAATATGGCAGTGGTTTAATACAATATAGACAGATAAAAGCAACAGTTATATGCAACAGTTGTCAATAAGATTTATGATAGGATACTTCACTTAGAAACCAAATTCACAGAGAAGACAGAATTTCACAGCAGTACAGCTTAAAGCAATAAAAACTTTGGCTGACAGTCAAATCACACTGAATTAACTCTTCCACTGCTGGCTACAATCCTCATAGGCACAATATTCTATTATATTGCAATTTTTATAGCTATAATAGTTCTCATATCAGGTCATTTACCATTCCTAAGTCCATCCAATAAGAATAATTCTAACCAGAATTTTAACTTTCCTTAATTTCATAACAAGTCAATACCTCTGGATAAAAAGTTGGTATGCTAACATTTGACAAATTTACCGTTAATATATCGTTATTTTTATTCCACCTGCAGGAATGAGATTTTTATATCCATATGTTCCTTAGCTAATTATAATTTCTAATGATTGAAATCTGACCAATATTTATCCAGATATATATTCCTGCTATTAGTAAAAATGCTATTTAATTAAATAAAACCAGCATAATTACCAGTTATGTTGTAGATTTTCTATTAGATGTGTAGATATGTCCCAGGAATTTTGAATGCAAGTATGATGAGAGAATTGTATGAGTTCTGAAGTTGTGTTAGTTGGAAAAGTATAAAGAGTTAGGTGTGTCCAGCTCTGGCTCGAGATGTCAGATCTTAGCTGTTAGATGTGAGTCCAAGAGCGTGTTTCAGAGTGTGGGAGTCTTGAGTACAGTCCAAGAGTGTAATTGTCTCCCAGTGTGTTTCAGAGAGTCTCCTCTCTTCCCTTTGTCCTTACTTTTTAAAGGGGAAATTCTCTGCATGTCACTAGTCGATAGGACCAATAGGGAACTGTGGGTGTGTCTTCCCTACAGACTATCATCTAGATATTGGTCAGTAGGTGGTGCAATTACATCACCGAAAATTCTTGTCAGGGGTTCCATTTACCTTTTTGTATAATGCGTTAACTGAATATGGTGATGCGTTTTACGTCATTTGGTTATCTTTTTATGGCTACTGTTTGTCAAAGAACCTGTCATCTTCAAAGGGTTTTCCCAGTCTGGCATATACCTTTAAATTTATCTTTCTGACATGTCTAAACTCTTCTTCACATCTTTTCTTAAAATGGAACTAGTAATATTCTGTTAGTTTTTTTTATTTTTTAAGTAAAATTAATTACTTAATGTTAGCTGTCATTTGGTGTCTGGTTTTCTTGTGTGAAACTGTGTTTAAGATTACACATATTCCACTAACATTAGTAAATAATATGATATTTCTTCATTGATATTATATCCATGAGTATTCTCAATTCTTAACATAGTACTAATTATATACGATTAATATAATAATAGTAAATCATAAGTGGATATTGTGTGTTCATGTGAGTGTGTGTGTGTGTGTGTGTATATATATATATATTGTGATAAAGTGAAGGCAGATAGGCCTATAACATTTAACCCCAGGGGGAGTATGTGTAGGATGTGTTGTAGGCAACACAAAACACTGTTTAGTTATGGGCCCCTGGGGTGGAGCATTTGGAGAGAAGGGTGGGCCAATGCTCCACTCCACAGTTTAGTGGTTTTCTGGGGAGACATGGATCCAGGCCAGGGTTTTTTGGATCGTCTCCAACCCACTGCTCAGCTGCAGTTAATGAGCTGTTGCAGTGGGAATAAACTCCTCCCTGCTAGACAGGTAAAGGAGAGGGATTGCTGGCTTCCTCCCAGGAAGCAGGTAGGAGAGAGAGGCTGTTCTCTCCAGATAGTCAAGAAGACTGGCTTGGAGCACTGGGAGTGCAGAAAGGAAAGCAGTCAGGGCAAGGCTGGCTTGGAGCACTGGGAGTGCAGAAAGCAAAGCAGTCAGGGCAAGGCTGGCTTGGAGCACTGGGAGTGCAGAAAGGAAAGCAACAGGTTAGATAGCAGAGCGTTGCTCTCTAATAAGGTTGGTGCAATATTGTGTTTAGTTTAACCCTGAGAGATAGGGAACCTAAAGTGAGTTAGTGCTCAGACCGAGCTAGGTTTTTGTTTATAGGGTTTTCTGTTACATTTATGTTTTCATTTTACTGCTGTATCCTGTGTGAACTTACAAATAAAGTGCCTGGAGTATATGAATTACAAGGACTGTGCATGTTTTTGCCCTAGAGGACCGTGCTACCTGCTGACAAGGATCACAATATGGTGGAGAATGCGGGCATAGTAGCACATTGAGGATCTGTGGGTGTGCCAGTCATTCAGTAGTCTGCTTGAGGACTTTTTATTTTTGCAGACCTGTTTAAAAAAAAACAAAAAAAACCAACAAATTAGTAGCCCTGTACCTTTAAGACTCTTATCTGCTTGGTGCTATAATGGAGGATCTGCTGAAGGCTCTGGTACAGGCAACCACTGTACAACAAGAGGCAACTGCTATACAACAAAACACCAACCATTTCCTGGCTGCACAGATTAAGAACCTGAGGGATGCTCAGCAGGAGCACAGAGCTGCACTTACTGAGGTTTTGCAGATTGCCCCCTGCAGTGAGAGTGGGGACAAGGGACCCCATAACCAAGCTACTGACATCCTGCATAAGATGACAGAGGCAGTAGAAGAAGTCTTTCGCAAGCTGAAAAGCATGGAGGCAACAAAGCGTGATGTTGAGAAACACACAGAAGAGAGAGAACCGGAATTAAAAGGCAAGAAGGATAAAATTGATCCTGAAAGCAGTGATAATGTGGAAGATGGTGATCATCCATGGAACAAAAAGCAAAAGAGAAAAAGGTAGTAACGAGACCAGCAAATCTAAAGGAAAACCTGGAATTGTCAAGAGGCAGTGATGGTGACAGTGATGACATGCGCCAAAGTAAGAGAGGTCAGAGGAATCAGAAGGGAGAACGAGACAAACTGATTACTGAAGTTGACAAGTGTTTATTTGAAAATCAAAATGTTGCAGCTTCACATGAAAGCCTCAAACTTGCTCTGTATGGCATCACAACAGATAAAGCGATCTTGGGAAAAGAGTTGGAAACAAAAATATTTTCATGCTCAGAAACTGAATCTTGCATGTTTCAAGAGAATGCTGGAAAGACATTTGAAAACAGAAAGGTACTGATAAATCTTCCGAAGGTAACAGAAGAAGAATCAGAGGATGATGAGGATTATGTTCCTTCAGAAGACTGGCAAAAGGAAATAATGGTTGGTTCCATGTTCCAGGCAGAGATTCCAGTTGGCATCTGCAAGTACAAGGAAACTGCAAGAGTGTATGAAAATGATGACCAGTTATTGTGGAACCCAGATTTTATAGTGGAAACAAGAGTTCTAGATTTTCTAAATGAAGCGTCCAGAAGGACTGGTGAAGAGAAGGGAATAGATGCAATTCCAGGGGGATCACATATAAAAGAAAACGAAGCAGGAGCCCCTGATGTACACCCAAGTGAACAAGTTAAAGGCATGAAAAGCAGACTGACTTGGGGAGTCAGAGAAGACAACTGCAAAAGAGCTGAGCTTAATGGAGAGAAGCAAAGCACCCCAGCTGAGTATAGCAATGCGGTGCACTGTTTAGTAGCCGAGGCTACCCAAGATTGTCGACCAGTTGTTGAACAGTTTGGCAGAGAAAAGAAAGGCAAAGTAGCCGCTTCTGATCTAAGCCAAGAGAGAGCGACAGTTACAGAACCAAGCTGTGATGATAAGATGGGCACGTCCGCAGCTAAGCCAGACCAAGGCGAACGTCACAAAGTAGGTGACATTGGCGTAGCAGAATTAAATATTTCAAAGACATCTGGTATTGCTACAAAGACTTTGAATGAATTTTCGGGAGCCGTAGAACTTGATCTGCTGGCAAAGACTACTGCTACACGGCCTGGGCGCACTGACTACCTGGAACACCTGCCAGACTCTGGGAGCACAATCATGGAATCAAAGGTGGAACTCGGAATTCCTGAACGGCTGTTTGATACCGGGGCTGTCATGACCCAGCCAGAGGCCATGACTGCGTCTCCGGATAACCCCGAGGGAGCAGGGAGACTTCCAGACAGCCCAGAGGAAAGCTTTTCTGACAGTGAGAGGTGGCCACTCAAGGCAGAGCATTCGGAGGATACCCCTGGGGAGGAAGCCAGGCAAAGGAGAGATGAGCTAAGCCGGGAGTCTGGGCCTCAGGTAGAACAGCGCTCCATGCCAAGCCAGGCCGAGCATGATGGGATGGAGCTGGGATCAAAGGCTGCATTCGTGCAGGAGGAGGATGCTCTAGACAGCCTCCTTGGCCAACCCCCTGAGGATATAGAGATGAGACCTGTAGCATTAACCGTAGAAAGCAATGAAGGTTCCCAGGGATTCACAGAACAGATGGAGGATGTTGTGAAGCCCTTCATGGAGGGACCGGTTCCAGTGAAGGATGAGCTGGTGACAGAACCAGGTCTTGAAGAGGTTGAGCATCCAGCAAATTCGTCTTATGAAACAACTGGACGTATAAGTGATATAGAAAAGTTAGTTACACACAAAGCTTTTGTAAAGTTTGCGTTTGAAAGTAACTCGGACATTGAGAGACTATCAAACCAGAAGCTGCTGTGGATGTGGAAGCAGATGATGATTCAGAGGAACTTGGCTACTAAAGAGCCACACAGTACTGATCATCAGCCTAGATCTGCTAGCAACCAAATAAGCGGGGAAACTGGAAAGAAAGGACAAAATCTGATACCGAGTCTGGGACAATATAATGGTAGAACGTACCCAAAAGTCCCATTACAGCTACGAGACCAGACTGAGAAACTCAGATGCTTCAACTGCCACATGCATGGACATATTACATATAACTGTCCTGAGAGTGAAGAGCCAATACAGTGTGACATAGGAATAAGGGGTCTGCATAGGATAGTATTGCCTTGCTTAAAGATGTGTATGGTGACTGGTGGTGTTACAGCACAGCTAAAAGTGGTGATGGTGGTAGGGAAGAGTGCACAAGCACTAATTAATTCAGGGAGTGAGGCTACTTTGAAAAGTGTTCTGCTCCAGCCAGTGATTGATATTGTGGGTACACATGGTGACACCCGCACATACCCCATGGCAGAGGTAGAGTTTGTCACAGAGGTAGTAAAAGTTAAATGCCCTGTAGTACATGTAGCTCAAACGCAAGAGCGTATAAGTAAGGCCAGTTTTCTGAGTACCTTGGACCTGGTCATAAGGTATTGGCAGGTTCCCCTGACAGAGAAAGCAAAGGGAAGGACAGCTTTTTCTACTCCCAAGGGGTTATGGCAACATAAAGTACTGCCATTCAGGTTGCATAGTGCACCAGCCCCCTTTCTGCATATGAATAGGATACTTTGGCCCAACAGAGAGAATGCAGCTGCCTACCTTGGTGATGTGGCGATTCACAGGATGGACTTGGAAGCACACCTAATGAGGGTCCAGTTACTTGTGAATAATGTAAGGGCTGCCGGTCTGACCGCTAACACTAAGTGTTATCCAGGATTTGAGGCAGCTAACTATTTGGGTTATCCACTTGGGTGGGGGTTCCTTAAACTACAAGGGAGCAAGGTAGCAGCCATCTGCAATAGGCCACTTCCTGTAACTGAGGAGCAAGTCGGGGCTGGTACAGCCCTAGGTGACGTGATTGTTCATGGTTTGTGTTCTAAGGTCGCTCGACCCGATGGGTCTGAGCTGGGGGGGAGGATATGTGATAAAGTGAAGGCAGATAGGCCTTTTAACCCCAGGGGAAGAAAGTGTAGTTTGTGTGTTGCACAACACAAAACACTGTTTAGTTATGGGCCCCTGGGGTGGAGCATTTGGAGAGAAGGGTGGGCCAATGCTCCACTCCACAGTTTAGTGGTTTTCTGGGGAGACATGGATCCAGGCCAGGGTTTTTTGGATCGTCTCCAACCCACTGCTCAGCTGCAGTTAATGAGCTGTTGCAGTGGGAATAAACTCCTCCCTGCTAGACAGGTAAAGGAGAGGGATTGCTGGCTTCCTCCCAGGAAGCAGGTAGGAGAGAGAGGCTGTTCTCTCCAGATAGTCAAGAAGACTGGCTTGGAGCACTGGGAGTGCAGAAAGGAAAGCAGTCAGGGCAAGGCTGGCTTGGAGCACTGGGAGTGCAGAAAGCAAAGCAGTCAGGGCAAGGCTGGCTTGGAGCACTGGGAGTGCAGAAAGGAAAGCAACAGGTTAGATAGCAGAGCGTTGCTCTCTAATAAGGTTGGTGCAATATTGTGTTTAGTTTAACCCTGAGAGATAGGGAACCTAAAGTGAGTTAGTGCTCAGACCGAGCTAGGTTTTTGTTTATAGGGTTTTCTGTTACATTTATGTTTTCATTTTACTGCTGTATCCTGTGTGAACTTACAAATAAAGTGCCTGGAGTATATGAATTACAAGGACTGTGCATGTTTTTGCCCTAGAGGACCGTGCTACCTGCTGACAAGGATCACAATATAAAAATATATATATATATATATATATATATATGTCTCAGGGTTGTAGCATTCCAACCCTGTTTTGCTTTAGACATCATGCCTTATCTCAGGTTTTATCTCTAATGTTTACATTAGTCACATTCCTTAGCTCAGACCTGAATGACTAGAGTTACAGAAAGAAAACTCTTGAGTCTGTCTTAGCCTTTTAATACAAAATGCAGTCACCTCTATTCTGAGCTTAGTTAATTCTGAGGTGACTTACAGTATATACTTTTAATTTCTATCTTCAAACCAAATGTCTGCCAGTATAAATATACTGACACCCTAGCCCAGATCTCTACATCACTGCATCTCTTCTCTGTGCCTCTCCTGGCCTACTCCCAACTTCCAAGTTTTTTTTTTTCTGGAAGTACATACCCATCTGAGTAATGCTCTATCTTGTCCTCCTCTTATTTTCCCTTTTCTCCCTCAGTATCAAAATCTCTCCTTATACCTACTTCCCTCAACCTCCACATTAACCCCTCTATGCTGCACTCCCCACTTCTTACATATCATGCCTCATCATCATTTCTCTATTCTCTCCATCCTTCTCCCTCTCAATCTCATCCCAGACTCCATCTATGTAAAACCTGCTCACACCTTCTGTCTCTATCACTCCTCCTGCTTCTAGCAGCTGGTAATGTCTCTCCCAAACCAGGGCACATTGTCTCCTCTACTCACACGAATTTAACCAGAAACCACACAAACCTCATCCCAATACCATGCCGTCTATCCCCATCTACCCCCCCCCCCACCCCCAGTCATCCTAGGCTTTTTATTGAACATTTTTCTTCCTGGCTACCCAATTTCCTCTCCTCCTCTCCTCTAGCTCTCCTTAACTCATTTTTGGGGACTTTAATAACCTAATATCCCAATCAACAACCCTAACCACACTGATGCCTCTCGTCTGCTCTCTATTACCGCTCCTCCTTTGGACTCACACAGTGGTCTAATTCATCATCTCATAGACTCATAGAGCAGGAAAGAGGAGGAAACAATTTTGACCTCATCTTCACCAATGTCCGTACCACCTCTAATCTCTCCAATGTTCCATTTCCTTCCTTCTGTCCTTAAGGGGTTTAAAGGTTGAACTCTATGGTCTTTAGTCTTTTTTTTTCAACATAGATTATTATGAATGCCTCATTTAGTGTCTCCTTCCTTATTTCTTGTACCACCTCCCCATCACTGCCTGTCTCTGTTGGTGTTACGTGGCACTGTCACGCACAAAGTAGGGACTTTATTGTCTTATGTATTTTCCCTATGACATAAGAAATGGAACGGACTTAAGCTCCTCCTTGTGTCAGAGACAGTCAAGCGTAGGAAAAATACATAAGACAAAGCAGTCCCTACTTTGTTTTATGTTTTCAAGAAAACTAAATCAAAAATAAATAAAAGAAGAACAGATTCTAAGAGAGTAATGTGGGGATATTTATGGGATGATAATTTTAAGCAATCGAGAATTGCCCACTATTTCAATTCTCTTAGATCTTAGAGATCGTTTATCATGTAAGTGAAAAGTATTCCATCAATAATTCACAATTTGTTATAAAAATAGATTTATTTTTATTGTAACAAATTAACAATATTATTAGGCAACATGTATGATAATAATCAGTGAATATTTAGGATAACATAGTATACAATACAATGGAATGGGTATACACGTTTCAATGGCTAAACAGCATTTTCTGTCAAGACTTACATGATTTATGAGGGTATCCTTACAGACAAAAAGTGAAGCTTTTCACAGCGAAGGGCCATAAAACCCTGGCTAACAGTTAGATCAACTGAGTAACCCTTTCAATGCTGGCTAGATCCCCCTAGGCATATAGTATCCTATTCTCCTGTGATTTTCAATTAAAATACATTTAAACCAGCTCATTAGTCATTTCCTGGAACCATCCAATAAGAATAATCTACCAGATTTTTAAGCAGAATTTTAATTTGTCTAAAAGATATCTTATCTTATATTAGAGCAAATCAATACACCTGGATAAAAACAGCGCTATGCTAACACGTGATAATATCACATTAATATATAATTATTCTTAATTCCACCTGCAGAATGAAATGTTTCTAACTATATATTCTTTAGTTAACTAAGATTTCTTAAATATGGAAATCTGACCGTGATTTATCCAGTCATATATCATGCTATTAGTAAATTTTAATTAATTTAAATTAATTAAATAAAACCAGCATAATTACCAGTTATGTAGATATTCTCATCAGATGAGTAGGTAGTCCCAGAAACTTGATTGGTTGTATGGAAGTGCGTGAGTGATAGAGAAAGTGGTGTTGGAAAGTGTTAAGAGTTTAAAAGAGTTGAGTGTCCATGAGTTTAAGAGTAGAGTGTTAGTCCCAGATATTGTCCTGGATTTCTCTGCATGTCCGAGTTGGAGTCCCCCAAACTTCAACTCCCTCTCTCTGTATCTCTCTGTATACTCTCCTGATGACGATTTTGACGTCATTTGGCTTATCTAAAATGACTACCATAACTTAGATTTGCTGTCAGTTCAAAGCGTTTGTCCCAGTCTTTGTGGCATCTACTTTGATCGTAACTTGTAAAATTGACAGTTCTAAACTCAATTTCACCCCTTTCTTACAATGGTACCTTATAAAACTTAGAAAGTAAAATCAATTACTTAGTCTTCTCTGTCACTAGTGTCTGTGTTTAGATAATGCATCTATTCCATTAACATTTTAGACAGAGCGTTCCATCCCCCTTGCTTCATTGCTTATCTTGGTTTGTTTATGTAATACATTCCTCAGCTCAAGCAAGTGGCTAGTTACTGAAAGTAAGAAGAAACCAAGGAAATTATGTGTTTTTGTTATCCTGAAGATAGCAAAATGGAGTCCGCTTTGTTCTGAGTGGCTGTGGCAATATACACTTTTAATTTCTTTTTAGCACAAAATGTCTGTTGATGTAAATATTCTGACATAATCCCCCTTAGTGACCTTTCATGGCAATGAATAATTTAGCCTATGAATAGGCACTATAGAAGTTAGCAGACATATTGTGCACTCACATCATTTCTACTGACGTAGGCCCGTGCGTGGAATTAATATGTTTGTATATTTTTGTACCTGTAAGAGCTTTGAACTTTACTTAGTACAATCAACCATAACATTATTATTAACATAGTACATTGTTTTCATTTGAAAAATGTTTTTGGGAGTTACATATGGTATGGTCAATAAAAAGCAAATCTCCATACGTTCCGGATCAATTAAGAGAGGTCTAGCGCTCCCCATCTCAAAGGCCAGATTTAATTGCATAGGCTCAATTGTCTCTCCATCCAAATTGGCAAGCATTGCATGAACAATAGCCTTGGATACAAAGTACAGATGTATGCGTCCCCCTGCCAATTCAATCATTCCAGTTTGCACTTCGGCAAGAAAAGCAAGTGTGTGGAACAATATTGGGTCATGCAGAAATAGAAGTTCACGCTTAAATAAGTCATGACTTTGGTGCAACTCAGTGGATTTGGCAATTAACTCCGAATGCCAATTTGTTGTAACAACTGTGTCTTGCACAATAGTTAACACGTCTTGGAGAAGTGTTCTTTGCTGGTTTATCACCTGATGAATATCGTTAATGTGTTGCTTTAGCGCATAGATTTCCATATCCAGCTTTTGGACAGTAATAGAGTTGGCTGCAGACATTCCAGTTGCGACAACTGCACCGACAGTGGCACAAACTAATGCAACAATTATGGCGGTGAGGAACCTTTTGGGTCGGTTGCTCATCGAAATAGTACTGGATACAAATGGTTTCCGGGCTTGCTCCAAGATGTTTCGCACACGGTCCTGTGCTCTTTGGAGGTGCATCTGGTACCAAGTCTGTAACTCAGGAAGCTGCATCGATGAAATGTTGTATGCCTTCTCGATGGAAATCTTGGGGTCCAAGCTGACGAACACACGTCGGGTCAGGATCCTCTTCTCTGTTAAGATGAACCCTGGTGTCTCTTGAATCAGGATGCCGGAGGATGGTCCCATCTCTGCGATCGGGTCGGTCCGTAGCTCTTGGCACAGGAGCAGTACGATCCAGAAACACGCCACATCCTTCTTGGACATCTTTCGACAGTCACGGATCAGGAACTCGTTTCAGACTTATCTACTAATGATTCAAGGTTTGTTAAGCATACAAACTTATAACAGTGTGACACCACTTGGCCTAGGACAACACATTTTTACGATTCATCAACATATGTATTCTCTCTAATTCTATTTTTATACTTCATCCCTCACTACATTTATTACTGACTATTCAGTAATTCGCCTATAGCAGCTAAACAAGCTAGTAACCTGCTTAGAAAATGTAGTTATTGGATGGCAAGGAAATGGTTAATGACATGAACGTACATGAGATCATGGCACATCACAACATTTCACATCATACTATACCACGTGAATCAAGCATTCATCCAGGTTAGTCGTTCATCCTTCTGCGTCCGAATCCACACCTATAATCCTTAATTGAGATTTAGGATGACAAGCATGCAACTGGTTAATGTGAACCCACTTTTCAATAAAATCACCATCCTTAGAAATTTTTATCTTATACGCTACAGGGGAAATTTTGTCAATGATGACATATGGCCCTTTCCAAGAAGTTAAAAATGTATTTTCCTTAACTTGACTTTGCACAAAGTTATACAGATATACTTGATCTGTAATCTCATATTCCTTTTTCGTGGTTTTTAAATCGTAATAGGTCTTAACCCCTGTGGCTGCTTTTTCTAGATTCTTTTGGGCAAAAGCAAACGCATGCTGTAAATTCTTGTGCAAATCTTCGATATACTGATGCGTAGTGGCAGCATTGATCAAGTTATGATCCGAAGTACGATATAGTAAATGCTGTGGTAAAACCATCTTTCTCCCTGTCATCAATTCAAAAGGTGACAATTTGGTAGCAGTGCTAGGCGTAGCTCTAATCGCCATTAAAACTAGGGGCAATTTAATGTCCCAGTCTTTACCAGACTCCTTAACATATTTCTTCAGAATATTAACGGTAGACTGATTATATCGCTCTACCCCCCCTCTAGACGCAGCGCGGTATGCAATATGTAGCTTTCGTTTAACACCTAGAATTTTCCACATCTTAGCCATTACTTCGCTGGTAAAATGACTACCTCTGCCTGACTCAATTCTTTGAGGCAGACTGAATCTGGAAAAGACATGGTTAATCAACAAAGTGGCGCACACGGTACTCGTGTTCTCTTTTCAAGGCAAACACTCTATCCACTTTGTGTACATACATGTAACGGTTAACATATATTTGTTACCTCTTGAAGATCTTGTTACAGGACCTATAAAGTCAATTTGAATATCAGACCAGGGTAATGACACCCCCCTCTTCTGAAGTGGTGCACGATGGGTTGGACCATGGGGTTGATATTGCGGACAAATCAAGCATCCCTGACAGTATGTCTTAACATCTCTTAACATGTGTGGCCAATATGCATAATCACGCAATATCTCATATGTGATCTTATCACCACGATTCCCAGATGTAGGTGCATCATGTGCGTGTTGGAGCATTAACCCTCTGTATACAGTTGGGACTATCTATTGTTGTATACCATGTTTAGAAGTTCTGACCAGCAACCCATCCATGATACTAAATTGGACTTTATATCTCATCAAGATTCGTAAATCTTCATTATCTTTGCAATCCTCATCTGTGATGGGATTGGCAGTAGGGTCTTCTATATGTCTATAGAATATGCCTATGACGGGATTATTCTTTTGACTGGTAATCAGGTCCTCACTAGGAGCTTCTTGACTCCCTTGCATGACGTTTAAGTCGGCATTATCTCTAGCCTGACGTCTAGTTATGGCTTCAACATGAATTGAACCTATAAGATCATCAATGTTTAGGGTTTCACCATTGATGGCAGCTTGTTTTGCCAGTGAATCGGCTAAGTCATTACCATCCTTGTCAATACCTTCTATTTTAGAATGGCCTTTGGTTTTCTTCCAATATATGGTTAAACCATTTTCCTTAACCAACTCATCAATTTTACAACACAATTTTCCATGTTTAACAGGTTTGTTATTGCTTTTCAGCATTTGGTTACGTTTCCAGCTAGGCAGATATTCTCTAAACTGTTGTGAACATAGTTGGAATCAGTTATAATAACAAATTCTTTGATACCATATTCTATTGCCATTTGAATGGTCTTATATACTGCACAGAGTTCGGCTATCTGACTGCTTTTGGGACCAATATTGTATCCTATAGATACATTGGGAAAATCACCTGTCCAGGCGATTCCGATACCTGCAACTAACTTCTGTTCAGCACCAGCGGTTGTGGTGATATGAACAACCATCAATGTATACCCACGGTAGTGGTCGACGGTATTCCTCGTCATAAACTTTATAAGGGGATAGCAATTGTTCTTCTAGGAAGTCATCTCCGGTGTTATTATCATCCAGAGATGGAGCAGTACAGTCGTGTAATTCTGCTAAACCTTGGGCAACTGGGCTTCTCTTATTATGTTTATAACGGACTTCTAACGGCCATCCCTGTAAGGATAGAGTCCATGCAGTAATCTGACTGTTAGAGAGATTACCGTCTCTGATTCTTTCACTCTGCAGATACTGTAGAGGTTGGTGAGCTGTTTCTACAATTATTTTCTCACCTTGGATATAGCTACAAAAATTTTGTAGTGCCCAGACAGTCGACAATAACGCCTTCTCACACGTGTTGAATTTAACTTCAACAAGTGACAAAGTCTTGCTAGCATATGCAATAACTTTGTTTAGACTGTCCTGCTTCTGATACAGAACAGCACTTATGCTTAAATCGGTATATCCTGTCTCCAGATAGAAGGGTTTACCCCCCTCCGGGTATGCTAAACAGGGTGCCTGAGTGAGCTTCCTTCTCAGTTCACTTACCGCTTGGTCCTGAGCCTCCCCCCAGTTCCAGGTAGTTTCCTTTTTAAGCAGGTGTAAGAGTGGTTTCGTTATTTCTGCATAGTTATCTATAAACTTACAGGAGTAGTTAGTCATACCAAGGAACGATCTTAATTCCCTGATGTTTGAAGGTGTTTTAGCCTTAATTACAGCTTCAGCCTTCTTCCTCTGGGGATTTAATCCTTCAGAAGTTACCTCATGTCCGAGGAAATTGACATGGGTGCGACACCATTGCGCCTTTTGTAAAGAGCGTTTTATCCCTGCCTCTCTTAACTGAATGAGAACATGTCTAATCTCTATGATATGCTTATCAAAGGAAGTGCTTTTCCTCTCTCAAGTGCGTCAGGCATAGCTTTATGCATGAACACAGCGAATTCATGACCAGAGTTTATGTAACCGAATGGCATACGGGTGCAGGTATACTGCTGCTTTCCAAATGTGAAGGCCAATTTGTATTGGTCTTCATCACGGACTGGTACAGTCCAATATCCCTGCGCACAGTCAATGGCAGTGAATATTTTGGATCCTTGCATTTGTACCAAACATTGGTCTATGTATGGCATTGGCCAACCAGACATATAGACGCGTTTATTTAGCTGTCGTAAGTCAGCGCATAAACGCCATTGTCCATTAGGTTTCAGAATCCCCAAGATCGGATTATTATACGAACTGTACACTGGACGTATAATGCCCCTTTCCTTTAAATTCTGAACGATGTCTTGTAGACCATCACATGACGCTAATGTGAGTCTATATTGTTTGATAAATACAGGTGGTATATTTGGATCAGTTTGTATTCTGGCTACGTGGAGGTTAGTTAACCCACAGTCATAAGGAATCTATGGCAAAAATATCTTGGAATTCCATTAGGATATCTTTTAGCTGTTGCCGCTCAGCATCGTTGGAGCAACCGTCAGCTAAAGATATTTGCTCTTCTAGCTTTTCCTGAAATCCTGGAAAGATTTCAGGCTGGCCTATCTTATAAGCTTCTTCAAGCCTAGAAGTTAGGTCAGTTCGGTGTTGACTTACCTTTTCTCTTTGGTCGTGATACTCTTGTGATTCCTGCTCATTGAGTGGATTATCGAAGGTGATTAATGCTTCTTCGATTTTACACGAGCCTTCTTCGACGTTGAAGGGATGCACAGATAGGATAGTGAATAATCCTTCTGGGGAGGAATGGAATATTTGATCTAGAATTTCGTCCTCAGTTAAGTATTCTTCAGGGATGAGGCCTATAATTTGGTTTTGGAAACCAAATGTATAGTACTTAGCATCCAATGCTAGACCTAATAATGTTCCTTTTGGTAAAGTAACACTATTGTTTGTAACATTGTTGACCATTATATAGGTAGGATTCTTACCAATACTTATCATTGGTGTATGTGTTACCACCATCCTTAATTGTTGTATCCTGTTAGATAAACAGATTAGGGCATCAGAGTTTTCCAATCTCTGACCCTTCTTGACCTGTAGGGGTAAAAGAAAGTTACTTGTCCCTTGTGGAATGGTTATGTCATCAGGAACTTGGATACTTACCGCATATGGGAGAATTTGTCCTGATTTCAGGGCGTTTTCCTCGTGTAGGTAACCACAAGGATTACCTTTTAACCTTGTCCACAAATTGGAATTAATCAGATCAAGGTGTATGGCAAAGCGATGTATGACATCATTGCCGATGTAAACCTGATAGCGAGGTTCGTTTATCACTAAGAATAAATGTTTAACTATCTTAGTTCCAATGGAAATATATAGTAAACATTTTGCTATCACATTGTGACTCTCTGATTCGCCATCCAGATTCTGGATCCACCTGTCATGTGGGGAAGTGTACCTGATCATTTTATGATTGGCGATCTGCTTTAACAGACTTCTGCTAATATAGCTGTTCTCACTCTTTAAGTCCAGCTTTGCATTCCTACTTCTTCCTAAGTCATTTATTTGAATAGGAAAGAATAAGTTGTTATTAACCCTTTCAATTCTGGCAAGGAATTGAGCATGACCTGCCATATCTACAGATTCAACATAGTCCCTGTGGAGAGAAATGGTTAAAACATCACCTTCCAGAGAGACATTCTGTATCCTCTCTGGAGCAACTCTTACGGAATGCTCATCTACAGGTGCGATTGCATCATTCACCTGCAGGATAGTCACGTCAGGTGACTTGACTATTTCTAAAATGTACCTCAATCGAGTCAGGTCTTTCTTCTATCACATGGCAGTTACGATCAGATTGAACATGTGATTTCTCATAGGTTATGGGAACCTTAGCTTGTGACCATACAATTCCATTCACACAGTCAATAATTGTGTTAAGTCTTCTGAGTATGTCTATACCCAGAATCAGTCGGTCATAGGGGAGATCTACCACTATCACCGGGTGTCTAAAGGTTTTGTTACCTATTTTAAATTTTAACCAGGTATTGTCAATAACATGAAGGGCATTTCCTCCTACACTCAACAGAGCATTGGGGAAATCTCTTAGCTTCGGCTTATCCGCTGCTAAGTCCATTACCTGCTGGAAGTAGGTATTGGATAAGATAGTGGCTTGTGAGCCAGTATCTATTAACCCTTTGAAAGGCTGGGGTAACGAATCCTGTATTTCTACAGACATGTAGTACCTTCCTTCATGTTCTTCTAATTCACATAAAAAATTTGAATGTGTCAACATATCACTCGTTTTGCATATGTTACCTGTCACAGCAGTAGTTTCTACCTGTACTGAGGAATGCTCAGTCTTACCCACAGGCCCATCCTTCTTGGGAATATCTTGAACTGTCAAGCGGGAACTAGTGGTCGGCATCTCATCAGTTAACCCTTTCAGGTCTGGATCCTGGAAACTAGTGGCTGCTGGGGCTATTTTAGCCTTTGGCTGAAATGAAAAAACAGAGGAACACGTTGCGCCCCCTTCACCCGAAAGTGAAGTGACGGTATAGGCAATAGGTTTTCTTACACAACTATTGTTTGTTTGACTATTAGTACCTGGAAAGGAAACAGGGTTAGGTATTACATCTACTGACAACCTAGCCTGTTTAGTCACAGTGGCTATTATTGCTGCGGCACCTGTTGTTGTTGCTGCAGTTGCACAGGTGGCTCTGCAATTTGAGCTGTCCCTAAAAAAGGATTTCTGGAAAAGACTTGGTTAATCTTTGTCATTTCCTCCATTAATTTGCCTATCTGGTCTGTCAATTGACCAACCTGACGACGCAAATTATTTCCCCCATTGCAGTTTTGTCTTTGCCCATTAGAATTTAGCTGGGATGGCTGAGACTGTTGGGAGTTACTGGAAGCAGATTGGTTATTTCTGTTTCCATATCTCCTATTTCCCTGAGGATTCCTCCTCCATTGGGAATTGCATTGGTTCTTATTAACCCAGGGGCGTTTATTCCCATTGGCATTGGATTTTTCAGAGTTACTATCAGAGGAATTTACAGAATTGCTTCCGGCGTTTTCAAAACCTCAGAATAGGTCCTCTTTTTCTGTTGGGTTTCTAAACCTAACTGAATTTTAGTCTTTGACACCGTTTTATCACCAGGTTTCTTAACCTTTGGCTGATTTTCATCATGTGCATGGTGTATAGTATACAATTTCATGCACTGACTGACTAGCCATTCTAATGGTAACTTACAATCATAATCTCTTGCGAGATTAATTTGTATGTTTACCGGCATGGCATGAAAATACAGATCTTTGAAGTCTGTACTTTCATACCTGGGTTTCCTTTGGGCCACGGAATATGCATTTTTAAGAATTATTAAAAATTCTCTGGGGCTTTGATCAGGACGGCACTTTAAGTTATAAAGCGCTTTCTTAACAGAGGTAACGGTTTTATACTTACCATATTCCATGATTATTTAATATTTCATCTTGGACCAGGACATTAGCTGAATAGCTTGAAGACTTTCTAGATAAACACGGCACATTGAAACAAAGGTCCATGTAATGAACCATTTCTTTTGGATTTCATCATACATGCCTAATGAATTCATGGCTCTTTCATAATTTTCCAGATGTTCAGATATGTTTCCTGAACCTCTAGAAAATTGTGGGACAGTCTCTTTAAGGAATTAAATGACCTTTGGTGTTTCATAAACAGGCATATTTGAGTTATTGCTCCTGTTTCTATCCACCCTTCTTTTTGGTAAACGTCTATACGATCTGGCTGCTGAAGAGGAATTAGATCCGTACAACAGTGCAGATGGCATATCATTCACATGGCCTTCAGAGTGGACAGTGCAATCACTTTCACTCCCATCACTCTGAGCTTCTCGTTCACTGTCACAATTCTGATCTGCATCAGAGTTCTGCCAGTGTACAGCACCATGTCTGTTTTCATTCCTATCACCTTGAATTGGACTCTCCCTCTCAAGTTTGGCCAAGACAGTCTTTTCAAATTGTCTTTTCAAACTGTTCTGCCCAAGATTGCCTCACCTAGAATAGGAAGAGACAGAGATATATCACTATAGATGCCATTTAATCTGATTACATGGTGAGCAACATATTACATTCTTGCCACATCCACTTCCTCAATCATTCCCTGAAGTCCCTTACTTGACCAGGTGTAACGAAGGGTCTTCCTATTAGGATTTCAAATGGGGACAAGCCTGTTGTATTGTTTAGTGTAGTCCTGATTTCTGCCAGTGCTGCAGGCAGATGATCAGGCCAATTATGAAAAGTACCAGTGTTACCCTTCCTCAACTTGTTCTTAATAGTTATGTTGGTCCTCTCTACTTGTTCTGATAATTGTGGGTAATAGGGGATATGGAAATTTCAATCAATTTACAATATTTTGCTGATGTGCTGTTTCAATTGGGATGTGAAAGGGTTGCCACTGTTGCTGTTGGGATATTGACTTTACACACTGTTTTTGCTGTTTCCCTACAGGGGGAATCTTCAGGCTGCCTAATAAATTGGTCAGCAATGACCAACAGATACTGATACCCACCTTTAGCCTTAGGCATGCGTGTAAATGAATATTTTTATTATTATTATTATTGCAATTTATATAGCGGCAACATCTGCAGATGTTGCATGAGCACATCTACTGGAGGTGAATGATCAGTCTTACTAATAATTTGTTCCACCAGTTTTCTGATCATTTAAAATAGATCTCTACATACAAACCTTTTTTGACATTCTCTTGCACCTGTTGTGTGCTTTTGTGTAAAAAAAACAAGATTGCTTTAGAAAGGCCTATTTATCCCTTCTTGTTTGACCAAAGGCCTGAAGGGTCTTTTGTCAAGCCTCTTGATTCCCTTAAGGAAATGTCATCAGGCAGCAAACGTTTACTTACCTCCCAACAGCTCCTCAAGCTCCCCAGTGTAAATCTCGTGAGACCCGCTGCTGTGAGAGCGTTGCCATGGGTTACCCATTGGCAATGCTCCGCATGGCATGCTGGCCACGAGATTTACGCTGGAGGAGCTGCTGGGAGGTAAGTAAACGCTTGCTGCTGGCCCCCCCACAGCTCAGTACATGCCACTGGACCACCAGGGACTGCTATATCCCCCCTCCCTGGCCAGGCAACAAGCAGGGAGGGGGAACAAAAAATGTAAATACAACATAAACACTAAAAATCTAAATAAAACATAAACATTAAAAATGTAAATAAAACATAAACATTAAAAATTTTAATAAAAAATGCCTTCCCCCTCCCACCCCCCACCCCCCATTTTACACAAGTTTACATCTCTTCAGGAAAACACACACACTCTGCATTATACACTACACACTCTGTATATAATGTAATATAGTGTGTGTGTTTATAATGCATTATATACACACACACTACACTATATACACACACTACACACTGTATTCAATATATATATATATATATATATATATATATATATATATATATATACACACACACACACTATACAAACACACTGCATTCTTTACGCACACTACACACACTGCATCATCTATACGCACACTACACACGCTGCATCCACTATACGCACACTACACACACTGCATTCACTATACACACTGCACGCACTTTACGCACACTTCACACACACTGCATTCACTTTACACACCACACACTACATTCACTGTACACACTCTACACAAACACACACACTCTGCATTCATTATATACACACTACACAATGTCACTGCATTAACTATACATACTACACAAACAGTCACTGCATTAACTATATACACTACACAAACACACCCTGCATTCATTATATACACACTACACAAATACACACAGCTCCACTGTCTAAACACACTGCATCCACTGCATGTGGCTTGTATATTTTGTGCATTAACCTTTCAAAATAGTTTATTTTTTCAAAATGGTAAATGCACAGAATATCGTTAAGTTATCGGCTATCGGCCTGAAAGTTCACAGATTATCGGTATCGGCTCTAAAAAATCAGTATCCCAAATAGAAATGGTATAGAATATGCTGTGAGAACCTTTACAGGGAATTGGACTACGGAAAATCTGTCAAGAAAACACTATCAGACGGCCTACTACAGGACCCATTAACAAACACAATGTCACCTTTCTGTAGGGGTGTGTCTGTGAAGTCAGCACTTGTAAACAGCCATGGTCTTTGTTGGATTCTGTGTCATGTGACAGAAAAAGTTTGTGTAGAAGTGTGGCTGGGCATGATTAGGGTAATGCATATTTAATCTAGAGGCCTTGAGTGGAAGTAAGTATGGTTTCATATCTTGAGCATCTCTGTACAGTCGAGTGGTGAGCATAGGCATGCGCACGGGGTGTGCCTGGGCACACCCTAATCACACCTCTGTGCTGTACTACCTTTGGGCAGACTAGCATGTCGGGTCCTCGGTCTATGACCGAGGACCGGACACAGCAGGGGGCCCGGCGGCTTGCCCACAATGCCCACGGCTTGCAGTGAGTGACAGGGGGTAGAGTGACAGGGGGAAGAGGGGGGTTTAAATACCTTCCCTGGTGGTCCAGTGGGCGCCCTCTCTCTTCAGTATACAGCTCCACCGGGAGTGAGCTGCAGACAGAGGTGTCTCACGATCTCCAGCCTGTTAGAGCATTACCACGGCAATGCTCTGCCTGGAGATCGCGAGACTCACCATGTGGTCTGCAGCTCACTCCCGGCGGAGCTGCAGACTGACTCTACCCCCTGTCACTCACTGCCCCCCCACCCTACTCCCTGCCACTGCCCCTCTACCCCCCAACTCCTGTCACTAGCCCTCTGCCCCCCCTAACCCTTGTCACTACCCCCCAACCCCTGTCACTACCCCTCTACCCCCAAGCCCTGTCACTACCCCTAACCCTGTCACTGCCCCTCTACCCCCAAGCCCTGTCACTTCCCCTAACCCTTGTCACTACCCTCTACACCCCCTAACCCCTATCTCTGCCCAACCCCTGTCACTGCCCTTCTACCCCTAACCTGTCACTGCTGACCCCCTAACCCATGTCACTGCCTCTCCACCCCCTAACCCCTGTCCTGCCCCTCCTCCCCCACCCCTGTCACTGCCCCCTCTACCCCCCACCCTGTCACTGCCCCTCCTAGCCTCTAACCCTGTCATTGCCCTAACCCCTGTCACTGCCTCTCTCTCCCCTAACCCCATATTAGCCTTTCCACCCCCCCGCCAACCCCCTGTCACTGCCCCTCTACCCCCCCAACCCCTGTTACTACACTAAACCCTGTCACTTCTCTCTACTAACACCGGTCACTAGCCCTCTACCCCCTCTAACCCCGGTCACTACCCCCCTAACCCCTGTCACTACCCCAACCCCTGTCGCTGCCCCTCCACACCCCTAATCCCTGTCGTCCACACAGTGCACCCCTGTCGCCCACACAGTGCACTCCTCACAATCATACACACTGTACCCTACACACACTGCATCCCTCACAATTACACACACTGTACCGCTCACAATTACACACACTGTACCCCTTACAATTACACACACTGTACCCCCCACACACTGCATTCTCACAATCATACACACTGTACCCCACACACACTGCATCCCTCACAATTACACACACTGTACCGCTCACAATTACACACACTGTACCCCTTACAATTACACACACTGTACCCCCCACACACTGCATTCTCACAATCATACACACTGTACCCCACACACACTGAATCCCTCACAATTACACACACTGTACCCCTTACAATTACACACACTGTACCCCTCGCAATCACACACACTGCACCCCTTACATGCTGCGCCGCTCACAATCACACACACAAACTACGCCGCTCACAATCACACACACAAACTGAACTGCTCACAATCACACACACACACTGCACCTATGTATATTTGTATTTGTATACATATATGTGTGTGTATGTATGTATAAGTATGTGTGTGTATGTGTATAGAAAAATGCATATATACGCGACGTGTGTGTTTGTGCTTTAGGGTGCACACCCTAATGCAACAGGCTGCGCATGCCTACGGTGGTGAGGTTGTTGAGGACTTGCAATCTCAACTAACATGGCATTTGTAGCAACAGCTCTCAAGCAGACATACCCTGTAGAACCGTAGACAACACTTTTGAATAATAAGAAACATGATGATATCCCATGCCGTGTTCCTGTGCCAGAACCCCAGAAGCAGTGAAGTAGCCTCTACTAATTTGTAGAACCAGTGCTGAAGCAGAGCAGAGAATGTTTGAGAGTCATCTAAGTTTCAAGCAAGTCATTTGTCCATTGAATAGTCTCTGGGGCCTCTGATAGTGTAGCTGATCTGAGAATGTGGTCATCGTGGGAACAGTCAGGTATTCACTGTCTGCAGTAGGTAACCTTCCCTAGAAATGACAGCACTGGCAGCCTTGTTGTAGAGTTGCATGATGGCTTGAATGCGGTCTGGAGCAACGACAGTTGCCCCTGGGACAGCAGGAATCCAGGTATTTAACCTTAGGGAAGCAGACTTGTAGCTTCTTGTAAGAGGCCTTGTGATCTACAGCATTCAGGTGAGTCAGTAAGGACAGCATGTCAATTTTACTGGCTTGCATCTGGGGCTACAGAGTAGGAGATTCTCCACATACTTTAGGATAGTGGAACCACAACTGGAAGTCCATAACTCCACGTTAAGGCGTACCATGGCAGAGAACTCTGTTAGGGAGTCACAGAAGCCTTGGGTAAGGCGGTTCCATGTGTATTGACTCCCTTTATATGTGAAAGCAAAAATAGCTCTGGTATCAGGGTCTACTGGGAAGCTAAAGAAATCACTGCAAAGGTCAATAGTACTATATTGAATGGACTCCTGAGGTATGGAAGTGATGATGGAGTTAAAATCTTGAACTATTGGGGTCAAAGATTGCCCCCTGAAACTTCCAGCCCTCAGATCTTGTGTGAACCTTGCTGTCTGATTTTGGCACTTGGTTAATAGGGGTGTTCCATGAAGAGTAATTAGGTGAAACACTATGCCTTTACACCACAATTCCTGGATCACTGGGTTAATTCCCTGCTCCTTTTTTGTTGACTTTGAATACTGCTTAATATGAACTGGCTGAGCACCTGTTTTCAGTGTAGCTTTGTATAGTGTGCAGTCAGTGTAGCCCGGGTCTGTGTGGGAAATGTCCCAGAGTGATGGGAGTAGTAGTGAGATAGGAGATTTGGTTGAAGTGGATGTCATCTCAAACTGAGCATAGTCGAATAATTATTTTCCTGATCCTTTTTCCTTCACGAAAAAAAAAAAAATATTAATTTCGTTCCGTCTACTGAAATAAACTTTGATCCATTACCAAGTGTGCAAAAGCTTGACCAGAACTTGCAAAACTTGTCGGTGGTGACTGACAAGATCCTTCGAATAAATTCGTCTAGATACACGATCACGAGTTCTTGTTGGAATTCCCTCAAGACATCATTAATGAAATTCTGGAAGACAGCCGGGGCATTACATAGCGCGATAGGCATCAACGTATACTCGTAATGCCCGTATCTGGTGTTAAAGGCTGTCTTCCACTCATCCCCTTTGCGGATTCTAACAAGATTATAAGCACTTCTCAAATCCAGTTTAGTAAAAATGCTGGCCCCTTTCAACCTGTCAAATAACTCAGTTATGAGAGGAATAGGGTTACGTATAGTAATGCTATTTAGTCCTCTATAATCAATGCATGGCCTAAGATCTCCTTCCTTCTTGGATACAAAAAAAAATCCATCCCCTGCGGGTGACGAGGATTTCCCAATGAACCCTTTCTCAAGATTCTCTTTAATGTACTCCTCAAGTACTGCATTCTCTTTTACCGATGGGGGTAAACTGTACCTTTAGGAGGCATAGTGCTCGGTAATAAGTCACTAGCGCAGTCATATATTCTGTGGCTAGTTAACACATTGGCCTTGACTTTATCAAACACCTCTTTAACTTTCAGATATTGATCTGGAATGACAATGGCATTAGTAGACGTGGTAGGTACACTAGTGAGAAGGATAGGTTTTATGTTCGTAATACAACTCTGATGACATTTGTTGCTCCAAGTTACTATGTCACCCTTCTCTCAATTTATAGTAGGGTTATGCTTCTTCAGCCAAGGGAATCCTAATACTATTGGGAAGGTAGGTGAAGAAATTACCTGGAACACACAATGTAATACGCCAACCAACATGGAAATTGGTTTGGTTTCATGTTTTTTTTTTCTTTCATGGAGGCGTCTACCATCTATGGCCTCAACGGCCAAGGGTGTATCCCTTAACTGAGATGGGATAGAATTTCCTAGAGCAAAATTCTGGTCGATAAAATTTTCCGCTGCACCAAAGTCGATTAATGCTGCGGTTCTGACCAATCCCTCTTCCCAAGTTAGGGTGATATTAATCAAAAGCCTTTGATTCTGGAGTTCTATGGAGGAGAATGAAGAAACACCCAAGGCCTGTCCTCCATGGGGACTTAGGTGCGGAAGTTTCCCGGCCTGCTGGGAAAAGATAACCAGAGATGGCCTCTTTGACCACAATGAAGACATAGTCCCTCTCTTTTTCTGTATTGGCATTCTGCCTCAGTTAACCTAGTAGCTCCTACTTGCACAGGTTCGGGCAAGGCAAGTGCCATAGAATCAGAGGTATTAGGTAAAGGTGTGGTATAACTTGGAGTTCTTCTAGTTCTGTCTCTAGTGTTCTCCTTTACCTCATCCTCTCGTCTATGGGAGACATAAAAGTTATTACCTCCTCTAAATTCTCTGGAAGATCTCTAGTGGCAATTTCATCTAGCATGGCTTCTGATACCCCATTCAAAAACACATCGATATAAGCCTGGTTATTCCATGCTACTTCAGAGGCTAATGATCTGACTTCTAGTGCATAATCCACTAAAGACCTATTCCCTTGCCTAAGACGAAGAAGAGTTCTGGCGGCATTTGCCCTTCTACCAGGAGGATCAAAGGTTCGCCTGAAAGCCTCCACAAATGCTGAATAGTTGTAGACTATAGGATTATTGTTTTCCCATAAAGGATTAGCCCAGGTCAAAGCTCTGTCTATTAGAAGGCTTATCATGAACCCTACCTTTGCTCTATGGGTAGGATATGATCGAGGTTGGAGCTCAAAATGTATGCTAATTTGGTTCAAGAACCCTCTACACGCCTCTGGTGCTCCACCATATCACAGTGGTGTTTTAACATGAGAGGAAGCTCCTACCGTAGCTACTTCCAGGCCAGTATTAACATGCAGAAACATTACAAATCTCTTCAGTACTGGTAGTAGGTCTGTTAATCAAGGTCTGCAATGCAATAGCCATTTGATCAATGCGATGGTCCATTTGCTCAAAACGGTTATTGCAAGGATCTGCTTGGTTACATACACCTCCCGGATCCATATGGCCCTGTTGTAATGTCAGGAATAAGGGGAATCCTAACAGAGAGTGTAGGTAAAGTAGTAACGTACCGGACCTTAGAATGGCCGGACTGATGTTACTGAGAGAAAGAATAAACAGGACGAGCTGAGGTCAGGGAAGCCAGAGGTAGGACAAAACGAGAATAACAAGCCAGGTCAAACGGATACCAGAGAGAAGAATAGTCAAGACAAGCCAAAATTCAAAATCAGAAAAAATACCAAGAATATAACGCGCTATCAGGACCAAGAGGAACCACAACAGGGCAAATATCCTAACTCATGGGAGCCTTTTTATATTGTGACTGGATCTGTCTGGGATGATAACCACGACCCCCGTTTGGATGATTAATTATGTCATTTGGCTCCGACCCCTTTTTCAGTGCATTTTGGTTCCTCCCCTTTTGCGTCATAAAAAGGGACGGGGCTATTGTGGCCGGCGCGAAAATGACTAAAGTTGCTGGAAGATTGCCAGGTCATGTCCCTAGAGTCTTGCAGATGAACTCCACTGTGACCAGACGCCTGAGTCTCTACAAAAGGTACCCTGACACTGACATACTGGAGGCATTCCGTGATTTCTATTCCAACTTATATAATCTCCGCTCAAGCCCGCCTAGAAAGGAGTAGATCACAGAATTTCTCTCTTCCCGAATCAGCCACACACTACCTGCCAACATTCAATGCACCCTCGACACCCACATGTCGATGGGAGAATTTGCAGTTAAAAACCTTCCTTTCCAGAAAGAGTCCAGGCCCAGATGGCTATACTGCCAAATACTTTCAGGGAGCTTCAAGCTGACCCATTTCTCAAAGCATTCAACTTCCTCATGCACGCGCCCACACTTCCAAACTCTGCCCTGGAAACTCACATCATCCTGATCCTCATACCAGGGAAAGAACCCGTGACCTGTGGGAGCTATAGGCCTATATCCCTAATCAACATTGACCTGAAAATTTTCACAAAAATCTTGGCCACCCGTCCCTGCCCATTCCTACGGGGGCTAGTCCACCCTGATCAGGTGGGCTTTGTCCCAGAAAGAGAAGCAAAAAACAACACGTCTAAAATGCTCAACCTCATCTACCTAGCCCAACACTCCAGTTTGCTTCCCTCGGTCGATGCAAAGAAGGCCTTCGACAGGGTGGACTGGTCTCTTCTCCTAGAAAGCCTCAGGGCTATGGGGTTTGGCCAGGCCCGGCTTCAATGCATGACAGCGCTTTACTCCAACCCGAGTGCCAAGATTCGAATTAATGTCCAACTATCGGAACCTGTGACCATTAGAAACAGCACGAGGCAGGGGTGCCCCCTCCTCTTCATTCTTATAATGGAGACCTTTCTCCAGGGCATTAGAGACAACCGAGAAATTAACCGATTTCAGATCAATAATCGAGAATATAAAATTGCAGCGTGTGTTTGTGAGTGTATCTACAACCACCTATATTTATATATTGCCCCAGTCGTATCACCATCATATATTGCTCCTGAGTGGGCGAGAAGCCATATTCTACGTGTGTTTGTGAGTGTATCTACAACCACCTATATTTATATATTGCTAAGTTTTTTTACTGTATTACGCTATGTTGGATCTCTGATTTTTATACAGAATCCATATGGATCACATTTTCCATCAGCTTGTTGTATATTTTATATATTAATTTACACGTATTCTGGGTGTTTTTCCACTTTCTTACTATTGTACATTGTTTCTCGGGTGTCTGTGAGGTACACCAGGGAATTCTTCCAGCTATACGTTTTTGTGTAGTGTATATATAATTCTTTATCTATATAAAATTGCAGCGTTTGCTGATGACCTCCTGTTCACCATTACTGACCCCGGCACCTCCATGCCACAAAATTACACCAATACAATAGTATTTCCAAATACAAGGTCAATTTCACGAAGAGCGAAATACTCCCTCTAAACATCACCCACACCACCAACTCATCCCTCCAAACCAATTTCCAATTTGCTTGGGCTGAGGAAGCAGTCAAATACCTAAGGGTCAAACTCCCTAGGGACCTAACTAAACTTTACAGCCTCTATTTCCACCACCTCCCCCACTAAAAACATTTACAGAGGATTTACTTAAATGGAACAAACCTCTTTTTGGATGGCTAGCCCGCATACACATCCTTAAAATAAACATCCTCCCCAAGCTATTATACCTCGTGCAAGTCTTACCCATAACCCTGCCCAAGACATTCTTTGCATCAATAAAATGCATATGGGTACACAAACACCCCAGACTTCCGCACAAGCTTCTAATGATGCCTAAACCGAGAGGTGGCTTAGGACTACCCAACATTGAAACCTACTACAAAGCCATAACCCTATCCAGTTGTCACAACCACAAAATATGAAACACTGGGTACAATTGGAAGCTTCACTGAACCACTACACACAATCCCTTGGCATGAAAGGACTAGTACACTCCTTCCCCAGACCCACCGCTCCCATCCAACAATAGAGCCTACCCTAAAAACATGGCAGAGCACAACATCGCTACCCCACATCTCCCCCTACCTATCTCCGCTCTATCCAGTGACACACAACCCACTCTTCCCACCGGGCATGAATGCATCCACCTTTAGCGCGCTTCAGGACGCCCAATCCCACTACCTCAAACTCGGCACCCTTCACCGACAAAGGTCCCAGACCACTAGAGGGATCAGACACTACCAACAACCCAATCACACTACAACGTTTTAACCTGAGACAACTCAGACATTTCATCTCCTCAAATCCAGCCCTCCTGAAGAAATAAGCTGCAAAACTAACACAATTAAAACGAAACAACTCTCCACACTTCACAGGCTCCTCCAAGAGGACCCTAGCAGCCCCAAACCCAAGTTTCTCTCCCTCTGGGAAGAGGAATTACAGATTACGTTCTCCCCATCTGAATGTAAACAGATTTTTATCAATGTCTTCCACTCATCCATCAGTAACGCCACCCACGAACACAACTACAAACGAATAGCCTGATGGCACTATAAACCCTCACACCTCCACCGACTCTTTCCCCAATTATCTGGGATTTGCTGGCGATGCCTCCAGGAAAAGGGCACGCCTGGCCACATTTGGTGGTCATGCGACCTCATCCAAAAATTCTGGAAGAAAATTATATCTCTCATCCACATAACCTCGGAGTCCAACTTCCCATGTCCCCTAAAGTCTTGCTGTTGTTGCTATACCCGACTCCACTCTCCAAAAGCCAATGTATACTGATCAATCACCTATTGACAGTGCTCATCATGTTAATCCCAATACACCTGGGTACAGGTGGCTGACAAGCATCATAACACAATAAATCCTGTAGGGCTCATACCAGGCTAGAACTGATGGGGCAATATAGTGTCTTTCTATTGTCCTATCATTCGTGCCCTTCGTTTCCCTTAGGAACTGTTCACATACAGAGGATCCTAGTTGCTCTCCCTACCTTAGGGGAAGCAAGAAAAAGGAAGGTTTCAGGGTTCAATCCTCCTTCCTCACCACACTGTAGTACCTGCATATCTGTTTAGCGTGCTTCCCATGGCTACTGATCACCCACATACATAGCAATTAGTTACATGTTTTCAGCTAGGTCAAAAAACAAATTACGAGTGGTGTGGGAAATTTCAATCTGGGATCCCATTTCTTTGTAAAAGGATTGAAAAACCTGGTGGGTTTCACTCTTTATGACTTCAGTTTTAATATTCAAATATAGTATGGTTCCTGGGTCTGTACCAGAACCATATATCTGCAGACCATGGAAGGTGCCCCACTTGTAAAGGAATACCAGGGGAATTGGAGCCTGGGATAGGAACAAGGATAAGGTGTCGGGTTGCGTACGAAGATTGGGGGGTAACCCCTCGAAATAGAACTAAATAAGAGAGAAAAGAAACAAAGACAGAGAAACCAGGAATAAAGAAGTATATATATCCTAAAGGTTCCCTGTGATTGTTAAGCAACCCAAAAGTAAATGATAAAATATAACTTTTATTAAATGCCTTCTAAAAGTCAATAACTAGTAAAGTGAGTAAATAGAGTAAGTAAAAAAAGCCTACTAAAGGGAGAGGAGAATAGAGTTATTGCAATAGCTCAGTAGTTCCAAAAAATGTAGATAAAATTATGATCTGGTGGATGCTATAAAACATCCCATAAAGTCTAGAAAGTATTAAGCTATATAACCCTAATGTAATAATTGCTGACTCCTAACTCCCATTAATCTAAGGCTGAAATCATCTGCCTAGTAAAGACAATCAACAGAAACCTCAAAGGAAGGTGCTAAGAGGTAGAGAATATTAAGTAATAAACTAGAGAGAGGGTGATAATGTCTAAAGCATTATACTAATTCTGGCTGCAGCATCGTCCCCACAAAGTCTCTAACCACCCGCTCAAAAAAGTCCCGACGCGCGTTTCGCCACGAGGGCTTTTCAAGGGAACCGGACTGAACGCCGGACGAGGTTTAAATAACCCGCCCTCCGCTGTGACTGGTTAGAAAGGTCACCAATCACAGATGGGGGGGCGGAGTCAAGTGCCGAAACCGGTTTGTCCGAAATCACCGGGGAAACCGGCACGGAAAGTAAATAATGGAGACACAATTAACTTATAAATCATCAAGATATTAAATAGGCAAATTGAAGCAAAATATTATGTCAGAAAAAGTACCCACAAAAATATAGTTATGAGGAGAAGAAAGACATATCCAACAAAGTAACAATAAGGCAGATTCGGATACATTGGTATCACTACATGACAGTACATAAGTAATGAACAGTCTATAGACAAAAAAGTATAAATAGTTATGTAAATATTGCTCTACCAGCTAACAGAATGATCAAAACAAACTTATAATGTGAATTCTGAGGGCAAAAAATGTATATATAGCCCAAGATCATTTTGGTCAATTATGTTTTTACAAAAAATTAATTAATATAGAGAAATAATGAAATAATGAATAGGGACAACATGTCCAAACTGATAGGACCAGAAGATCTATAGAACAAAGTAGGTCCATCAGTGTTAAAAAATGATGGATCAGGATAAAACGAAACTTACAAGAATAATATTAGAAGTAATAGAAAAACTATAAAGAAAGGGGGAGAGATATTCAGTAAGAACTGTATATAGTGAGTGTAAACAATGACTAATTGCGGCTATGACACACATTGGGAACCAGCAAAGGGCCCCAATGGTAAAAGATTTTGTCAAAGATTATAAAATTAAAGAGAGAACCAGACAGACAGAACTAATCAAGTGTGAATAAAAGGAGTAAAGTTAAACTCCTCATTCAACCCCTTGGGGTATAATGTTTGAAACAAATAAATCCAACGGGATTCAGCTTTCAGTAGGGCAATATTGATGTCCCCTTTTCTGTGGTTCAAAAAAACTTTTTGAATTACTTGAAATTTGAGTACATTAGGTCTGGAATCATGGTTTGTACGTACATGTCTGGCAATCGGAGTATCCAAATGTAAATTGGAAATAGAATTAATATGTTGCAGGACACGTCGACGTAACTGTTGGTACGTCTTGCCGATGTACTGTAATCCACAGTCGCATGTAATAATGTAGACAACGTTGGTAGAACCACAGTTGACAAAAGAGTTCACCTCGATGTCTTTAGCGGTTTTATGATTCCGTACTCCCTTAGATGGTAAAATGAAGTCACAAGCCTTGCAGTGCCCACATCTAAAAAGACCCTTGGTCTGAAGCCAGGTAGATTTAGTTGGTATAGGTTTCAAATGACTTTGAGTCAAAAGGTCTGCGAGGTTCTTAGCTCTTCGATAGGTTACAGAAGGTTTGATAGTAATGGTATTCTTGAGGCATTTGTCATATTGGAGTAATGGCCAATTGCGGTTGAATACCTGCAGGGTGTTGTTCCAATTTTTATCATAAGTCCCTATCAATCTGGTGACCCCAGCGTTAGGTTGAATAATCTTAGGGAGTTTATGTAAGCTCTCAGATCTGTCAACGGTTCTCGCTCTTTGGTAGGCTTTTTTAAGAATACGATTTGGGTATCCTAGACTCTTGAATCTCTGTCTGAGGGTTTTCGCCTCTCTTTCAAAGTCTTCTGGATTGGAACAGTTTCTTTTTACCCTGAGGTATTGGCCATAAGGTATGTTAGCCTTTATATGAAATGGGTGAAAACTGTCCCAGTGTAATAGACTATTCGTGGCGGTAGGTTTTCTGTACAGTGAAGTGGATACTGAACCATCTTCTGTCAGAGCAATTGTGAGATCCAGAAAGACTAGGTGACTCTCATGAATAACATGAGTAAGTTTAAGATTGATATGGTTAATATTCAATACGTCAACCCAATCTTTGAATGATGAAAAAGAGCCTAACCAAAAGATTAGCACATCGTCAATGTAGCGAAACCATTTGTAGATTGACGAGGTGTACATGGCATAGGGACTGGTGAAAACTATCGTTTCTTCCCACCATCCCAAAAACAGATTAGCGTAGCTGGGTGCACAAGAAGAGCCCATCGCAGTGCCCTGTATTTGTAAGTAGTATTTCCCGTTGAATGTAAAGTAATTGTGAGTAAGCACAAACTGTAATAGAAGCAGGATAAACTCCTGTTCCTGTAGATTGAAGGTTTTGGCTTTTTGCAGAAAGTAGGCTACTGCTGCTAGACCCTTGTCATGTGGAATGTTGTTATATAATGCCACTACATCCAGACTAGCCAGGGATGTATAGGGGGGCACGGTAAGATGTTCCAAGGCTAGAAGTGTCTGTTTAGTGTCCCGTATGTGTGATTTTAAACCTATTACCAGGGGTTGGAGCAGCTTGTCCAAATATTGGCTTGCTCTCTCAGTTAGGCAATGGTTGCCAGAGACAATTGGTCTGCCTGGAGGGTTCAAGAGGTCTTTATGGATTTTAGGAAGACAATAAAAAGTAGCAATAGTAATATTGGACTGAGAAACAATAAACCTAGACTCATGTTGAGTTATCACATTGTTAGTTAAAGCTTTTGATACTAGTGATTGCAATTCAGCCAAAAACGTTTTCGTAGGATCTTCCTTCAAAGCCTGGTAGGCCATTTCATCCATGAGATGTTGCATACACATGTTAACATATTGTTCTCTTTGCATGAGGACAATGTTGCCTCCTTTGTCAGATTGTTTACAGACAACATCTGTTGCTAACCTGAGCTCTTGTAAAGCCAGTTTTTCTCCTGCTTTAAGATTAGAAATGTGTGATGATGAAGGGATCTGATTTTCTAGTTCATTGGTACAAATCTGCACAAACAGATCAATACAAGGAAATTCCTTCAAATTGGGGGTAAACCAGCTCGGAGGTTTAAAGTTAGTTAGGGAGTCAGGAGTACCCTGTTCAGAGTGTAAGTCCATAAGTGTATTGAACAGTGCCATGTCTTCAGGTGAAAGGCCAAGATCTTTAAGTTTTTTTAAATTAATCTTTTCATGTAAAGCATGTAAGGCCAATTTACGGCCAAATAGGTTCACATCTTTGGCCCAGTCAAATTGGTTACTTATAGGTGTTGGTATAAAAGAAAGACCCTTTTGAAGAAGTGATATGTGTCTTTGTTTTAGGATAAACTTAGAGAGGTTTATTATCTTATTGTCCTGTGTTTGCACAACTATTGGTAATTGGTTTTCTGTGTCTTGTATCCCCACTTGTTCCTGTCCCTTAGTCTTTCCCTTTGGGGCTGTGGCCAGTCCTGATCTAAAAAAGTCAGGGAAGATTGAGTAGGGCCTGTAGATTCAAGTCTAGGATTTGTAGTAGCAGTTTGAACCACAGGGGGGTCCATAAAGGTTATGTTCCTATCAGTATTTCTCAAGATACCTTTGGTTTGTCCTGAGGCAGTATGTTGAGTAAACCGAGTGTTATGCCTTTTATGGTACCGAGGTCTGGAATCAGATTCAGACCATTCAGTTTCATCTGAAGAGGAAAAACCTTTATTAAATGATTTGTTAACATTAAATCTCCTTTTGTTCTTATTTCTAAAGATATTCCCCTCTTGAAAGTCCCTAAAATCCCTTTGAAATTTGTAATGTTTCTTTTGTTTGATACTTCTTTTAAAACCTTCTAAGTTCTTGCTCAGCTTGCTCTCCATAGCTGGAAAGCTAGGTTCTTTATCAAAATTCCTGATATTTTTAATTTCAACGTCTAATTCTCCGTTGGTTTTATCCAAATGTTGTTGTTCTAATTGGATTAAAAACTGCATAATTTTAGCAGAGCAATCTAAAAGGATAGAATTCCATTCTGCTAACTGTTCGTCAGTCTTGACTTTGTCAGGTAGCAGAATGTCCGGTCTAAGGCCTCTGGGTACCAGTTTTTGTTCAATGTAGTGTCTTAGGCTGGCTAGTTCCCAGAATCCCCTTAGTTGTGTTTGATATAGCTTTTGTATTGAGAAGAAGGCCTGATTGATATCCTTGGGTTCATTTTGTAAATTACCCAAAGGTTTATTAGAGAAGACATTATTAACGTCTTCAGATGAATAATTAGGATGCACCACCTGTTCTAGAAGGTCTGACATAATTATTAGACTTCAAAATGACTACTACCAATAAATGTACAATTAAGAGTAGTAAGTGTTAAACAAAAATGATAGTAAGAATATCCTGTCCTATAAATTGGTATTGAAACCTGATGCAAATATAGAATTGGAGCCTGGGATAGGAACAAGGATAAGGTGTCGGGTTGCGTACGAAGATTGGGGGGTAACCCCTCGAAATAGAACTAAATAAGAGAGAAAAGAAACAAAGACAGAGAAACCAGGAATAAAGAAGTATATATATCCTAAAGGTTCCCTGTGATTGTTAAGCAACCCAAAAGTAAATGATAAAATATAACTTTTATTAAATGCCTTCTAAAAGTCAATAACTAGTAAAGTGAGTAAATAGAGTAAGTAAAAAAAGCCTACTAAAGGGAGAGGAGAATAGAGTTATTGCAATAGCTCAGTAGTTCCAAAAAATGTAGATAAAATTATGATCTGGTGGATGCTATAAAACATCCCATAAAGTCTAGAAAGTATTAAGCTATATAACCCTAATGTAATAATTGCTGACTCCTAACTCCCATTAATCTAAGGCTGAAATCATCTGCCTAGTAAAGACAATCAACAGAAACCTCAAAGGAAGGTGCTAAGAGGTAGAGAATATTAAGTAATAAACTAGAGAGAGGGTGATAATGTCTAAAGCATTATACTAATTCTGGCTGCAGCATCGTCCCCACAAAGTCTCTAACCACCCGCTCAAAAAAGTCCCGACGCGCGTTTCGCCACGAGGGCTTTTCAAGGGAACCGGACTGAACGCCGGACGAGGTTTAAATAACCCGCCCTCCGCTGTGACTGGTTAGAAAGGTCACCAATCACAGATGGGGGGGCGGAGTCAAGTGCCGAAACCGGTTTGTCCGAAATCACCGGGGAAACCGGCACGGAAAGTAAATAATGGAGACACAATTAACTTATAAATCATCAAGATATTAAATAGGCAAATTGAAGCAAAATATTATGTCAGAAAAAGTACCCACAAAAATATAGTTATGAGGAGAAGAAAGACATATCCAACAAAGTAACAATAAGGCAGATTCGGATACATTGGTATCACTACATGACAGTACATAAGTAATGAACAGTCTATAGACAAAAAAGTATAAATAGTTATGTAAATATTGCTCTACCAGCTAACAGAATGATCAAAACAAACTTATAATGTGAATTCTGAGGGCAAAAAATGTATATATAGCCCAAGATCATTTTGGTCAATTATGTTTTTACAAAAAATTAATTAATATAGAGAAATAATGAAATAATGAATAGGGACAACATGTCCAAACTGATAGGACCAGAAGATCTATAGAACAAAGTAGGTCCATCAGTGTTAAAAAATGATGGATCAGGATAAAACGAAACTTACAAGAATAATATTAGAAGTAATAGAAAAACTATAAAGAAAGGGGGAGAGATATTCAGTAAGAACTGTATATAGTGAGTGTAAACAATGACTAATTGCGGCTATGACACACATTGGGAACCAGCAAAGGGCCCCAATGGTAAAAGATTTTGTCAAAGATTATAAAATTAAAGAGAGAACCAGACAGACAGAACTAATCAAGTGTGAATAAAAGGAGTAAAGTTAAACTCCTCATTCAACCCCTTGGGGTATAATGTTTGAAACAAATAAATCCAACGGGATTCAGCTTTCAGTAGGGCAATATTGATGTCCCCTTTTCTGTGGTTCAAAAAAACTTTTTGAATTACTTGAAATTTGAGTACATTAGGTCTGGAATCATGGTTTGTACGTACATGTCTGGCAATCGGAGTATCCAAATGTAAATTGGAAATAGAATTAATATGTTGCAGGACACGTCGACGTAACTGTTGGTACGTCTTGCCGATGTACTGTAATCCACAGTCGCATGTAATAATGTAGACAACGTTGGTAGAACCACAGTTGACAAAAGAGTTCACCTCGATGTCTTTAGCGGTTTTATGATTCCGTACTCCCTTAGATGGTAAAATGAAGTCACAAGCCTTGCAGTGCCCACATCTAAAAAGACCCTTGGTCTGAAGCCAGGTAGATTTAGTTGGTATAGGTTTCAAATGACTTTGAGTCAAAAGGTCTGCGAGGTTCTTAGCTCTTCGATAGGTTACAGAAGGTTTGATAGTAATGGTATTCTTGAGGCATTTGTCATATTGGAGTAATGGCCAATTGCGGTTGAATACCTGCAGGGTGTTGTTCCAATTTTTATCATAAGTCCCTATCAATCTGGTGACCCCAGCGTTAGGTTGAATAATCTTAGGGAGTTTATGTAAGCTCTCAGATCTGTCAACGGTTCTCGCTCTTTGGTAGGCTTTTTTAAGAATACGATTTGGGTATCCTAGACTCTTGAATCTCTGTCTGAGGGTTTTCGCCTCTCTTTCAAAGTCTTCTGGATTGGAACAGTTTCTTTTTACCCTGAGGTATTGGCCATAAGGTATGTTAGCCTTTATATGAAATGGGTGAAAACTGTCCCAGTGTAATAGACTATTCGTGGCGGTAGGTTTTCTGTACAGTGAAGTGGATACTGAACCATCTTCTGTCAGAGCAATTGTGAGATCCAGAAAGACTAGGTGACTCTCATGAATAACATGAGTAAGTTTAAGATTGATATGGTTAATATTCAATACGTCAACCCAATCTTTGAATGATGAAAAAGAGCCTAACCAAAAGATTAGCACATCGTCAATGTAGCGAAACCATTTGTAGATTGACGAGGTGTACATGGCATAGGGACTGGTGAAAACTATCGTTTCTTCCCACCATCCCAAAAACAGATTAGCGTAGCTGGGTGCACAAGAAGAGCCCATCGCAGTGCCCTGTATTTGTAAGTAGTATTTCCCGTTGAATGTAAAGTAATTGTGAGTAAGCACAAACTGTAATAGAAGCAGGATAAACTCCTGTTCCTGTAGATTGAAGGTTTTGGCTTTTTGCAGAAAGTAGGCTACTGCTGCTAGACCCTTGTCATGTGGAATGTTGTTATATAATGCCACTACATCCAGACTAGCCAGGGATGTATAGGGGGGCACGGTAAGATGTTCCAAGGCTAGAAGTGTCTGTTTAGTGTCCCGTATGTGTGATTTTAAACCTATTACCAGGGGTTGGAGCAGCTTGTCCAAATATTGGCTTGCTCTCTCAGTTAGGCAATGGTTGCCAGAGACCAGGGGAATAAACAGGTCAGGTTCAAGGGGTTACAGGTGCCGGGACCACAACTAGATGTGGCCGGCATTGTCTGCAGACTTGCAGGTAGAGTATCTGATTTATAGGTGGCCCAACCCACATAACTCTAGTAGAAGCAGTAGTTATACCCACCATCTATGCAATCCCTATTCTTTGGGCACATCTACTTATTGTTTAACGTATAAGTTATTTCCCATGCCACCTCAGTACAGATGGACTCAGGCCATTTAGTCACTATTAATATCACCATAAACTCAAGATGAGCAGATGATCCTGAAGAAGCTTTGACTTTGCATCGGCACCTCAGCTTCTGGATGTGAGGGCTGCAGGGTAAAGAGTACTTCTGATTCTGTTCGGCTTCACAAGGCCTCCCTTGGGGTCCTCGGCTTTCCATCAATGGCAGGTGGTCAGGCATTATTATGGCCACCTACTTGTATTTTTACTATCTTAAAGCGGAGTTTCAGAGGGTTGTCTGGATCAACAGAAATTACTTCCCATGGAGCAGAGGCAGGCTTGATTCTGGAGTGGTGGACCCACGGGGTGATCTCAGCAACTTTCACGGTGTACTACTTGTTGGCGTGTGATCTCTCCTCCTATTTGGTGGAGGTCCCCTTTAAGGCCTAGGACAATCGGTGGTGGTCGACCGTATTTTTCAAAAGGGGAGAGGCCGGTGAGTTTTATGGGGGCGCTCCTGACCCAGAACAGGGCAGTGGGGAGCAAACCAACACTTCCGGTTGGTTTCTTGGTACATTTTAGCCAGGTGTAACCTCATTGTTCGGTTCATTCGCTCAACTTTCCATGAACTTTGAGGTCTGTAGGCTGTATGCAGTTTTCATTTAAGACTGAGGCTGGTGGTCAATTCCTGCAGGCACTTGTGTACAAAATAGAAAGAAGAAGGGAGGAAACCGCGCTTTACATAAATTATATATACATACACTTGATGTCTCTTGATGGTTGTAAGTATATCCTCAAAAAAAGAACACAAAAAGAGAATATACAATAGTGTAGTATGTTTAACAATATTGAAAAAGATAATAAATAAAGCGGAGGTATTTTGAACTCACATATGGTGGAGCTATTATAGGAGCTCTACCGTAATTGGCCTGGACGGTACAATCCCCGTCTTAGGATAAAAGGTCCAACGTCTTGGCACTCCAATGGTATGGTGGTACGAATCAAAATGGAAAAGGAAGGGAAACTCCAATAGTGTAATAGTTCCAGCTCCAAATATGAATAAATAAATAAAAGTAATATACTCACATTTGCTAGAGCAGACAACTTGCTCTAGTATATAAGGCTTACAGTGGTATAATCCCCACTGAAGGATATGCAGGTCAGGAAGTGGATGATGCAAATGAAATATAATAGAATATAACGTAAAAGATATATTTAATAGTATTTCAAATAAAATATAATGCTATAAAAGATAACACTTAACGCGTTTCGCCAATGGCTTCATCAGAAGTGTAAAAAACATACATCCAAAACTTCCTATAAATACATAACTTACATGAGTAAAATGATTGTTGCTGTCTTTCAGGTGTACCCCGGCAAAAAAACGCGCATAGGCGAAAGCCGGAAGTAGTGCGGCGTCCACGTGGGTGTTGGCAAGCCAGCGTGGAACGCACGCATCATAAACAGAAGCGGCGCGGCCAGCGTGGGCGCACATGTCAGGACCGGAAGCGGCGCGGCGTAAGCGTGTATGTCTTCATCCACTATGAAGCGCACGCGTCGCGCCGGAAGTGACGCGGCGCCCACGTGGGCGAAAATGTAAATCATGCGTTCCAACGTGGAACGCATAACTGCCGCAACCGCAATCTATCACATAAAAAGAATTAAATACATAAAAAAGATAGAATAATACATAAACAAAACATATGGGTAAAATAGCAAATGGGCTTTTCTTCCTTGATTTATAAAAGAGAAGTAGAAAGTTCATAAAAGTTCTTTTCGCCAGGTAGTTCAAACATCTAGTGTTGCAGAAGAGTGTCCCATCAATTAAAGATTAAAGATGTGTATGGATGCAACAAGATATTTTTTCTCTTTTTTTCTCCTTTTCTTATTCCTTTCTTCCCCTCCCTCTTCTTTGATGTAGGCATAAAGATGTGTAGGGTACATAGCATCCTTTTTGTGGAGGCAATCTTGAGCTTCCAATAATACATACAATGTCCATCATTCATTATTTTAAGTCCAATTTTTTGTAAAAGGGGTGGATGTATAAAAAATAAATAAGATAAATAAATGGATGGTCCTATTATGTACATGTCTTAACAAATGTACATATATAGGTAACACAGAAATGGTAAAAATATAGAGATAGACACATATAAATAAGTATATAAATATAAAATCAAATTTAAAACATATATATATATGAAATATGGAATAGATATAAAAATGAATACAGTAAAACAATTAAGAAATGGAGTGAATAAGAAAAAAATAGGATGATATAAGATGAGATGGAGAAAAAAAAAAAAAAAAAAAATTAATGTTTTTATAAAAAATTAAATAGATCAAATTCTATATTTAAACCATCTGGGTGTAGGGTATTCATATTGTAAACCCATTCCGTCTCTGTACGTCCCATTTTTTTAATATAATCACCTCCTCTCCAGTGTGATTTAACGATGGCAATACCAGTGAAGGTGAGATTTTTAGGGTCATTGTCATGAATACAGAAATGGGATGAGACAGAATGATTTTTAAAACCTTTTTCTATGTTTCTACAATGCTCAGCAATACGAGTTTTTAAAGGTCTAATAGTCTGTCCTATATATTGTAGGCCGCAAGGGCATTCCAATAAATATATAACGTTTTTACTGTTGCATGTAATTATTTCTTTTATGTTATAGGACTTGCCGTTATTGTTTGATTTGTGTACAAAAGCTGGACCATTATCAGATCCCACCAATGTCAGAATTCCATATCTTGGGATAATTTCAGAAAGCAAGAATTGGACCACTTCTTTGTTTTTTTCTGTTCTGGTGGGATTGGCTTCTACCCAGCCAGAGTATGAGCATACAATAACAAGAACATAGTGGAATTAACCAGATTTTGGCATAACCGTAAAGTCAACGAGCAACCTAGACATAGGTAATGCTCCAACAGTTTGAATCCCTGGTTGTTGGCTTTGTCCTTGTTATTTTTGGCACATTCCATGCATCCTCTGGCCACTGCTTGTGTTACTGTAAACAGGCCTGGTAGGTAAAAGAAACGGTTAAGTGTAGCCTCCATGGATGATTTTTCTACATGGGTGGACTAATGAAATGTTCACAGCCAGTGCCATGGGTACAACTCTTCTTCCATATTCTAATTTGTGCCACTTGTTATTCAGGCCTGGCTCTGTTTCCAGCCATTTGTGTTCATCAGGGCTTTATAGGGGTGACCAGTCAGAGATTGGTACCGGGAACAGCAGGACAAAGGTTGACTGAGTCTTTCATAGCTACATGTTTTGCAGTGTGGTCAGCCAGCCTGTTTCTAATAGTCACATGGGTGTCTCCCTTCTGGTGGGCTCGGCAGTGGATGATGCTAACTTGTGCAGGAGCGCAGACCACTTTGAGCAGTGCCAACATTTTGGATGAATGCTTGATGTCTTTTTCTCCAGAGTTCAGTAGGCCCCGTTCCTTGTACAGGGCCCCATGGGCATGAGTTGTAAGGCATGCATACTTTGAGTCAGTGTAGATGTTGACCCGTAGGCCCTGGTGAAGGCTATTAGTTCAGGGGGTCTGACTTTGATGACAGAACTTACAGTAGTCACTGCATGTCCGATCCCATCTTTAACAAAACTGCTACAGTCAGTGAAGTATTCTGCATCTGTTTTTTTCCTGGGGGTAGTCTCAGAAGTTAGATCTACTAGAGAAGATTTCATCCATGACTTCTATGCAATTGTGTTTGGTCAGTTTCTGGGAGCAGGGTAGCTGGGTTCAGTGAGTTGACGGTTTCAAGGTGGATCCTTGGGTTCTTACATAGAATGGCTTGGTACTTTGTGGTTGCCCTTGTAGTCAAGAAGGGTTTGGACATGTGGAACACAAACATAGAGTTCTTGTCCTAGGTTCAATTCATCAGCTTCTGCAACGAGGAGGGCTGCCGCAGACAACAGGGTAGGCCTTGTGCCACTGGAACCAGTTGTTTGGACAGGTAGGCAACAGGACGCTGCCATGAGTCCAAGTACTGTGTGAGGACACCTACTGCAGATTTCTTTTTCTTTTGGACATACAGGTAAAACACTCTTTGGTGATAAGGAAGTCCAAGTGCTGGGGCTTGAACCAAGGCCTCCTGCAGGGTTCTGAAGGCCGTCAGTTGCTCTTCTTCCCATAGAAATGTGTCATGTTCAAGGCCTTTGGTGGCCTCATAGAGAGGCTTAGCGATGATTGCAAAATTATGTATCCACATAATCCATCTGCACCCAAGAATTCACGCATTTTCCAACGACGGGTAGGTTGCTGGGATGTGGCAGACGGCATCTTTGCATTCTGGGTTGTGAATACAGCTTCCCTCTGAAAGATGGAATCCTAGGCACTTGACTGCTGTGCAGCAAATTTGGGCTTTTCTTCTGGATACATTGTATCCTGCTTCCCACAGAATTTGAAGCAGTTGGTTGGTAGCTTGTTGTCATGGTTCACGGTTCTCTGACATCCAGACGCGGTTGCCCCAGAAGTGCCCAACCGGGGATTTGAACCTGGGTACTTTGCAGTCCTGGATCTGCTGTTTCTCCTCTGAGCCACTATACAGCTCAAGTATCAGCCTAAAGTCTGATCTTGCCTTGTATCCAGCACTGCTGTGTCTGTGTCCCCATTTCTCCCAGCCAGTATCCCATGCCTCCCAGCCAATGTCACCAGTGTCCCCATGTCTACCAGTGTCCCCAAGTGTCTGTGTCCTCAGGTCTCTGTGTCCCCTAGTGTCCCCATGTCTCACAGTGTCTAGGGGACACTGGGAGACCTGGGGGCACAAACACTAGGGGACACTGGGACACATGGGGCACTGAGACACTGATACATAGCTCTAGGAGACATATGAACACAGACACTAGGGGACACTGAGACATGGGGATACTAGGGGATACAGAGCTACATGGGGACACTGTGATACATGGAGACACTGGGAGACAGGGGGACACTAACAGTAACCCATCTATACAGCAGAATCAAACTGTAAGTAGTTTTTTGTTAATTTTTATAGCATTTTCTCTTATGACATGCATTCATGTCAGGCAGGCCTTCCAATTCTTTGGGCAGACATGCCCTCTTTTACCCCGCCCATTAACTTTCTGCTTCACTGGACACTGCTGTTAGGGGATATGGATTTACTTGAAAGATGAAATCATAAATTAGAGAGAGATTAGCATAGGGTGTTTTTTTTTTCTTATAGCTGCATCCTATGAGTTTCCTTCCAGCACTATCTCCATTAGATACATGACGCTTGGGAGGTATGACTGTTTTAGTGTTTTTGGTCAATAAGATTATGTAATTAGGTTCAATTCATCAGCTTCTGCAACGAGGAGGGCTGCCGCAGACAACGGGGTAGGCCTTGGGCCACTGGAACCAGTTGTTTGGACAGGTAGGCAACAGGACGCTGCCATGAGTCCAAGTACTGTGTGAGGACACCTACTGCAGATTTCTTTTTCTTTTGGACATACAGGTAAAACACTCTTTGGTGATAAGAAGTCCAAGTGCTGGGGCTTGAACCAAGGCCTCCTGCAGGGTTCTGAAGGCCGTCAGTTGCTCTTCTTCCCATAGAAATGTGTCATGTTCAGGGCCTTTGGTGGCCTCATAGAGAGGCTTAGCGATGATTGCAAAATTATGTATCCACATAATCCATCTGCACCCAAGAATTCACGCACTTTCCGACGACGGGTAGGTTGCTGGGATGTGGCAGACGGCATCTTTGCATCTTTCATAATTGAAAGCACCAGGCCCTATGGGCTCTTAATATGGCCCTGGTGAGTAGTAAGTTGTAGCTCACATCGTCGAAAAGTGAACAGATAGATATGTTTTATCAGTCCTTAGACGTGGGTAAGCTTAATGTAAAAATCAAAAAGATAAATGTGAAGCCAATAAACAAAGTAGAAAAAACCAAACAGTGAATAAGTAGAAGGTTTCCTAAAGTGTTAAATGAATAATTGAGCAGCAAAACACTCTGAAATTATATCCCTTAAACGATTACCAAATCAAGATAGCCTGAAAAAAAATTTGTGCTTTAACACAATATTGTGTAATATCATGTATAAATGAGAATAGGTACCGCTCTCCACTGCTGGTGGAAAACCAAACCTATATGGGCTGAAATCATCATCTTGTTGAATACTTTCCTAGATAAACCCTACCCTTTAGATGCATGGGCCCTGCGTCTGTACAAACCCCTAGACACACACAAGTAACTATTCAATTGTTTGGCACAAACTTGAGGGGGGGCTTAGCCAACAGACGTTTTGCAGCAAGCAAAATGCAGAAGATTGGGTAACTCTTTAATGCAGAAGATTGGGTAACTCAAATGGCTTCAAAATAGTGTTTTTTGTAATTGTAAACATATATTTGTAATGGATAGGCCCGGACTGCCCATCAGGCAAATGACCATGGGCTGAGGCCGACATGGGAAATCAGAGTGCATATACCCATGCACTATATAAGCGCCAGCCCTACTGTATACCATGATGGTCTGGTGGGGAGATAAAAGATCTTCCTCACATTCCCACAGGCACTGACATATGGCAGAAGAGAAGAGGACCAGGAAGCTCCAACCTGCAGCTCCACTGGGTCCTGAAAGTTCCTATCGGGGGGGGCCAGAGCGTTGCTGCGGTTACAATGGCAACGCTCCAACAGACCGGATCTTGTGAGAACTCTAGCCAGAAGAGCTGCAGGTTAGAGTTCACTCATCACTGGTTTGATAGGAAGCAGTTATGTGCTCACAGTGAGCACTTCCTGTCAGATCAGGTAGGGGAACAGAAGCTCCTGTACCATGGTCCGCCTACTCGGCCACGCTACATGCAGTGACCAGAAGGAAGAGAGCACTGTGCAATGCAATGTCGGAAACCTCATTCGCTCAACACACTAACTTACGTGTCACACCACTCAGTTTGCAAATCTGTCCTCTACAAAAACACACTAGATACGCTATACACACTCTGAATCCTCTACACACACAATAGATCCTCTATAGACACACACTGCACCACCTACACACATTACATTCCTGATATACACACTCTAGATCCATTATGCACACATGAGATCCCCTGTACGTAGACACGCACGCTACACTCCCTATACACACTCTCTACAGCATCTACACACACATCACCTATACACACTTATACTACAGCCCCTATGCACATACACGCTACATCCCTTGTAAAGACTAAGCCCCCTATACATACACACACTCTCACTCTCTACAGCACCTAGCCATTTTACACCACAAACAGAACACTACTGAAACCGACCTAATTAGACAAAAACACCACACCACTATCAGTCAGCTTAATCTACACACACGCAAACAGCCTCCAAACAGATGCACAATATGCTTTCCTGGCCCTATTGTCCTCTGGTATCCCACTTACGGAGACACCAGAGATATGTTGCAATTAAACACAGAGCATGCTTTTAAAAAAAAACAACAGTCTCTTTACAGAGATAGTAAGTGATAATCTACAGTGCCTAGACAAAAAAGCAGCTCAAACTGGTAAAGTGGAATACCCTTATTTCTACAATCAGTTTACAATGTTAGAAAATGTGTGGTATACAATATACACCAATTAGTGGAGCGCTGTGTACATATTAAAGTGATAAAGGGGTTCACTTACCCCATTAATAATTTGAATTGAATGTCTTACAAATAATCATTAAACAGTACATGTAAAAGAAAAACAAAGAAATATATATAGTGCAGATGGTCATATATAATTAAATGATGAAAGTTGAGTAACTATAACCACTCCAATGATTTGGAGCCTATATGTTATTGGCTCCGTAACATAGGCTTTATTACTCTTTGGGCAGTAATACACCCCTTTCCTTGATGGTATTTGTGACGAGGTGCCCCTCGCCACTTGTTCCTGGAGAGGCCTGCTTGCCAGCCTCCTCCCCTGCGACTATGGCCCCTGGGAGATTGTACCCTTTTAAACCAGCATTTGGGCTTATGGACTTTTATTGGACTGTGCATGGCCCTTTAAGAACCGTCTGTGGGCACATTGTGACTTTGGTGAGCAATGCCCCTTTAATACTATGGCCCCTGGAAGATATTGCCTGTTAAAGACTATTTTAGCAGATTGGATTTTAAAAGACTCTTGCTGCCCCTTTAAATTGTATTGGAGCAGTTCTGCAGCTTTAAAATGGCACTTCGGATGCAGCCGAAGTAGTTGAAGTGGCCACCATTCGACAAACGAACACGTGGCGGCGGCCATCTTTGTTCATTCGAACAAGTTAAGCGGTATGTGTAGCCAAATCCATGGAACTGAAATCGGCTACACATTTCAACGAACACCGCTGACTCTTACCTTCTCCTACACTTAGTTTTCAGCTACAGAGCCTAAGTCCCATTCGGCAGTTTGAACTCACTGCAATACTAAGCTAAATGCACGAACAGCCCCGTTCGTGCATTCGAATGGGACTTAGTCATTTTTCTGTTTAAAATAGACTGACCGCACAGCCCAAATCTATGGAACTGTTTTGGGCAGGAAAATTTGCTTGCGGTCGGTCATAAAGGACTTCCATCTAACTTTTTAACCCCTGGATGGAATTGGCTGAATTTTGGATATGTTTGTAATTATTATGTATGCAGAGTTCGAATGTGTAATTTTTATGAAGATTGAATGTATATTGTTAAAGTTACAGTGTATGTGTAAAAAGTATATTTTTCCTGCCTGTGATAATGACTTTAACCCATTGTGTTCTGTAATTATATCACAGGCAGAGGGGAGGGTTTGTGTGTAATTGATGGGAGTGTTTGTACTGTATACTACTATACTACGTGTTTATTGGTTGTTCTGCAAAACCCTGTGGCCGGTCCTGTATGTGTAAGACCTCCATAAAAGAAAGCCCTTTGGTGCTAATTAAACACAGTTCTTCTTGACCCTCAACACATAGTCTTGTCTCGTGATTGGAGGGGACAGCTATACTCACACTGGGGATTGCTATGCTCTGCATACTCCCCTGAGTTTTAAGAGCATGTTCCTGATACTCTCTCCTGGAGGAGAGGTCTTCCCCACACGGTCCTGGAGGACAGAAGCTGATCCAGGGTGGACAGAAGATGGCGAGACTCCAGTTAAGCTACGGCGGTTGTGGAGTCTGCGGTGGTTGTGGTGTGCGGTGCTTGTGGTCCTCGGCGCAGGCGAGAAAACGTCGATCAACAGAAGGTACTCGGTCAGAGTATGGGGAGTTCAGTTACAGTATTCCTCCGGAGAGAATGGGAAAGAAGGAGAATAGACCAGATGAGTAGTACTGTGTAAAACTGCAAAATATGTACTTATGATAGGTAGTGTGCTCACCTTGTGAAGAGCCTTAGGTACCTGGCTCTAAGGGTGTTCAGCAGTATGCCAAATTCTGGGATGGCAATTCCCACAAAGGATTCCTGAAGGCTTCAATGACTTGAATAGTATAAAAAATTAATTTATTGTATCCAAGTTAAAAAACAAATTTGTGAGTTATAATTAAAATAAAACTCACAAATTTTCAGGCATCGGTTCTATATGATGCAGATTATCTGAGTACATAGACCGGTGCCTGCAACCAATAGTCCAAAATATACCGAGCTACCTACAAGATACGAGTAACATATTAAGACACATTAAAGAATTGAGTTGGAAAGAGTTATTTTTTAGTAACGGCAGATGTAAGTTCCCTATACACAATTATTGCACATGAAAGGCTGCGCGGTCACTAGACATTTTTTAGAACAATCACACAAATTCCCACCAGAACACATTATTTTATTATGGAAGGAATTCATCTAATTTTAACCAGCAACTACTTCTGGTATGATGGGGATTTTTATTTACAGGCCTGTGGAATGGCGAAGGGGACGAGGTTCGCACCTAGCTATGCCAATTTATTTATGGCCCATTGGGAGCTCCAGTTTATCCAACATGGTAATGGCCGGGTGGAGGGCCTCGTTACCTACCGCCATTGTATAGATGACCTATTTTTTATCTGGGAGGGAACGGAGGAACCCCTACAAAATTTGCTTACCCAACTTAATAATGATTGGGAATTATTTTAACTACTAATTTTAGTAAGATGGAAGTAAATTTTTTAAATTTAGACATTTTTATTGAAGACCGCAAAATTAAAACAAGGACATATTTTAAAAAGGTGGATGTGAACAGTTTCATACAGACCACCAGCTGTCACTTTGCACCTTAGCTTAATGTAATACCAAAATCACAATTCATTCAAATTAAAAGAAACTGCACAGAAGAGACTAAATTTATAGAACAAGCACATATATTAAAAAATAATCTGCTGGAAAAGGGGTACAAAGAAAAACACCTAAATGACGATCTAAACCATGTTTAAAAAAGAGAAAGGGAGACTCTATTATCTAAAAAGGAAATAAATGCAGTCACATCAGGTTTTAATACTAACATACCAATTATCTGTAATTATAGCCAGGGTAATCAACAATTAAGAAAAATAATTAACAAATATTGGCCACTTTTAAGGGAAGACCCTTTTTTTATCAAGCATCCTGCCAGACAAACCAACGCTGATCTTTAAAGGTGCACCAAACATGAAAAGGCTTTTAGTTAAAAACCATATTAGTGCCCTGAGGGTGCCCCCACCCTCAGGGTCACCCTTCCGCCCGGCTCTGGGGAGAGGAAGGGGTTAAACACTTACCTTTCTCCAGCACCGGGCGGGGAGCTGTACTCCTCCTCTCCTCCTTGCTCGCGACGTCATCGGCTGAATGCGCATGCGCGGCAGGAGCCGCGCGCGCATTCAGCCGGTCGCATAGGAAAGCATTTACAATGCTTTCCTATGGACGCTTGCGTGCTCTCACTGTGATTTTCACAGTGAGAAGCGCCTCTAGCTGCTGTCAATGAGACAGCCACTAGAGGCTTGGGAGGCTGGATTAACCCTCAGTATAAACATAGCAGTTTCTCTGAAACTGCTATGTTTATTAAAAAAAAGGGTTAATCCTAGAGGGACCTGGCACCCAGACCACTTCATTAAGCTGAAGTGGTCTGGGTGCCTAGAGTGGTCCTTTAAGAAAGAAAGCCGCATAAAAGCTATTGACAGTAGAAATGTTTTTTTCGGTTGTGGCATATGTTTAGCATGCAGAACCACAAATAATAACAAGTTATATAGGGAAATTCAGCAACACACTAAACAATGAAGATTTCATAATAAAAAACCTCATTACCTGCCATTCAACTAATGTAATTTATTTACTGGAATGCCCATGCGGCTTAAAGGATTACAATTTATAGGCATCCACAAAGTGTTGGGGGGGAACTTTTTTTTAACAAAATTTTAGGTCAGCACGAAATGGGGTGGATTTTTCAACCTTGGGACATTACAACCCCAAGGTTTGAATATAGATTTTGAATTATGCCACTTCCTCTAATATCCACACTTCTTCCCCCTCCCCGCCCCCGTTTTTTTTCAATGCAAACGGCCATTATCTTTTATTTTATTCTATTTTATTATTTTTTTATTTGATTACCATGTAAATTCATTTAAACCTTTACTTATTCACAGTTATTTTTTTAGTACGATTTTAAAATCCAGTCAAGTTTCCACCACAAGGTTTTAGATGACCTATAATTATGATTTTTAATTTGTCATAACGATTTTCCACCAATGAATTACAACAATCGTAATGAGTATCACAAAGAGTTACTGTTTACAATGTAAGTATAGACTTGATTCCTCCCATTCACATTTTTATTCAACTCCTTCTGTATTATATTATCCCCTTATCCCCTTTTTTGGGATATACCATCATGTGTTCCCATGGCATGGCCTGAAGTTGTGGGAGGGGCTACAGACCTACTTAAGGGACTCCCCCCTTTCCCTCACTTACCTTCGTTGGTCTAGACAAACAGCCTGTTACTCGCAGGCTTCCGTTACTCCCGACTTCCTGGTTTGTATCGTCACTTCCGGTGAGACGCGGCGCACTCCTCTGACGTCACGCGCTGACTTCCGCCGGCTCCACAGGCCCGCCGGCTCTCCAAACCGGGCCCTAAACAGCGGTACAGCCGACCGTCCTCTCCTCCTCGCCAACCCGTTTTGGTGCGGTAAGCTGGGCTCCCACGTGGGGATTACAAGACAGAGACTCCATTACCACTTAGGAGTCTCTGTTCCCAGCCGCCGGGGAAACCGGTCTTAAGGGGAAGGGGGGGAGGGGGGGAGACATACTTACGGCCCGGTCGGGAACAGGCCACAACCAGACCCCTATATCATAAGGGGTCCCTGTTCCTGCCGGCAACACACATGGGGGGGGCACAAAATAGTTGGGTGCAGGGTTAAAACCCCGATCCACCACCTTGCATAATGGATACGTTCCACTGCTGGCTGACCCTTAGTTCAGCCAGCTGCCACCGTACATGCCCATAGAATACACTTTCTTTCAATACTGTACGGTTACACGTCTTGCCTAACGTGTGTGTGTGTGTGTGTGTATATATATATATATATATATATATATATATATATATGTGTGTTTAAAGTGGAATAAGATACATTAAAGTACCTTTCAATAAACCTTCTGTTATTTATGCGTATACTGCTAATTAGGATGCTGGTTAAATTAAGTTAAATCACTGGTTTAAACATATGCGTATGATTTTGCTTGTTAAACATAATAATACATGATATATGTTTACTTATGGCAGGCTAGATATGTTAGGATAAAAAAAAGGAAATAGGTGTAGCGCTGTGTACATACATATAGTAGAGTTGAGCCTGATAGGTAAATAAGGCATCCAAATGAGGGCAATTCCAATATCTTATACAGTCAACCTAAAACAAGCAAAAAAGAACTCCAATAGTGTAACACCATAAAATAAATATGATGAAAGTCAAAATATAGCAATAAACTCACATTCTCCTGAGCTTAATGCCAAGCTCAGGAATAAGCGCTTTTAGGTCCGTACAGGTGACCTTCCCCTTCTTCTCACTGGGTATTATTTCCAAATCGCCTCTAGGACTCAAGTGAAACAGATATATAGTGTAGCACGTTTATATAGAATACTCCTACTTCAAGTATATTATATACTAACAAAAGTGGAGCCTCTATATCGGCTCTGTCTCTGTGCGTTGAATAAACTGTAGGACTTTTCAAAGCAGGAACCAAAAAAGCCCATACAATAATTAAAAAATAATAATAATTTTATTACATCACAAGGGTATAATAAACCCTCTATAAATCTATAAAACACATAAATATAAAATAAATAAATCAATAACAAATGGGCATAAAGGTATCATACACTTCTTCCCAGAACGCGTTTCACCGTTACTCCGACGGCTTCCTCAGCTGGGTCCAAGGGGAAGCCGTCGGAGTTACGGTGAAACGCGTTCTGGGAAGAAGTGTATGATACCTTTATGCCCATTTGTTATTGATTTATTTATTTTATATTTATGTGTTTTATAGATTTATAGAGGGTTTATTATACCCTTGTGTCACGAGCGTGGGCTATAGGCCCAGCCGAGACAGTGGGGAGAGTGTGGAAGTTACAGGGTTAATGACACCAGACCCCTGGTTACCTGTTGCTAGTCCCAGCAACCACTCAATTAACCCCTGCAATCCCTTCTACACTATCCCCCTTAGTACATTTTCTTTACTCTACTGCCACCACCAAGACTTTTAAACCCGGGTGTCTTAGGTTACCCCACACACAGGAGAATTATAGTATCGCAGTTCTACTTTTACTGATAAAACATATATAGTTAACCCTTTTTGGTAACGTGTTTACCTGAGCTTTCCTCTGGAGAGTGAAGCTCATAGAGAACAGAGACACAGGCTGATTAAGTAAACATTTAATCTGACAAAAAGGATTCACAGTGCTGAGTACAAAATACAGAAATAAATGACATACAGATAACAAATTGCAAAACAGTACATAAAATAAAATAGGAGAAAACACAAGAAATTCCTTACATATATTTACCCCATATAGAATTCTTGTGGGAGTCTTAGATGGTATAGGTCTCCTAGAAGTTACTGACAAAAAGAAAAATGAATAACTGGCTTCCCTGGATAGTCCAACACCCTCATATATCTAAACTAGTTGTTTCTCAGTGGGCAGACCCCTGGGGGGGGGGGGATCAGAGGGGGCTGGTCTGGCAGTCTATTGCCCACTCTATGAAATTCCTTGTGTCCAGCTCTGGTGATGGCTATCTAGATGTTTTATGGTCTAGGCCTGGTGCAAGATCAAAGACCACAATAAATGTCATCCCAAGGTTTACAAAAAAACATATATAAACACACATCAAACACCAACTCATGCTTTTGGCATGACACCTCCCCCCTTAAGATGGTGGACAGAAAACTTCAGCCACAGGCTGATTCATCTGTCTATCATTAACCCTCTAGTTGCCGAGACAGGCCATCTGCATTCTCATGCAAGCTGCCCTTTTTGTGCTGGGCAGTGAAATTATACTGTTGGAGGATAGGGCTCCAATGGAGCAGTTTATCAGTGTTACCTGTCACCTGCAGCAGGTTGTGATCAGTCCATACCACAGCTACACCCTCAACAAACATGCCTGATTTGCCTGTTTCAATTCCCCATCGATCTCTGGTAACATCCCTTAAACCACACCCACTGCGCTCATGTAGTAGCTGTAAGGGGAAGAAACCAATGGATTTCTGCAGCACTCCCCGGTAAGCACACAAAAAAGCAGACAGAGAACACTCCCAGGATAGATGTGCTGTATCAACACCCATCATCTCTTTCATTTTGCGGTCTGTCTGCTGGGCTTGTTGCACTATCAGACTCTGAACCTTTCGTTCACAATCAGAAAGTTGCTTAGGTGCATGCCTGAGTTGTGATAAACTGACAAGGTTCCTGGTTCCTCCAACAGTATGTTTCCCTGCAGCCATCCTTCCTGGACCCACAGGCTGAGTCTGTCCGTGCCCCTCACTTTCACTCCAGGTCATCACACATACAGAACTTTGGAAACTGGCTAAGTCTGGCGCAGAGTAAAGCTCACACACCCTCTGCCCTCCCTCATAGCCTTGCTGTGCCTTCATATTTTCACCCAGTGCATCACATACATCTGCTTCAGGCACATATTGGCACATATATTCCTTCAGGCCCCTCTCGCTGGAAGTCTTTTCCCATACATTTTCCAAGGACACATTTGACCCCCCGTGATCAGATACAGAATTTTGCACACACTCACATAATTTCTTCTCCAAGGCAGGCCATCCTCTCGCAATAGCCCCTCAGACTCTGCAGCCATGACCCACTGCTGACTTGTTATCACTGCTGACTTGTTACCCTGTCTCTCACCTTCCTCCTCTCCCTTACTCTCTGACATCCCAGCCTCACAGTATTTTCATACAGGCACATCACTACTCACCCCAATCTCACATTTGGTAGACATCACTGGTTCAGTTACAGGTAGATATTTATCCACACCCTGCTCTCCCTCCCAGCCATCACACTTCACAATGTCTCCCAAAGTTTCACACAATACCTTAGGTGGAGAAGTCAGCCCTTCTGGCTCACAAACAGTGTCCGCTGGAGCATAGTGACAGAGCATCCTGCCCAAATCATTCCCCAACAGAACATTAACAGGGATATCCTCTGAAATCCCCACTTCCCGCAAACCTTTGCCCACACCCCAATCAAGGTACACACGTGCCATGGGCACAGCGGGACGCACACCCCCAATTCCTTTGATGAACATGGTTCTTCCAGGGATTATGTCCTCCGTATTCACCACTTCAGGGCGCACCAGGGTGAAGGAAGCTCCAGAATCTCTCAGTCCCATGGTCACTCGGTCACCCACAATTACACTCTGCAGGTTATCCTCTCGTTTCCCCACCGACCCACCCACAAGCAATACTGATGGTGCCCCTCCACGGACTGTTGAGGGCATATTCCTAGTGGGGCAAGTCCTGCTCAGATGACCAATCTGGTTGCATCGAAAACAACGGCGGGCATCTGACTCACTTGACATAGCCCTGGCTATGCTGGCAGTCGGCGGTGAAGTTCTCACTGCAGATCTTACAGGTGGTGATTGAACTGTAGCTTCTCTCCAGGTCGAAGTAGCAGCTGACACCAGTCCACGCCTGGATGTGGGTGCATGGATGTCGGCATAGTCATCTGCCAGTTCTGCAGCAGCCTTAGCATTTTTTGGCTTTCTTTCCAAAATCCACTCTCGTACATTAGGGCTCCGGGTCTGCAAGAACTGCTCCAGGACCATTAAGTCATTAAGGGCTTCATAGGTAGTAGCTTGTACTCCTGTTACCCATTGCCGGAACGTGGTTTCTAATTGTGCAACATATAGAATGCAGCTGGATGATGGGCATTGCTGCATACTCCTAAACTTTTTCCTGTAAGACTCCGGAGTAAGGTTAAAAGTTTTTTGCAATGCAGATTTGATTGCCTCATAGTTGTTATCAGTCTCTGGGGGAAGGGACACAAACCCATCCAAGGCTTTCCCTTTCAATTGTGGAGTTAAATATCTGCCCCACTGGTCTGAGGGTAGTTGATGCTGCCTGCATACTTTCTCAAAACATTTTAAAAATACATCCAAATCTGTCCCTTCTTCGAGGGAAGGAAAATCATCCTTACGGAGCCTACGTGTGCTGGACTCTGATGCATTGCTGTTCAGTGAGGACTGAAGGGTAAATTGCAGTTTAGCAAGTTCCAGCTCATGTCTCCTTTGTGCCTCCCTTTCGGCTAGCCTCTCTGCAGATTCCCTTTCTGCAGCATGCCTTTGCGCTTCCCTTTCGGCTAGCCTCTCTGCAGATTCCCTTTCTGCAGCCTGCTGTTGGATCATCACATGCAGGGCCTCCTGAGGATTTGCAGCCATCAGTTGCCGAAATAAATCAGTTGAGCAAATGTCCTTAATGTTTTGAGGGGTACAACCACCAGGCATTTCAGTAAGCAACACTCCTGCAGTAGTAGGGAGCTCGGTAACCCTTTCAGTATCTGTCTCTGGCTGGAAAATATGGCTGTCAGCCTCCACAAGGTCAGCAATAAGTTGTGCCTTATTTTTGCCAAAAGTTGGTAAATTCTTTTCTTGGCACAACAATTCCAAGGCCCCTTTTGATTGTTTGTGATAGGCCTCCATATTCACAAATAGGATAGAGAAAGAAAAACAAAAGATGGGAGGGGAGAACTGTTTTGCACTTTGTATGTATTTTAAATCAGCACTGAGCTTGGTCTTTGGAAATTACACAAAAACAAGTATGCAATTTCTTTTAGTGCTAAGACCCCCTTTACAGGTAAAATCTAGCAAGCACTAAAAATCTCTAAATATATCCCACCGCTGCCGCCAGTTTGTCACGAGCGTGGGCTATAGGCCCAGCCGAGACAGTGGGGAGAGTGTGGAAGTGACAGGGTTAATGACACCAGACCCCTGGTCCCAGCAACCACTCAATTAACCCCTGCAATCCCTTCTACACTATCCCCCTTAGTACATTTTCTTTACTCTACTGCCACCACCAAGACTTTTAAACCCGGGTGTCTTAGGTTACCCCACACACAGGAGAATTATAGTATCGCAGTTCTACTTTTACTGATAAAACATATATAGTTAACCCTTTTTGGTAACGTGTTTACCTGAGCTTTCCTCTGGAGAGTGAAGCTCATAGAGAACAGAGACACAGGCTGATTAAGTAAACATTTAATCTGACAAAAAGGATTCACAGTGCTGAGTACAAAATACAGAAATAAATGACATACAGATAACAAATTGCAAAACAGTACATAAAATAAAATAGGAGAAAACACAAGAAATTCCTTACATATATTTACCCCATATAGAATTCTTGTGGGAGTCTTAGATGGTATAGGTCTCCTAGAAGTTACTGACAAAAAGAAAAATGAATAACTGGCTTCCCTGGATAGTCCAACACCCTCATAGATCTAAACTAGTTGTTTCTCAGTGGGCAGACCCCTGGGGGGGGGGGAATCAGAGTGGGCAGTCTATTGCCCACTCTATGAAATTCCTTGTGTCCAGCTCTGGTGATGGCTATCTAGATGTTTTATGGTCTAGGCCTGGTGCAAGATCAAAGACCACAATAAATGTCATCCCAAGGTTTACAAAAAAACATATATAAACACACATCAAACACCAACTCATGCTTTTGGCATGACACCTTGTGATGTAATAAAATTATTATTATTTTTTAATTATTGTATGGGCTTCGTTGGTTCCTGCTTTGAAAAGTCCTACAGTTTATTCAACGCACAGAGACAGAGCCGATATAGAGGCTCCACTTTTGTGAGTATATAATATACTTGAAGTAGGAGTATTCTATATAAACGTGCTACACTATATATCTGTTTCACTTGAGTCCTAGAGGCGATTTGGAAATAATACCCAGTGAGAAGAAGGGGAAGGTCGCCTGTACGGACCTAAAAGCGCTTATTCCTGAGCTTGGCATTAAGCTCAGGAGAATGTGAGTTTATTGCTATATTTTGACTTTCATCATATTTATTTTATGGTGTTACACTATTGGAGTTCTTTTTTTGCTTGTTTTAGGTTGACTGTATAAGATATTGGAATTGCCCTCATTTGGATGCCTTATTTACCTATCAGGCTCAACCCTACTATATGTATGTACACAGCGCTACACCTATTTCCTTTTTTTTTATCTTGCCCCATATTGATGTAAGTTAGAAAGATTACATCTAGGTGTTACAGCAGCTTGTTTAAATAATTTTGTTGAACTAAAGAGTGTTATATTCAGTTATAGCGCCAGTATAATATTTGTATTCTTATTAGATATGTTAGGAGTTCTGCATGTATAATAGCAATCGTTAAGTCTTAAGATAATTATACCTCAGTGACGGTTAAAGTACATGGCCTACCGGTGGCATTATGTACTTTGGGGGGACAGTACTCGCTGCAATCCCCCCCAGAACTCTTACTATGTCAATCTTTATGTATATGTTCCACATGAGAGTACATTATCTAAAATTCTCATACCCCCAGGAACCCGCATACCTTCGGACGGTTCACCTAAGCTAACCCACCCCCCCGCCCTACTCAAGAGACATCTGAATTCTCTTACACAGAACCAGTGCTCAATTTTCTGCAGGTATGTTGATTTGCACGTTTTCTTCTTCAACACGGCCATTTTAGTTAATTCCCTGCCCCTTAATCCTAGTGGTCTGCGAGGCCAACTCCCATCCTCTACTTCGAGGTACTTCACGCGCCTCGGGCCAAATCATAGTTAGCCGCCTCGCAAACTATATAGAGAGGGCGACACCTGTCACTACCAATCCCCCTCCCCCCCCCCCCTCCCTACTTACCCATGGAGAGGCAACATTCCATCACCGGACACCCCTCGCACCAACTCATAGATAGAGTCTCTCTAGCCACTTGGCACTAGCAGGGCCTCACCCGCCACGAAACCTAGAATAAATCTTTTCACCATCTGGCACTAGCTAGCCACCAGCTAATTCCCAACAAGCCACCACAATGCCTATTATTACTTTCAGTATGTCCCTGCTCCCAGACGATGGTGAGGATTTGTCAGTCCCTAGCACCCCGGCTAGGTCACTTACCCCGACGCGCAAAGATGACATGGGAAGTCCCTCGTCCATCAGATCATGGACTATCCCACGCATCACGGCTGAACTACGCAAACGCAGTATCCCTTTACCGGCCACTGCCAGGAAAGCAGAACTGTTTAAATTGCTTAGAACCAACACCCGTAATATGGATGCAGGGGAAGGCTGTGGTTGCCTCCCTAATTTCTTCAATGGGGAAGGTCAACGACAGACTGAAAAGGCTGGAAGCACGCAGCTCCCCCATAGAGCCTCCTGGGCCTCTCACTGAAGTATCCCCGGTCATACCCACAGCAATAACGGGTAATTCCATACCTCATAAGGCAGCAGCACACCTTATTAATCCTGCCCACATGGTTTTGGCTAATCTTAAAAAAGACATCTTGGAGTGCAAGGACGTTAACTTGGTCTCATTGCTCATTGCCTCCCAGGATGTCGTGGAAAACCGTTCTTACGACTACGGGGACATCTCTGTTGTTTCAAAAGCCAGAGACCCCATACTCAGTAAGAAATTGACCATCCCCGACTTTGTCCTATTTTTCGGTATCTTTAGGGATATTCTATGCTCAGTTCATCCCCATAGGAGAGAGGAACTGGACTTATATATGCATAAGCTGGTGGACCTGGGAAATAAGTATGGCGGTTATACTTTTTATGACTATCACAAGTCCTTTTCATCAAAAGTGTCAGCCACATTTTCCCAGTATGGCATCCAGATGATTGGAGCCAACTGGACAACGAACTGTTCCTCAGACACTTCGCGGGGCTTAGGACACCAGCTTGTGCCATATGTACGTCACCCGCTCACACAGCTTATTTGTGCCCACTCTGCCCGGACAGCGCTCCCAGCACATCATTACAGCATCCCCTTAAAGCTGAGAAACAGACCAGAGACAAATTGGGTCGTCCAGTAGTGTACCTAGGCAAATCACAAATTTGCAATAATTTCAATGAGGGCTCCTGTGGTTGCCGCTTATTGCACATATGCTCACACTGTTTTCGGGCACATGCGAAATCTATGTGCCCAAATAAAATGTTCCAGAAACCTTATTTGTCTCCAGTGAACGTTCCTGTACTTGAACATATGCTGTCCACTCACCCCTCCAAACACCTGGTGGAATTTTTATGCACAGGTCTCACCCAGGGTTTTCACGCAGGGCTCATTTACATGCCAACAGGGGTTTTAGAGTGTCACAATTTGCAGTCAGCCACAAATAACCCTACTACAGTCACTACCTTGCTACAACTGGAAGTGGACCAGGGATTTGGTAACCCCCCTTTTCCAGCTGGAGAACTAACCCTATCGGGCTGGTTTCCAGCAAAAATTCGGATAAACTAAGGCTCATCATTGACCTATCCGCACCCCACTCTTCAGTGATTGATTCCTTCGGAAGATTTTTCCCTACAATACTCCACTATTGACCACGCTATTACAGCTATCAGGTCGGCAGGGGTGGGGGCCTGGCTTAGCAAGACGGATATAGTCAATGCTTTTAAATTGTTACCTATACACCCCTCTTTATGGCACCTGCATGGAGTTAAGTGGCAAGACGCCTACTACTTTTTCACAAAACTCACTTTTGGGGCCAAGAGTAGTCCAAGGATTTTCGACACGTTCGCAGAAGCTTTGTGTTGGCTCCTCCTTAATACCTGCAGGTGCCAAAATGTGATACACTACCTAGATGATTTTCTGTTCATCGAAGCCAATACCTACCCCCCGTGTAGCCTAGACAAAGCTGTCAAACTATTCACCGCACTCGGTGTCCCCGTATGAAAGGGTGTTTTATAAACCCCTACATACTTTACCCTGAATAGGGCTATAACATACAAATCACCTTGCTGGTATCAGCTAAAAGGCAAATTTCTTTGCCTTTTAGCTGATACCAGCAAGGTGATTTGTATGTTATAGCCCTATTCAGGGTAAAGTATGTAGGGGTTTATAAAACACCCTTTCATGTCTCATTAGAGACGTCTATACTTTGTCTGATACCAGCAAAGTTTATTGAATGTGTAGAAGCCCTATAAAGGGTTAAATGTTAAAGGGTTTATAAAACACCCCTTTCTGTCTCACTTTGTCTGATATCAGCAAAGTTTATTGTATGTGCAGAAGCCCTATAAAGGGTTAAATGTTAAAGGGTTTATAAAATACCCCTTCCTGTCTCACTGGAGACTCTTGGCTGATATCAGCATATCTAATGGCTAGTGTAGGAACTCACCTATTGAGGCTTGCCTTGACGTGGCTGGTGAGCTTATATATTCAAATGGCTATTAGAATAAAACTAAAGAGCCTCCATTTTTGTTTAAATGCACATGGGGATTTAGGCCAGAGCGCAGGTAACGTTTCCTCTTTGAGGTATACCCAATAGTTGCTGCAGCTGTCACTTGGTGTAGGTTATGGGAAGGTCAGTCCGTACGCTGTTTCTCGGATAACCTGGCAATATGCCACATTATCAACAAAGGTCGCTCTTCCTCCTTAACAATTATGAACTTCCTTAGGAAACTGACATGGCTGGCAGCTACCCATCACTTCCACATTGTATGCTCTCATGTTCCCGGCATATACAATACGGCAGCTGACCAACTATCTCGCTTTCAGTTTCAGGCTTTCAGACGGTCCCTACCCTCGGCAGCTCGTATGGCAACCCCAGCTCCAACCTTCCAAGACCTTGTCATGGAGTAGATGAACTACTTCAGCACAGCCACACTCTCACAAAATTAGCGTTATCCACTAGCACTCAACACGCATATCACAGAGCTTTTCACCTATACAAACGATTCATGTCTGACCATCACCTAACCAACTGGTTTGAAGTATCGTCACTAATGGCTTTTGCATCTTTTTGCCACCTTAAACTTAAATTCTCACATAACACTATTAAGCTTTACCTCACGGGTATACAACACCACATGTATTACTCCTTCCCTAACCACAAAGGTTTCTTAACCTCATACCCCATCCGCATACTACTGAAGGGCATAGCAAAAGCAGACGGCCCAGCGACACTCAAAAGATTGGCTATTGACATGGAAATGTTCAAGTCATTGTCCAACCTACTCGACCAGGCACCATTTGAACCCAATACAAACGCGGATATTAAAGCCACCATGTATCTAGCTTTTTATGGTTTTCTTAGGCCACAAGAGTTCACCATTAGTGGCCAACAACATAACCAAGGGTGCTTCCTCATGTCATATCTCTCGAAACACACAGACTACTACATCCTGACCCTAACTAAGACTGAGACAAGTCAGATGGGGGAACCAGTTCACATAAACTACTACCCCACTGGTAACAATTGGTGCCCGGTAAAAGCGCTGGACGCTTTCTTAGCCACGAAACCTACACACCCCTCAAGACCCCTACTGTTGTTACACGATACCATTCTCACCACGGCAAAATTCATGCTTTACGTCCGGATGCTTATCACCAGACTTGGTCTAAACCCTGGTAGCTACTCGGGGCACTCTTTCAGAATTGGAGCCGCCTCCACAGCCTCTAGCCAAGACATACCAGCTCATGTTATTAAAACACTGGGTCGCTGGAAATCCTCAGCTTACGCCACCTACATCCCGCACCCAGTCTAAGAGATTAGGAGGGCGTTCATTAAGATGTCTATTTAATAATATGTACTTATGTTTACTGAATACATAATTACCTTGCTTTTCTCTTTTTGCCCACTTTATTTACCGGCCTACAGCATACATCGGTTTCGGCACACCTCAACTGACTATTTCCTTTTATTGTATTTCTCTCCACCAGAGTATTCCATATCATATGAAAATGCCCCGAACACAAATTGGAAGGCATGGCCTGAAGTTATGGGAGGGGCTATAGACCTACTTAAGGGACTCCCCCCTTTCCCTCACTTACCTTCGTTGGTCTAGACGAACAGCCCCACCCTCCACTCCCATTAACTATATATTTTCTTTGTAAGCCCACTTTATTTACCGGCCTACAGCATACATCGGTTTTGGCACACCTCAACCGACTATTTCCTTTTATTGTATTTCTCTCCACCAGAGTATTCCATATCATATGAGAATGCCCCGAACACAAATATATATATATATGTGTGTTTTTTTGTGTTAAATATGCCTAATATGAGACATGACATTATGTTTTCTCATGATATGTTTATTGATTGCCTTCTGTTTCACTTATGATGTTTACTGTATTTGGAGTATTATCACCCCATTATGTATATCTCAACATATATGATATTCAGCAAAATAGGCTTAAAGATATATATATTTTATTTTACTACATGTATATTTATTATTACTCATTTGTATTCCCTCTTTCCCCCCCTCCCTTCCTCTTTGCAATTTTTTTCGTTTTTTTCCCTCAAAGTGCCCACTTCCAAAATGGAGGGATATTACCATCGGGCCGCCCAGGGGGGTTGAGGCCGACGCACACTAACGTTTGACGTCATTACAGCCACCCCATGTCCGACGCCAGCACCTCCCCTCAGATTAGTTGGGAGGCGGCACTAGCGAGGACTGCTGAGAGAGACGGGCGTTTTTTCTTTCAGACGCTGTGTCATTTCCGTCTGTTAGAGAGGGGAGGGAGGTGTGTAAATTACTGACACCTCTGACCACCAATGTATATACATCAGCGGGTGTCCTCTATCCGGCGGTGGATGGCGGAACTGACCAATGGAGTCCCCCATGACCTCAGTTCCGCCAAACACGAACCGGCACCTATACCTCTGAGCCACCAATGTGGTATTGTTTAGACATACAGGTATAAGAGGGAAGTTAATTACCCAATAGGGGCTCTATTTGCTTTACGTTCTTCACTGAAACCTCCAGCAGCAAAGAAATAGTTAACATAACTTTTCAGAAACAACCACCCAGAACAAAAGAACAGTAGAACAAAACTTTCAGGCAAACACTCCCACTTCCTCTTTCTTTGACGAGGTGGAGCAGGAGAGCATGAAATCCAACAGAGTCAATCAGTAGTAGGCACAATCAAATGAGAAACCACCAGAACCAGAAGAAATCCCTATTACACTGCAAGGAAAAAGAAACATTGTGAAAGTAAACTGCCAAGGCAGAATGTCGTACAAAACACACTAGTACTGCAGTACGTTAAGACATAATGAATAAACACAAACAGGCATCTAGTACCATATCTCAGTGAAATTCAACCAAACACATGACAAACAATACAAAAATCACAAATACCCCCAAAATTAACCCACAATCCAGGGAGGGAAACGTCAAAACAAACCGGGGGGGAAATATTCGCCTCCTGTCTTTAGTAAAATTTGGATTATTCCTTCACCAAGGCTAGAATAATCCCTAATTTTATGGCAAGACAGGAGGCTTCATATTTTCTATTTTAACGCCCAGAAATAAATGGAGAAGAAACATGGGCGTGTGGATGAAAATAAAACACGTGACTCCCTAGACCGATATGCGGCTAGGAGAAAATCTGTAAGGGACCCACCAGATACCAGAGTCACCAATACTGCAGTGCCCCGAAGGATCTCTCCATCACTGCAGAGGCAGAGAGCCAGAGACTGCCTAACACAGACACACATAAAAAATCAATAGCCACTCACGGGCAGAGAAATTAAGAGAGATCAAGTCACGGTGATATAGGTCTGTAGATGTCACGACTGCTAGTGTGGTCCAACACGCAGAAACTATGTAAACATATACATATAAAAAGAAAGGAAATAAAAGGACAGAGCGTAAATTGGACCTTAGAATGTCCGGACTAATACGCTAGAGATAGAGAAAGCCGAGGTCAAGGAAGCCAGAAATACTCAGATACCATTTAAACAAGCCAAGTCAGGGAAACCAGAATTCGGAATAACCAAGGAAAAGCCAAGATCAGGATACCAGGAAATCAGATTCACAAGGATAAACGCAGTCTCGGGAACCAGGAACAGGAAACCACGATAGGGCAAAGAACTGGAGTGAATTAGGGATTTAAATATCCCTCTCTGGGCTCTGATTGGTCAGAGGGTGACCTCTGACCCCAGAACGTGTGCGTGCGTTGACGTTGTGATGTCACGCGCACGTCCGTATAAATTTTAGGGTCGGAGCTTGTGATGTGCGCGACCACGTGGTCAGCGCCATCTTTGATTTGGGCGCAATGCCCAGAAGACGCGGAGTAGCGGTTCCCGGCTCGCCGATGGGCAGGTAAGCTTGCAATATCGGCGAGGTCGGGCATGGCTGTGCCATGCGGCGGGCCGGGAGCTGCAACAGTACCCCCCACTCGAATATCGCTCACCAGACGGGAAGAAGCCGGCTTATGAGGGAAGCGGTTGTGAAACGACTGGACAAGACGGGGCGCATGAACCTGGTCAGCAGGAACCCAACTACATTCCTCTGGACCATATCCTTTCCAGTCAACTAGATAAGACAAAATATCCCTGGAGATTTTGGAGTCCAATATAGAACGAACTTCGTACTCCTCCTAATCACCCACTACCAAGGGCGGAGAAGGAGCAGCCACTTTAGTGTATCGATTGCAAGTAAGAGGCTTAAGTAAGGACACATGAAATTAATTGGCAATTCTCATGTGAGCAGGAAGTGCCAAGGAATAAGTCACAGGGTTGATACGACGGAGGACCCGAAAAGGACCTATGCACCAAGGGGCAAATTTCATGGAAGGAACCTTAAGTTTGATATGACGTGTGGATAACCACACCTTGTCTCCTGGTTGATAGACAGGATTGGCACCCCGTCTCTTGTCAGCTTGGATTTTAGCACGTTTTGATGCCTTCTGTAGTGCTGTATGAATGGAATCCCAAGTGTCATGAATATAATCCAAACAGGTGTTCAAGGCAGGAATATCAGTGTCTGAAAAAATTCAGAAGGTAAAACAGTGGGGTGATAACCCTGATTTACAAAAAATGGACTATGATTAGAGGATTCATGAGTCGCATTATTCCTGGCAAACTCAGCCATGGGTAAGAGTTCGTACCAGTTAGACTGATTGGCATCGATAAAACAGCGTAAATAAGATTCTAAAGACTGATTTGCCCTCTCTGCTGTGCCATTGGTCTGAGGGTGATACGCTGAGGAAAATGAAAGTTCTATACCAAATTGCTTACAAAAGGCACGCCAGAACCTAGAAATAAATTGGGTACCTCTGTCAGATACTATGTTTTTTGGCTCCATGTAACCGAAAGATCTCTTTCAAAAATATTTGTACAAGATCTTGAGCAGATGGTATTTTTTTAAGAGGTACAAAATGTGCCATTTTTGAGAATCTATCTATCTATGACCATAAGGATTATGTTAAATCCTTTTGAACTGGGCAGATCCATAATTGAAATCCATTGCTAAATGGGTCCATGGAGCATGAGGTATAGGCAGTGGTTGTAGCAGCCCAGGAGGAGATTTGTGAGAGGCTTTAGAAACGGCACATATTTGACACGCCCCTACATAATCTTTGATGTCAGATTATCATGGAATAATCCAAGTTCCTTTTTCCTTAATGGTAGTGAAACGTACAGTTTATCCGGAGGTCTCTCCACAGATGCCTGAGTTTGATCTGCTATTATGGCACAGAAGAGTGGAGAAGACACTTCTGTAGTGGCAATAAGGCATTCTGGAGGTATGATAGGGAATACCTCTTGTTCAGGAACCTCATCTGTCTCAAACTGCCTAGACAGCGCATCTCCCTTGTGTTCTTGGTCCCGGGCCTAGACGTAATTACAAAATTGAATCGGGAGAGGAACAATGACCATCTAGCCTGACGAGATTACAATCTCTTAGCATCCCCAATATAAGCCAAATTCTTATGATCGGTAAAAATCATAAGTGGCTCTTTGGAACCTTCTAAGAGATGCCTCCATTCTTTAAGGGCAAGTACAATGGCCAATAATTCCCTATTCCCAATGTCATAAATTCTCTGCAGGTGTTAATTTTTGAGAGAAAAACCCACAGGGATGTAAAGGCGCATCAGGACTTTCTCTTTGAGACAGAATGGGTCCTACTCCTGTTTCTGACGCATCTAGTTTTTAGAATAAATGGTTTGGTCAGATCGGGATGTGTCAGGATAGGTGCTGAGGTAAATAAAGATTTTAATTGCTCAAATGCCTCCTTTGCTTCCTTGGGCCATGAATTGCAATCTGCTCCTTTTTTGGTTAGGTTGGTAATAGGAGAGATTACAGAGGAAAAACCTTTAATGAACTTGCGGTAATAATTTGCAAAACCAATAAAGCGTTGTGTAGCTTTAAGGCCTTTGGGTAATGGCCATTGTAAGACTGTTTTGCGTGGATCCATTTTGAAACCAGACGAAGATATAACATACGCAAGAAACTGTATCTCAGTCTGGTCAAACTGGCATTTCTCCAGTTTACAGTAGAGGCCATTCTTTAACAGGGTTTTTAGTACTATTCTCACATGTTCGTGTTGTGTCTCTAAGTCTGGGGAATAGATGAGAATGTCGTCTAGATACACTAAAACGAACATGTGGAGATATTCTCTAAGGACATTGTTAATGAAATCCTGAAACACCGCTGGGGCGTT